GATTATATTCGACCTATGTCATTGGTATGCGTACCTCAAATGTAACATCGTAAATACCTACCGTAATTATTGTTGCGCATAGAGATGTGCGTACTTGCTGCATCGATTCTCATTTTCATTAGTGATCATCGATCTAGGTATCCAACCAGATTTAGAGCGATTGCGGACCTTCACCCTGCTTGATAATTTGGTTTCTAAACCCAACAACATAAAAATGAAAATTTTCTTGACCCTTGGAGTACCTGGAATTTTACCTAATTCGGTAAGCATCCATGTAGACGGACAGACAAGGGGGAATGTAGACTAGGGCCTGTTGTTTAAAGCCCGATGTCTGAAGTTCCAGGGATGAGTGGCATGAACTTCAACATCTAGACGGCTCGGAATGAGTATCATGACTGTTTAGGTGTTAACAAATTGGAATGCCACGGGAATAGTTAGACTTTGAGGTTTCCCTGGAAATAGACACTGTCACGCAACTGTCCCATTAGGCTGGACCCTGAGCTTACCGAGCCCGCGGCACGCTTTCTTGTTGATGACGACAATGATCTAATACCGGGGGTTTTGTGCTCGGTAGCCTATATGTAGGTAAGGATTATCAAAGATGGGGGGCGCGGGGGGCGTGTGAAGGAACTATTGCCAATGAGCAGATATTTCTCCCAAGATGTCAACTGTGGATCGATGGTCTAGGCGGTCAGTAGTTGTTCACGATCTCTTTAGGCAGCCTGTAGGCAGTGCTAGTGCTGCGCAGCTGAGGATGACCTTGACCGAGAACAGTTAAGGCAAACGACGGAAATGCTTGATCTTCCCACTGGAAGTGTGATCAGCTGCTGGGTACTAGACGACTTCGTTCTGACACTTATTGTCAGAAAGAACAAAATACTGTAGGGGGTATAATAGAATAAGACAGCTTGGCTATTGTTTAGATATGAACCTTTTTTTTTGCGTCACGCGCTCTGTTTCTTGTTGAAGTTGGTAGAAGGACACGAATATGTGGGTTTCTAAGTTAGCACGACGGGAAAGGGAAGAAAAAGAGAAGAAATGGAGCTTACCTAAGATGCGGGTGGGCGTGCACAGAGTTGAGACTTGCATTAGGGCATCAGACAAACTGCAGTAGCTAAACTCTCCAGCCTACATATACCTAGCAGCCTGGCAGCTTAGGTACCTAACTTACAGGTGTCTACCATGTAAATAATCCACACGTTTATGCATTACCAGGAAGGAAGTAGTAGTTCCTAGCCTAAATCTGCCAAGACATTGGGAAATCGACCAATCAATCGGCCTGACCCCAGTCCCCACAAACCTTCCCTTCTTGAACTCTCAGACCAGTTGTTCCCTACCAAGGCCTAGTGGATTACATCTTGCCCTAGCATTTCCTGGAATACCATGTCAATAGACGTGTGCTGTAGGCCCATGAAATAATGTAGCTGCTTGTTCGCTGCTTCGGCGCTGTCCGACGAGGCGAGTTTTTACGTACTGCGAATGACAATAAAATTTGTCAACGATTCTGTTCGAAAGTTGTTGATCCATGTCGAGGTTGATGAGACTGTGTTCGAAGCATAAAGATGGCACCTATACATAATTTCCTGGATACATATATAGGAACATAGTAGATACATATATTTAAAGTAGATATTTATATAATATTAGGTGGATACTTGGAGCTGTCATGCTTTTTACTTTATTACATATACGGGTATACGTATTTGGTCGTTCAAGGTACGCATGGCTTGTAAATATGTACATCAACCTACCTAAGTTGCGGGGGAAGATCACCAACGGTAAAAGGAGCTATAGATATGTACGTATATGTAAGACGACATGGGCAGCAAGGGACCATAGCGCATTTACCCCGTCCCCTCGGCCCCTTCATAGACAACTCGTAACCAGCGGCGCTAGGAGTTTGGTTATGTTTTCCGAATGGAAGCCCACGCGACTGGATCACACTTCCAATAATATATTTACGGAATACTCAGCAACCGGTAATCACTAACTGATTTTGGTATTCACGAAAGGCGGAAATAAAGACACTATACTATTACCTGCTTAGAAGTGAGTAATAGCCTCCTTGTATGTCTTATGATCTTGTTGTGGAGTTGGCAAGAATTTAAATAGAGGTAACTAAACCTTAGGGCTTAACTCTCTCCCTTAAGACAACTCAGCTTGTATTGTAGGTACCTACATATGTAGGTAATAAAGTTTCTTAACAATTTCAAGGTACCCTAGTTGTACCTACTTAGGTAGACAACCATCCAATCCGGACGGAGGCTAAGGGCCGTCTTACCTCGCTTCCTATAATTGTTAACTCCAATATCAACCGACCCTATCAATGCTCTGCTAATTATTCCATGATCATATTCCCACTTAGGTATCTACGTAGGTACGGACTTTGCAAAAATAGGATTCAAAGAGGGGAATGTCTTCAAAAGTACGATGATGCTTTGGTTCACTTATTACTTAAACGCATAGCCAATTCTCTCGGCTATGAAACCTGTCAATTCTCGGCCAGTCGGCAGGTAACAACAACTTCAAGACCCCAATGACATACGTATCAATATGTTGGTATGTGTATGTCATTTGTACAACGAAATACAGAGCCGAATCTTGACAAAATGGGGTTGACCACGCGTACATGATATATTCTCCTGACTATCGTATGCCCATTGCACCCCCGCCACGACAGAATGGGGCAGACGTATCAGGATGCAAGCATCACTCAACGATCCATGCATTTATTAGATGCAGGTGGTTCCTTGGCTTCGTACAGGGAACGCACTCCACAGTTCGGGCGAGCCCTCAGCATCCTAGGCTGCTAGCATCTTAGCATGCTAAACATCCTAGCTTCTATAGTATACCTACGTATAGGTATATTAATTGTTACAAGCAATTTTCTTCCTCTTTCTCGTACACAGGAGCTAGGGAACTAGGTAAGGAACTAGGAACTAGGAACCCAGGAAACCGATGGGAACCCCCACCTCGTCTGTTCTTTCATCCCACTTCCTTATCCCCATTCTCTGGTTTCTAAAGTCGTTATTTTAGCGATTCGGTCCTCCGCCGTTACGACTCCCCTTTTCAGCCGCTTCACCCGATTCATCGCGAGCGATTCTTCGCCTACTTATCCTTAATCGCTTTTAACCGCTGGCTGCAAATAAAACCGGTCAGATTCGGGTGGTCCGGGGCGAGCTTGGATGAAGGATTGCCATGCATCATTTGATGACCTCCGTTGGAGAACGTATGTACGCATGTATTTCGCAGCAGCCGTTCGCCTCGATGCTATGTTTTCGTATGTATATCAATACCTAGAGTATGCATAACATTTGTATACATGCCCGCCATCATCGGATTTCGGATTTTCTAAAGGTTGCTTACGGCCTTCCCAACGTTATTCCTATTTGCTATTTGATAGCTTCGCGTGCGACTTAAGACGTAGTTTTCGGCCCATGTTCTGATGCCGCATCTACTTCGCCGACCTTTACAGCGTATATATACAACACACACATTTCCTCTTTTCTCCGACGATAGCCCTCCCTGGTCTTCACATCCATAGGCGGGCCAGTTAAGAATCCTTGTCGAGTGTCATGTTTTGCAACTTGGAAGGTTTTCCTGTCTGCAATGGAACCTCAAATAGGTCAGTTGGCCGGCAGGCAAATATGTATTTGAATAGAGATAGATGATCGCCTACATACCTAGGTATATATGAGTGGTCTTTGTCTTCCTAGATGGTTCACTTACATGTCTGTCAACAAACTAACCTTACCTCGAGTACCTACATGCTTTCGCACATATAACCTGCATATCTCCGCGCAGCATCCATTACATATGTATATGTATCTGCGTATACTAATGCAAATGTACGAATTGGCCTATGCGTAAATGTTTGTTTACGAGCAGGTACATATAGCTATAGCATACTCGTAGTCATGTGTATAGACATTCCTTTGGAGACGTAGTTCTAATTCTATACCATGTACATATTACATAGACAACATTTGGACCAATCCGGTGCAATGTATAAAAAGTTCTCCGGTTCTGTTATACTATTAATTGGTTCCTTCCCGCTTTTTCGTTTCCCTGCATCTATCCCATCTGTCAATTGGAAGCTCCCATCCACGGCCCATGGATGTCATGGATGTCATGGCTGTCAACTTTGGACTCCTCTTCTGGGCCACCCCCTTCCCTAAAAACTAGAAACCCCCCCCCCCCCCCCAAATGCACTAAAGGTATCCATGTATCGCACCCGGGTACCCCATGTACGTCGTATGTACCTCACCACCCGCCTTATACCTAACTGGGTACTTTAGGTTACATCCTTGCTCAATTCCCACTTAATTGCATTGCACCTGAACCCCGCCCAGCGGCGCTAGCTTCCTTACGGTAACTACCAATACCTTATGAGGGTAGTCCACTAGGTGCATGGCTCCTTAAAAGAGGCCTTCCGTTCCATGGGCAATTTACCGCAATGGGCGGCATTTACAAATTCGACCTTTACTACCCGTTCTCCAGAACAAGACGTGGGACCCCCCAAGGGCCTTCCAGGACTCACTTACCCAGAACCACGCAGAACTAAAACACAAAAAAAGACTAAAATTATCTTTTCCTTCCCGGATCTGAAGTAGATTTATTTTTTTAGTTTTTAGTTCTTAGTTTCCAGTTTCCCCCTACGTAGTTTATTTTCATATAAGGGAAATCTAGGTCGTTCCTAGCTTCGACATATCGCGTGTTTTCTCCCCTTCAAAATTCGATCTTAACCCCGGCCAACTACTGCTGCCACTACTACCACTACGACCACTACCACTACTGCTTATCCCACCCTAAGCTCCGTTCTGCTCGCTTACATATCTCTTTTACCTGGTCATCGAATCTAGCAAGATATATTACACACCTAGCGCCCGGTATTCCCTGATTTGACCGTTATGTGGTAACTGCGCCATCCTACTATTTCCCTGGTTCGGGCCATGGTTGTTTTCGAGGGCGCTTTACTTCCACCTAGTTATCGTCAATGCCGGTTCTGCCGCCAAAAAAACAAAACAACCGATTGTTCGGGAAGCGATTCGCTCTTCATTCGCTCGTCTTCACCCCTTCGCGCGCCTGCAGTAAACAACTAGGGTTTGCGGTTGTGACACGCAAATAGATCGTCGCGCTTGTGGTACCAACGGGCGTCTTCGGTCAAGTTCTACTTAATCCAATACGCCTAGATTAGTCGAGAGTGGCGGGAAGGCGAACGGGAAAGAGGGTGAATGTGCGTGTCGCCGAACCGTTTCTGGCCAATCACCATCTAGTTTGAGGTACGACAGGAAGCTCTCCGCGAGGAGGTGTAACCACTTGCCGTAAAGCGGCCCGGAACTGGAGCGCCACGACTCTTTGCAATATCATGACGCTTTAATGGAACATGACTTCTGTTCTCCCCGCCCCGCTCAGAGACGTCAAACCACCCGTACCTTTCGTGCGATCAAGCCCAATCATGACCGAGGTGCAGGAACCGACACCGCCGCAGAACGTTCACCAGGATGATGACCCGCAGCGAGGCCGTCGCCGGAGTCGCTCGCCTGACAAGGATATCGATGGCAACGATAGCGACCAAGGCGGCGACGGTGACACCAAGAACGATAATTCGTCTAATTCGGACGGGCCCGTAAGAAAGCGGAGAAGGAGTCGCAAAGGTCTAGACAAGAAATTCGAATGCCCTACCGAGGGTTGCGGCAAGAGTTACTCCAGAGCTGAGCATCTGTAAGCCTTTTGTCCCTGTTTTTGGTTTCTGTTCCCCCTGGGAAATACCCGATTGATTCGAATTTCTGTGCTAACATAGATCGAAAAATTCCAAGCTACCGGCACCAATTGAACCATTCGCCGAAACAGATATATAGATGCGACTTTCAAGATTGCAAGCGCCAGTTCGTCCGACTCGACTTGTGCAACCGACATAAGGATCGCCATACTGCGAAAGGGTCTGCGCTAAATCGTAAAGATTCTTTAATCAGCCAGTCCTCTCCCGTCGACAACGTAAGACCTCCGTACCCTACGCCTAGTGCCGTTTCTCCCGATTCCGATCTGCTTGGGCCAAGCTATACTCAAGGACGTGGTGCTCACTATGAATACCAGTCACCAAAAGATACCATCGGTACCCCATATACTCCTATAGCGAATACGCCACCCACGGCCTTCCCACATAGTGGTGCTCCTAATGGGGTTGATGGTTATATGCATCATGAAGCAGGTTATCCCGCTCCTCATGGAGCGCGACATCCGCACCACTCACCCTCTGGCCCTCCGCGACCAACCGTCCAGACAAACGTTGGTGCTCCTTATGGGGTTCTATCGCCAGTCTCGACGCAACATAGCAATTATCACGGCCAACTTACTAGTACCCCTCAGTCTGCTCCGGCGATGCCGTACGTCGCTCAACAAAACCTAACACCCTTCACTTTACCACCCTCGGATTTTGCGACCGCGACCACGACTGCCGCCGGCATGCCAAGAGAATCCGGACAGGCTTACGCTCCGGTAAATTCCAACGATTATAATGATCATGCGCATTCGCAATCAAATGGAGAAATGGTGTTATTAGATCAAATGGCGACCCAAACTACTATTCCGGTCTTTGGCAGTGATGGCGTATTAAACAAGTCCCCATACGTCGCTATTCCAGAAGACTTTTTCGCGTACCTATTTAACACTAACGAACCCGGCGGCTCGCCCCATGTGGGCCATGTCATGCCGCAAAATCAATATGCTAAGTATGTCTCAACTATTAATATCGAGAATCATATAGATCGAAGCTAATATATATGGATCTAGTTATGCGGAACATCAATACGGAATGCCGTATTATGGATCTGACAGTTCATCTCTAGGATATTTTCCACCGTCTAACCAACCACAGCAAGTCATGGCAGTTACAAATCTTCTTGACCCGAATCTTCCGGAGTCCCTCTTGTCTGACGAGAAGAGCCATGAAATTTTCGATTTTATTAAGGAGAGATTCCACGAGAATGACCAATCGCCGGTTGAGCGTCAGCGGGAAAGCATCCTGGATGGCGATAGAACTGATGAGAACCACATGCTAAGTAGGAAGATGATGCAACAATATATAGGATCTTACTGGGTTCACTTTAGTGATCAAATACCAATCCTACACAAACCAACGTTTTCGCCAGATAAGACGCCGAATTTGTTGTTAATAGCAGTCATGGCGATAGGAGCTGCCTGCCTAGATAGGACACATGGGCCGAAGGTTATTAGGGCTGGATCTCAATTGTCTAACTTCCTCGCATGGCATCTCAGGTGGGAGATATTCATGGATTCGAATTGCCGGCCGCCGGCCAAAATATGGGCTTTCCAGACGTTGCTATTATTGGAACTTTACGAGAAAATGTACTCAACAAGGGAGCTTCACGAAAGAGCTCATATTCACCACGCGACAACGATTACGCTCATGAGACGAGGAAGGTCGCTGATAGGGAGATCGGCGCTTGACTCGCCACCTAACCCGCGAGATGAGAAACTAGGGACGAATAGTTCCCGGCATTCTTCGACTTCGGGATTGGCGCACACGCCGGATGAATGGTGGAACCACTGGATTACAAATGAGACTACCCGGCGTGCTGCATTCGCTGCGTTCCTCATCGACTCGATTCATGCTACAATGTTTGGACATTCGACTGTGATGGTAGCGCATGAAATGCGTCTGCCTCTTCCTTGCGATGACACGTTATGGAAGGCTACGAGCGGCGCCGAGGTTGGTAGGATCGAAGCGAATCTCATGTCTAACGGGATTAAGCCGATTTCGTTCTTGGAGGGCCTTAAGAGAACACTTGCAGGACAAGAAGTGCAGACGAATCCTTTCGGTCGACAAATTCTTATGGCGGGTTTATTAAGCGTTAGTTGGCACATGAACCAACGCGACCTTCAAGTTAGCTCTTTAGGAGGCGGCGTACAACAAGCCCTCGGTGGCCGCGACAAATGGCGGTCAACACTCACTAAAGCGTTCGACTCGTGGAAGACGGACTTTGACAAGTCATTACAACGTGCCGATACAATGGTCGATCCATACAGTTACGACAAACGAAGTGAGGCCAATGTCGTGTTCGAGAGTCGGACCGTGCTGCATCATTTGGCACACATGGCGATGCATGTGGATATCGTCGATTGCCAAATATTCGCTCGCGCAAAGCGCTTGTTAGGCAGGGCAATTGGTACTCAGGATTTGAGCAGCGCGCAACGTAGGATGAAGGACCTTTGGGCACCTTCTGCGAAAGCTCGCGACGCGACATTTTATGCTGCTAAGTTTTTATGCTCCGTATTACTACCTGAGAATGCGAACCCGTCCTCGGACGGCTACAGTACTCAGTCAGGTATCATTACATATTTCGCTAGAGACGACGTTCTGCTGAACCGACCTTGGGTACTTTACTTCGCAGCATTAGTTGTGTGGTGCTATGGTTATGCGCTGGAGGGACCTTGTCCTGGAGTTCCGATTCCAAATACACCACAAGAGAAGATGGGTCAGATGCGCGATTACCTACTGAGAGTTGGCTCAGTGGGATCGCCGGAAGATTTGAAAGGAATGGGGGGCGTTAACAACAACAGTGCTCTGCTCGTGGTCCTTAAGGACTCGTTCGAGTCGACGAGATGGGAGCTGCTACACGAAGGTGCGACTTTGCTAAGCAATTGTATTCAGCTGAACAGTGGCGCGAGCGTGGTCTAGCGAAGCACTCTACAAGCAGAAATAAACGAAAAACAAAGATTTATTATGAAATATGGAACATTTGGAGGCATGATGAACGAGATTCCGAGGATGGCTAACTTGAGGTATGAGGAGGGGGGAGGGAGGAATGGATTACGGGGCAAGCGGTATTGAAAAATTTATTCGCGCGGATTATACCAATCATCCATTCATCTACCAACGGGGGGTGGTTATTCGGGGATTGTTGCACTCTTCTTTTCTTGCTGTTTTACTGTAACTAAAACCTGCGGTCTCGCTATATACCCCCCAACGACGCAACGCCGCACAACCTACGCATGAGTACGATTTTTGCTTTCTGCTATCCTACTCGATACTATCCACGTATATATACGATCTACTGAAAACTTGGAGAAGTTATGAAGTTTTTGTTTGAATACGTACGTACATATCATATCATCGTATCTAGGGTGTGGGATTTTTTGCTCTTTTTCCTTCTTTTCTTGATCATTTGGTTATATGTAATGTGGGATATGCGTGCATCTATGGGTTTAGCAATAGCATGGTGCTCGGGGAAGAATGTATATGCGGTCATGGTGGTTTTGGAATCCTTCGGGGCTGCGATTTTGTATGTATGTACGTTAACGCCGATTCGAAGCATGTCTACCTCTCATCGTGGTTGAATTGATATGTACATCACCTCTAGTTAGGCCGAGTTATTTTCTCTGTGTCTAGGATCTTGTATCTAAGGTAATGTACGAGGCTAATTAATAGAAACGTGGGGGTTTTTGAAACCCCGTATAGCCCGTATTTTACTACTAGTTTACTTATTTTAGTCTCCTAACAAATGTGTTAAGTGTGTTAGGGTGACGATGATCTGGAGTAGTAGCACTTGAACTTGTAGCTTTAGCCGCAGAACATGCCCCACCAACCCACTTCAAGTACATGCCTCGGTACCTAGGTACCTTTTAGACTTATAGAGAGGTACATATTCCGGTGGGGGGTTTTCTTAGCTCCGTAATCCTTCTTATGTGAAGTCATACAGGACAGGAGGAAGGTGATACCTACATCTTGCGTGGTTTGGTAGATTGGTAATGGAAGGATCGGGATTTTAGATTTCAGTAAGGGATAGCGCTATATGTATGTAGTACCTATCTTGGTTATCCCTTCTAGGTATACCGAAGCTACCGCACTGATTATAGTTTTCTACGGCATTAGTCCGCCTGCGACTTCAGTAACTCCGAGACCCAATCCATTAATCAGCTGTCTAGGGAACCCCTCCACCCCTCCTCCCCTCCTCCAGCTTTCATTGACAAGTCAGACCGGCTCATTTCATTGCAGTTGGTACGTTTACTGTGACACTATAGCGGGTCGTCGCGAAAATACACCTTTCTTTGTTTTCAACTTTCTCTAGCCCCCCGTGGGAATAATACCCAAAATGGTTCTGTTGACGGACCTTCCGCCCGAGATTGTGCAACACGTGCTGGGTTACGTCGACCCGCCTGATTTGGGCCGAGTTCCTCTCGTCTGCAAGAACCTCTATCATACCGTGAAAGGGAATAGCGCAATCTTTAGATCTGTCTATCTCAACATTCTTGATAGACCTGCAGACCAATTCAACGTAAATTGGGAACAAATTGTTAAGGACACTGCTCACCTACAAGCTATAGGCCGCCGGGACCGAGGTCAAGATAAGGTACTATGCCTATCGAGCTCATTCGCTTACTGACATCTACCATATGTCTACGTACCTACTCATACTGTAATAAAAAATACTGATTCCTAACACTGAAATGTGTAGGAAAACGAACTCCCCTTCGTTTACGATACAGTCAAAGCTCTTCTACGGAATGCTTCTGTCGCTACCGATACGGAGCGATCCCGCAATGCCGAGCTTTTAGACGGCATCTTCTCGGAAGAGGCTAACCAATCTGCGTTCTTGTGTCGATCTTTTATCTTCGAGCGCGCTGGGAAAGATCACAATTTACTTTACGATCCAACGCCGCGAGTCGACCACCAAAAGAGCGCGCAACTGCACTGCCTCTATGGAGTGCCAATATTGCAAGCGAAACCGGGGAGCCCCTGGACGAGGGCTAATGAGATGAGGCTGTATGCTTGCGCAAAAGTCTATGATCTGAGACAATATACTGAGAAGACGAAATGGGGTCCTTTCATGGATGACGATACGGATCGCGTGGACTGGGAGAAGGTCGAAGCTATCATGATCGTGATCGGGTCCAACTTGCGCAAGCTACGCCTCACTAGCTTTCCCGAGTGTAAGGACCATTGGGAGCTATCGTTTGCGGGCGTCTGGCCTCAGAGCTATGTCCCATCTCCGTTCGCATGCCAACCAGAGTCCTTAGAACTCCAGGACCCCTACGATATAACCGGGAACTGGTTACGTGTGGTGTGCTTTTTGGATTATACCGACTTCTTCGCCTATAACTTTAGCACCCAGAACGTGATCAACCCAAGTCAACCTTTGCCTGCCATTGACTTCGGCGAAGCTACGCGGTTGATCCTCATGAAGCTTCACGTGACAAAGATTGAACCCCCTGGGCCAGATGATGGACAAGAATTGCCAGTGGTGTACTTTGAGGGCGTTTCCAGATCTCTTGACGATAGTCGCGATGAGAACGCCAACTCAGACTTGAGAGGTATGCGAGGTGTGTTGACTACCAAAACTTGAGAGCTCCTGAACCTGCTAACGATGATGGCTTGGGAGGAGTAGGATCCGTACGTTTAACGCGCGAGGGTGAGGTGCGCTGGACGACATTCTCCATCTTTAGCGGTGAAGAGAGGTGGCGTAGTGAAAGCGTACAAATTGGTGGGGTGCGGAGTGCGAAGGGAGTCTTGGGTAATTGGTTTGATAAGTGAGTTCACCAGAATCCAGCTTTCATCACGTACATATGACCTCGACTCTATATGCTAACGAGAATTTGTAGGGATTTCGACCATCGTGGTCCAGCCGGACCAACTGCGTTTTGGAAGGTCCCGGAGGGGATCACAAATTCACAGGTCCAAAGCGCGCTGTCATATGACTTCAATAATGAATCGGAAGATGAATACGAACCCCTAGAGTCCCCTCAATCTGGCGACGAAGATGGAGAGGAAGAGATGGTTGGATGGCACTTTACAACCCGGGTGGCGCAGGATGATTAGAGATTTGATGTCTTGCTACACTTCTTTCCCTCCCGCTCGTCTGGTTGAAGTCTAGGTTGGGGTTTCTCGAAGTTGTTTTGCGATTTAGAATGTTCTCTTCTTCTGATAACTAGGGCTTATATTTATGGCATGGCTGGTGATATATCGGCTCGCAATGATCTATACTTGTGAATATTCAAAGTGTTACTTTGATAACCCTGAAGACGTGGACCAGCGAACCTTCTGCATGAAAAATATGGGGTAAACTTAGCGGGTACATACCCTGGAGTTTTAGCGGTTAACAATGGTAGCCGTTGCCGAATATAGCAGGCGAATAGCGTACCCTAGCAGCCTAGCTGCCTACCTAGGTAGTAGTTATGGTCCGAGCTTCTTTCATTTTACGTCAACCTCGGCATCTTGAAATAATCAACCCGATCATTTCTTCGGGTCGTGCCTTGTGTCATAACAATCCAAAATACAACTACAGACAGCAGTTACAACAAAAACATGCTACTTTCCTAACATTCAATTAGACAATTTCCATAGTCGAGAAACAAATATGGAATTCGTCACCGCCCTTCGGGGCACATTCGATGACCAGAAGCCTTCACTATTCGAACTTCTGTCAGAACAACAGCTGAATTCACTTCTACCGCCCACATTACGATACCTTCTTACGGTCGCGACACACCGATATCCCCGCTACCTCCTACGCGCCCTCAACTCCTTCGATGAACTCTACGCACTTGCTATGCTCATAATCGAGCGCCATTACCTACGAACCCGCGGTGGCAGCTTTACTGAGCATTTCTACGGCCTGAAGAGAGAAAAATCATTACAAGCCGAGATCCCACGCGCTACCTCACGGACCCCGGAACTTGTGAGGGAGGCCCTCAAATTGACTGAAAAGGATGTATGGAAGAACTTGGCCGTTATGGTCGCGTTGCCGTATTTAAAACGAAAGTTTGACGAGAGCCATGAGATCGAGGCCCCACGCGCCTTACTCGGTGCTAATTACACCCGTATGCCCGCGAACCCGACGCTGAAGCAGCGATTTATGCACTATTATAAGTGGTTTATTCGAAACGTCTACCCGAGCGTTCATACCGCCTACTACTTCAGCGTTATCGCCTTTAATTTGGCGTATCTATTCGACAACACGAAATACCATAATCCTTTCATGTGGCTCATCGGCACGAGAATACGTAGGATGAACGCGGCAGACTTCCAGGCTATTGAGGCTCTGGGTAAGCCCAAGGCTGGCAATCCGCCTTTGACTGCTACTAGTCTATTCAATCCCAGAACAATGGGTCCGAGATTGTTGGGTAGCTTGTCGGTATTGCTACCGACGAGTATATTTGCGTTGAAGTTTCTAGAGTGGTGGTATGCGTCGGATTTTGCGAAGCAGTTGACTAGGAAGGCATCTGAGAACCTGGAGCTACCACCACCTATTGTATCCGGTTTGTCAGCTCTGGGAGTTAAGGTACCTGGGAAGAAGGGCCAAAAAGAAATTGAAAACAAGCAAGAGGAACAGAATAAGGTCCCGTTAGCAGAGGAGGCCCCGATTGCTACTCCATCACTACTCCCGATATTGACCGTACGGGCCCCGGAAGATTCCGAGCTATGCCCTATCTGTGAGGATGAGATTACGACGGCAACAGCGTGCCAGACAGGTGTTATCTACTGCTATGCCTGTATACATAAGTGGCTTGAGGGTAATCACCCAAGACAGGAGGAGTTCATGACTGATAAGGAGGGCAAATGGGAGAGTGGTCAGGGAAGATGTGCTGTGACGGGACGCCGGGTTCTCGGCGGCACGGAGGGTCTACGACGTATCATGGTTTGAAATAGATATTCGGGATATACCAAGGTAATATTGCATCTACCTGTGCATTGGGTCAGGCACTGGCGTTCTGGGGTAGCATCTAAAAAAAGCTACGTGCTAAGGGAGCATTCGGTACGTCCCATGTGGCATATTTGGTGTGGAGTTTAATAGGTGAAGGATGATGAGCTATCGTCGTTGCAATCCGATCTATGACTTTAAGACATTGTCTAGACCAGTCGATTTTACCTAAATGACCGACGACATATGGCTAGAGCTCTCTTCGATGACTATCAAACAACGCATCTCCTGATAGCTCAAGTGGCTGCAGAGAAGCTCCAATGATTTACGAAGCTCTACCTCAAACCCCTGACATGATGATGCAAGCAATACAGATGATAATGGACCGATTATAAGGTCTAGGCATGTTTAAATCGTCGACATGGGAAATTAGAGCTACGACGACGAATTCCATAAATAGCATCAGGTCGAAATCTAGACCCAGAGCGAAAATAGACACCACGCTTCCGTACGAGATATATCACGCCGGAATGGGCTTAGGGATATCCCATCACCAAGCACCGAAATCGTAAACTGTCCACTACGCAAGACCGAAGAATTGCATTAGGGAGCTAGGGAAGGCAAGAGCTTTTAGATCGACCCAGTCCGGCGTATCGCAAATTAAAGCTGACGTCTGGACTGAGCGAGGCAATCTAGACCTAAGCTATCACCGGCGTCTGAGCGTGCTATCTTGTTATTACCCGGGACGCTGGATAGTGATGGGCAGATTTCACTTAACTACTTCAGGGTCCCGGGGCTCCAACGACCTTTTTTCCCGGGTACGCGATGGGCTGCGGGTTAATATGGCTAAAATGCTCAACCAGCGAAACGGGGACACGGCGAGCTGCTGTCATTGCGATAGTGGCGTTGGGACGCGCATGTTGATACCTATTTTTTTTTGTGCCATGACGACGATGGTGTTTTCTATCTAGGGGGTCATGCAAATTGAGAAGGGCCGGGCAAGGGCTATTCGATTGGACCATGGGCCAGAATGCTATACCATTGGATGCAGACGTCGATGGCGTTCGAGATTCCCATTCTTGGGTTCGCTACTGATGGCCCATCCGCAATGGTTTGTGATTCTTTAAAAAAAAAAATCTCATGTGATAGATCGAATGAGTTCATCTATAAAGGCTTGGGTTGTCCGCATCGAGACACTGGTTATCAAATCATCTATTCGCCACAAACACAATATCCAGATACTTAATCTAGAGCTATCTAGGTATCTATACGCACTGCTATTAAATACTTATTTAACATTATAAATATCGTCTTCACCTTCACCTTCGGCTCTAGTTCACCTAGCCTACTACCACAATCAAAACTTACCCTCTTTAAACTTAACATATAAAACATCAAAATGCGAACCACATTCCTCCCCACACTCTCCCTCCTCGGCCTCGCCGCCGCCGCCGCCGCCCCGGCTCCTGCTCCCCTAACAACCCGCGACGCCCCCACACCACCTCCGAAGATCGTCTCCGTATCGTATTCCGGCAGCGGCTGTCCCTCCTCATCACCCGCAGTCGACCGCACCGGCGGCTTCGAGGACATCGCGCTACGCCTAAACTCTTTCGAGGCGCGTACCAGCACCATCGCCGACTCCTCCGTAAACTGCCAAGCCCATCTATCCATCGCGGGTACAGCAGCTGGATGGCAAGTCGGTGTTAAGGATGTTTACGTCAACGGTCATTTAGTCCTAGACCCGGGCGCGAGTCTAGATTACTACGTTACGAGTTTCTGGAGCGAGGATGCTGATCGAACCGTACGTTTTTCCCCCCATTCCTCGATATTTTCCTCAAGAGCAGTTTTCTTTCTTTCTTGCTTCTTCTCCCTGCCCACCTTGATCTGAGCAATATATTAATCTTATCTTGATATGTATATATATATAGGTCACGATCAAAGGCTCCCTCGCCAACAGCGGCACCGCGCGTCTAAACCAAGACGTCACGGCGCACAGCACAGTTCCCGACAACCAAGTCGTATGGTCGGCATGCACGGGCGCTAAGGGCAACGTCGGGTTGTTAAACGTCAATTTCCGCGTCGCGCTCCAGGCCGATGGCGCGCAGTACGGATACTTTGGCAAGGACCCCGATACCACGGCTTCGGAGAGCTGGAGTTATGTCTGGAGACGGTGCTAGATTATTCATTTATTTTTATTTCATTTGTTCTCCGTTTGATTAAGTTGGTTGGGATGAGAGGGGCGACAGTACCGTTCTTGCATGGTGGTTATTTTGGGTTGAAAAAACTTCGACTTTACTTTCCATTTGTTAGGGGGCATGGGATGGGTTTATTTACTTTAGGGTAGGGTTAGTAAAAGGGTTGAGGGAATATACTAAGTTTTATTGAATGCCTGAAATTTGATCAACGTGTTTTGTTCTTAATCACAAACACTCGAACTGAACACTCTATACAAGCGATACAATTCAAGACGACTTTATCATATCTATCCTTTTGGGGGGGGGCGGGGGGTTATTTAAAACAACGGGAATTTTAAGGAGTACGTAGGTGTAGACTAGCCTCGATTATTCGAATATGACGTCTACCCCTACCGCCAACACTAGAGCCACGAAGGCCTCTTTCACGAAATCCATAGTAAGATGTAGCGGCTCGGGTACCTAGTTCTTGGCCGGTTTCGTCTTCGAAATTAGCATTCGACCGATCTGGATAGTCTCGTCCATTCCCTGTTGTCGTAACCAGAACCTGCGTGAAATGTTAGTTACTTGGTCGTTCAGTTAAGTCAAAGGGGGAATCCGTACAGTTGTTCGGGAGATCCTCCACCCTGTGTCGATATTCTTCGAGCTTCTTCCTCAAGCGATTCTCGGGTGATCTTTTCTCCAGCTTGTGGTGTGGGAGGAAGTGGCTTTTCGGTGACCTCGACGCCTAGACTCTCCTCTAATAATTGCTTTCTCATGGCAAAGCGCTCAGCTCTCTCCTTTTGCAGACCGGGGCTATCCATTTGATGCAATGCATATCGGACGGCAAATTGTGCAGCAAGGTAGACGTGTTCCGAGAGAATCATGCTTAACAAGAGACCCCAAGCAGCGATATTGTACGGGTCACCGCCAGGTCCCTCAGAATCACCACTGAAAAGATATACGATGGCGGAACTGACAAGGCTTCCGAACCAGGATAAGAACCCTAGCGAGTTGAGCCAAGGGCCAATTGAATCAGCTCTCCACGGGATTGGTCTCTGGCTACTGACTGCAATCTTCATAGCATCTGATCGAAGTTCAACCCAGTTGTTGATAAAGAATGAGAGGGGAGTCAGTGGCCAGATCGCCGAGAACAGGGACAAGTATCCGAATTGGACTACCATTTCTCGGTAGTCAGTGGTGACATCATAAATATCCAATTTCGCCTCATCGCGAACCCTCTCAAGGAAAGCGTGTTCTTCGGGGACATCGTTGGCTGCCAGTTCCTTCTTACCCTTAGATTGAGCCTTTTCGACCTCACTGAATACCTTACGTTTCGCATAAGGAACGACGACCTCAAGCGCAAAGTTTACGATCTGAGCCGTTACCGTGAAATAGATCATCTGCTTCCTTAGGCGATCAGGATTTATCTGAAAGCCCTGGGTAGCGATGGTCTTCTCGCTGGAAAACTTCTCTGCTGTAATCTTAAAAATGTCCAGGTAGGGAACAAGGAGGTTCCCAAAAGGCATGTACACAAAAGCGCTTAGGAAAAGAGGGGTATACGAGGTGATGAAGTTAATGATGAATAACTTCTGAACCAGGGAGGCATGATGAGCTAGAAAGGCGTTAGCGATCTGAACAACGAGAATTAAATGTATATGTGCATACCGTCGCTTGTCTCGTAGTTTTCCCTGTCCGTAAGCTTCTCAGCGAAATTTCCGAGAATGGTCGACAGTGTTGGTAATACTCCAGTGAGAATAATTGTCGGCGTAAACGTCTAAAAGTTATTAGTGACATTCACAACTAGCTTCAAACGTATATACAAACCAGGTATGACTTAAAGGGTCCATTGTAAATTTCCGAGAGAAATATCTCAATTGAGAAGCAGAAGACATAGAGAGCCCCAAGGATTGCCAGGCAGCCTAGCGCAAATGGAATCTGCAACAGCTGAGTTTTCAACCTCTTAACTGGAGAATAAACCTTCACAGCCTCGCCAGTTACCGGATCCGCTGCTTCGTGATCCCATCTAAATTGTGTTCGTGGGCGTTGAATACGTGATACCCCACGAACACCCCATTGGACGGCGAGATCCACCTCTTTCTTCTTCCACCACTCGAAGAAGACAATAGACCAGAGGGAGTTGACGAGGGCATAAAACCACGAATAACGATCAAGTATGAGCCAGGCGCCAAACCCAAATGCCGCTGGGAAGGCGAGGAATGCAAAGTACGACTGTACAAATGCGAAATAAAACGCGACGCTCTCGCCAAATCTATCGCGGATTTGATCAAGGTCTTGCTCGTTTAGGAAGTACTTAGTACTCCACTGTTTGATCCATTGACGATTGAAGGCGTGGTTATGAAGCGGGAAGACGGATACAACATCTTTCCACTGGCCAATTTTGGGCGTAATACCGGCACCTCCCTCATTTTTAGGCTTCGTTATGAGTAAATAGACGGTACGTAGCCTCTCAGCTTCGCTGACGGGTTGGTTGGTAAATTCCTTGCCCACGTCCTTTTCTGGAGCAGTGATCCGCACACCATACAACCAATCCTGGACACGCTCGCGATAGATTTGATTGGCGAGATGCTTCTCGGATGCTACCTTGACGAAGACCAGCAGGGAGGACTCGTCACCATTTCGAACCTCAGAAGCTAGACCAACTCTAGTCAGAGCCTCGATTAGCTGGGTAAAACCAGCTTCGGCTTCAGCTCTGTCGCTGGAGACTTTGAAGTGAATTACATAATCCACGTCCATGTTGGTCCTCAGCTCTGGGCGGTCGCCATTGGAGGTGTAAAGAGAACGAAGACTCAACATAGCCTAGCAATGTTTATAATATGACCACGTCAGTGAGTGTTTTCGTCAATATCGAGGGTTTTAAGGTGAGATTCAGTTTTGTAGTTCATCTAGAATTGGATGTTGGCCAACTATAGTATGTGATCTCGTGGCCACGTTTTTTGAAGATGCAACGCGGAATGTGAGAAAAGGGGTGATGTGAAAAAAGAAAAAAGTAATATAGGAAAGGTGACAAGAGGGAAACAAGTAAAAAGAAATACTACAACGAAGTCATCGTTAGTCCATAGAAGCGTGCTACAGAGTTTGTATGTTCAGGTATCGAATATCAAGAAAGTTGGACAAGGAAATCAAGAAGTGATTAACGTCATCCCGCCCTTGAATACGGGGAAACCAGCTGGAATCAATGACATCCATCATGGTAATGGCCCGTGCGACCCCTGTAATTATAGCGTCCTGTCGGTTTCTGGGATCTTGGAAGGCCGCCAATCTTAAAATGATATGCGCTATAAGTTGCCCTAAGCGGTCTAAAGCTTCATCGGCCACTCGGCATACGCCCTAGCAGAACGTGTGCGCTAATGATACCTGTAACCCCTATAAGAAATATACTAACGCAGTGAAGCTCCCCTGCTGCAGGAGCTTACCTGATAGCTCACAGGCTGCTACGGTGCCCTGTTACCGTCGTATTTTGCGGCGGCGGCGGCGGGGGAAAGCTACCTCGCTACTATGTAACAAACCTTCCCGTCGATCAACTTCAAAAAAGGACATCATCCCATGAGATAGTCATGTCGAAAACTATTCTTCACTTTACCGCTAGTCTAGTAAAAGGGGATGCTTCCCATATATCTTACTTCATGACTCCGCCCACAATTCTTTAAACAAAGCCCGCCATACAACCACCCTTTACGAACCTACCTACCCTGAGCTTTGGGCAGTTTAACAAAAACATCGCCGTAATACGTCATAACACGGTAAACAACAGTGAATGATTGGACGATATCATGGGTTTACTCGTGAAGCTAGGCCTACGGAGGCCTATTGAATGGGAGCGTCCGACACTACTCGATTGGTTTCTCGATTCACCTCTACAAGCCCTCGTCTTTCATCTCTACCTGGTAATCCTATGGTTACGCGGTAACCCGGTCAAGCCTCCACGAAACAGACAGCCCATTAAGATCGTATGCCTCTCCGATACCCACGAGTCCATCGTTCAGAATGTACCCGACGGCGACCTCCTAATCCATTGCGGCGATATGACCAACGTCGGTACCGCTGCTGCCATTCAAAAGCAGATCGATTGGCTAGCTTCCCTCCCCCACCAACACAAGGTTCTCATATGCGGAAATCACGATAGTTGGTTCGATATCAATTCTAGAAGAGAAGAGGATACACTATTGAATAATGTGATAAACATGAGGGGACTTCACTATCTCGAGCGCAAATCTGTGACGCTGGCCTTTAAGGGGGGCCGGAAGCTGAACATCTATGGTGCTCCTGATCTTCCCGAGTGTGGAGGCCCTGAAAACGCGTATGTTAAAGCTGTTATAAGGCTCTTTCGCCTCTAAGAACATGGCGTCTAACTAGATATCGAACTTTAGGTTCCAATACACAGCTCAGCAGAACAAATGGCATGACACTATTCCGGTGGACGTAGATATTCTCGTAACTCACACCCCGCCGGTAAGTAAACACATTTTACCCGTATCGCACTCATTATCCCTGACTAGGCTCTTGTATCGTAGCTACACCACCTCGACCTATCCCTCGGCTGCCCGCACCTACTCCGTGAAACCTGGCGCAAGAAGCCAAAGCTCCACGTCTTCGGCCACGTCCACTGGGGGCGGGGCAAGCAACCCGTGTTTTGGGACGAGTGCCAAAAGTCATACGAAAAAGTCATGTCGCAACCGAAACGAGGACCTATCTACGATATGCTTCCACATTTGGGCTGGCTGGATGCCTGGAAGGTCCTGTATTATGGATTCATTAGTATCCTGTGGCATTGGTTCATGCTTGGCGGTGCGGCGAATGGAAGCGCGATGATCAATGCCGCTATGCAGCATGGGACATCGGGGAGGTTGACGAAGAAGCCTCCGATAACTATTGAGATCTAAAAGTTATCTAAATTGTTGATATGGAATTGTGATATATGAAAGAAGATGCGTACATAAAACCATGATGAACAGGATTTAAAGAACGAAATAATTACCTGCATTGGCTTAATAGCAATATGAACTTCTAGTATAAATGAACATCCGAAAAAGAAAAACAGTAAATAACCCATGTCAGATGATATTGAATATATACGATAATATCACGCAATGCTACAAACAAAAACACCTCTCCTAAGAAGCATCATCATCGTTATCATACTCCTAACACTTGCCCAACCCTGGTAGGTCCCCCAAACGCCAACCACCTCCTGAAGCTCCGCACCACCATATGTTTTACAAGAAAGGAAAAGAGGAAAGATGGCAACATATAAGAATAAAAATCCACCCAGAAAAACCAATGAAAAAAATGCAAGAAAAGAGTGGAATATGTAATCATAACACCACCATACCAACGAAAACACCAAACCACATCGCAAGCCCCGTCACAAGCATGCGCAAAGCAGACGCAGGTCCTGGGCCCTCCGATATAGGAATGAGATGATCACCCGTAGGTTTTGGCCTAGGAACGTAGGGCGGGGGGACCGGAGCCGTTCCGTGCGCAGGTACCGTACCGTTGTTAATCACCGGGACGACGGTCTGCACTGCGACCGCGGTAATAGTGTGATGCTTCGTCTTAGTATGCGCGGCTATAGGTACTGTCAAAATGACCGTGCTCTCGCCGTGAGGACCACAGGCTTTGCACTTCTCGGTAATTGTGGTCATAGGCACGGCTGTCGGGATAGCGGGGTGGGGATGAGGGGGCTTGGTGTGTGTTTTGGTGCACCCGCAGTCTTCGTATGTGACTGTGGTTGTGTATTCAACTTCAACCAGGGATGCGGGGTTGGTCTCGCAGATAGTGGTGTATGTCACAGTCACTGGTTTTGTCTTGGTGATGTTGTGCGCGGGGATGGAGGGGAAGCCACCGGCCATGGCTGGGGCGCCAGGGGGTGCGGGTTCTTGGGCGATGTCGGCGTAGATGGCGAGGAAGAAATTGGTTGCCTCGGCCCGGGGTTGGGGCTGAGTAGCAGTCGTGGAAACGTTAACTGGGAGAGTCGAGTTGACCGGGTGTCTCTGAATTGGACGAACGCGTCCGCATTTTGCGTCCTCGACTGAGGTCGTGTTGCCGAGGGTGTCGGCGCAGTAGCATGTGCTGTGATAAAGTTAGGTTTTCATGATTCAGGTTGAGAGGGGCGGGAAACACGTACTCATTTTGAACACCGGCATATTTGCGCCCAGCACAACTAGCGACACAGTTCTCATGGCTCATATCTGGTGATGAAGATACAGGAGAGAATAATGACTGATCTTCCTTGGATCCGAAGCAGCCAAGAGGTGTGAAGCCGCTAACTGGACCTGGTGCTGCTCGCGGGCTAACAGTCGGCGTTTGTTGCACCGTAGAAAGCGTAATAGTGCGAGTACGAGTCGGGACCACGGCGGTCGGAATAGCTGTTGGGTTAGAAGCACTTGAAGAGGTAGTGGTGTTTGCGGGAGGAATCGTCATGTTAGTCAGTGGTCCATATTGGTAAACGTCGATAAAATTGATATCCCAATATCTTCACGATGATTAGCCCATTTACGCTCAAGATAAAAATCGTTGGGTTGTACTTACGCTCCTTGAAAACTATCCGGATTGCTAGCAACATATTCCTCACATGTAGGTGCGAGTTGGTTGCACTGGTCGGCTTTGCCCCAGATATTGTCTGCGTAATCACCGCAGAAGTTCTGTCATATTGCGTAAGCCCACGATGCTCCTGTGCTGAAAAAAATACTCACAATATTTAGCACAAGGCTCATGTTGAAGAAGAATTCGTCCGGGCTGCAGGAAGATCCACCAAAGATTGCTTGCGGTGGACCCCAACTTGACGGGTTGGGTCCTACGACATGACCGTACACGATATTATCGGGGATGGCAGAGCGTGGGAAATGCCATAATTTCAGGTCTTCAGAACCCCACTCCATCGCATACACACCCCCTCCTTCCGCGTTGAATGAATCACCATACGAAGTCGTGTCAGATTGAGGTGTCGCATAGTTACAACCAATGTTTCCGGGCTGGCGCCCATGTATTAGCGTTGTAGCACATACTTGGCAACATGTTCAACTTACTCCCGGCGAACAATTCGCGTGGCCTTGATCTCCTATAGCAGCATTCTTTTGAAGTTGACATCCCTCAGTTCTACTTCGGTCTCAGTAAGTTTTTATATAAAGAAGGCGCGGGTTGACCTACGTATGAGCAGAAAACAAGTTTCTTTGGGCAGTGTTGGCGCCTTCGATAATCTCAAGTTCACCTCCTACGGGCCATTCAACCCCCTCCTGGTTATTGAAAGCCCAAACTGAAGACTATTAGCTCGGATCACATAAGAGAGGGCACAACTCAACGAACAAGCAGGCCAAGTGCCACATGTCGATGATGGCATATGATATATATCCGCGATAAAAAGCCCATGGGTAAAGCTGTCGTGGCTAGTAAGACGAACACTAGGCCGCCCCTTATCACTTGTGGTGTAAGTGTTGTTTGAATCGACACCCAGTATCACGTTATTGTAATCGCTGCCGACGGATACTAAATTCTGAGCTAGAGCATTCTCTTTACTCTGATAACTATTACGGGATTAGAGCTTATGTATGGATTGTTTTAATTCATTTGCTTACTCGACGAAGCCGTTGGTAGGGTCACTGCCCGTAAAGAAACTGAAGCTATCAAGCAGCCCCTGGCCACCATAGTGTTGCGTAAGTGAGTATCCTGTTGACATTGCGGCGGCGAAACCAAGCGAGCGCTGAAATGATAAATAAGCTAAAAGAGTGACTTAAAGATTGAAGAGAACGAATGAGAAGAGAAAATGCATGAGTGCAAAAAGAGCGACTGGGCTGTAATAGCGAACGAAAGTAAAGAAAGACCTGGCTTGACAGAAGAAATTTACATGGCTTCATGTCAGTATTTTAAGTAATTTGTTGACATAGAAGATCACCATGGTTTGTTTGGAATGCCTATAACAAGACGCGGCCATTACATAGAGAATGCTAATAAGACTTAGAGTTGCAACAGAAGCTCAAGTCAACGCGGGTGAGACATGGACCCTCTAGCAACGCGGAGAAGCCTCCACGTCATGATGTGCCGTCTGGGAATAATTCGTAACTTCTACTTGAAGATGGTTAATTAATGGCTTTTGAAATTGTAATTCTCATAAAATTGAATGCGTTATGGTTCCGACAGTAGAGAGAGGTGGAAAATAGTTATGTGTTGACCTTGATAGAATCAAAGGCCTTATTGTTGATTTTCTAGGGCTCTCTAGCGTTACTGACTGCTGTGGCATAGAAGGAACTACCGCCCCGCACATCAAGCACGGATCTCCATTCCTCATCCTGCTAGATAGAGTAGAGTAGCTAGTGTCTCCTCATGACGCCGATCTTCTGTACATAATCGAGCTCATGCGACGAAGTCGACAAATGCCTAGGTTATCTTTGTCAGAAGGGTTTCGTTGATTGATGTTTATTCTCTAGGTGAAGATATGTATAGGATGTTGGTCTCTGATGATCGAAGTATAATTGTAGAAAAGTTGAAGAAAAGTTGGTCTAAATTGAAGCTGGTTGGCAGAAAAGAAAGAAAATGTACCTACAAAATAGACTATACGTAGACGTTCTAGCTTCAAAGTTCTTATTCGCCCTTGCAGCACGAGAAGGTTAGGGGTTATGTTGGGGGCCGAACCCTAAATACCTAGGTACCTAACCTACCTACCTACCTCTATTAACAAAACAGATTCACCCACGGACCACAACGGTATGTACTTCCTTACTTTTAACCATATCTGGCATACCCGCAAAGCTCTGCCTCTTACCAATTCAACAAACTACATAATCTCTTCCAACAGAGCGGAGTTAACCGACCCTACAGTAACCTTGATGGATTTGACGTATTATGGTCGATCCGTATCAATATATTGGTACACTTAAAAGTAAGCATGTCTCAGCATACGCATTTATCTTGAGTCTGAGTACCCCAAATACCTAGATACCTAGGTATCTATGAAAGTATAGATGACTATTAATACCTAACAAGACAGCAAGTGATGTCTATCTAGGTACACATACGCATATCATCCACTCTTATCATGGGTTATGATGAAAGCAGCCTGTTCTGCCAATGCATATACAGCGGCTTGAATATGTGCGCCGATAGATATAGGAAATACCGACGCATCAGCAATCCATAAGTTCTTAACACCTCTCACGCGCAGGTCATTGTCCACTACTTCGCCCATCGAACATGAACTAGAGCCATGGAACGTGGATCTACAGATAGGAGGTCAGTGTCGGTGGCGACGATACTGTTAATGGGGGTATTTGACTTACATGCCCTGGGCTTTTATCCTGCTGTCTATGTACTCGTCGCTTGAATTCGGAGTTAGCGGTTCATCGAACCCTGGGGGTGGGGTTTCGTTTTCAACAATATCACGACCTAATACCGTGTCGCCTGTCAACAAAGTGGCGATACTGCGCATGGAATGACGCCACACATATTTATCAACTTCCGTGGCGTAATAATTCGGATCGAGTATCGGCGCGTCAGCTGGATTCTTCGATGCGATAGTAACGGTTCCACGCGACGTTGGCTTCATTGCCATGAGGGCGGTACTGATGTGCGTCCCGTCAACTGGAATGGGTGGGAACGATAGGTAGAGAAGCATACTTTCCATCACTGCCCAGCTTCTCTTCAGCAAGTAATGGTCCTGGTCTATCTCGCTTTCATCTTTTATGATGGCAGCCTCCAACCCGCCGCGGGGTACACCAGTGCAAGCAATTTGACTTATAGGCGCTCCAGCCCTAAACTGCGGTTCGGCAAAAAGGGCATTCGCGGAACCTATGGCATACCCTTTAGACGGATCCTTCAACTTCCAGTTCACCTGCATCATGACATGGTCGTTGAAGTTCTTTCCCACTTGGGGGTTATCGACCTTCACTTGGATTCCATGTTCCTCTAGAACTTCCTTTGGTCCTATCCCGGAAAGCATCAAGACTTGTGGTGTGCGGTACGCGCCAGCCGATACAATGACCCCACTCGAACGTATTTCGGTCCCGTCGGCGAGGCGAGCACCAACCGCAGTACCGGCGTCAATGATCACAGATTCCACGAGAGTGTTGGGTAATACTGTAACACCATCGAGGGGATACACTAGTGGAGCAATCTGACGAGCACCTTTGGAACGGTTCTCGTTAAGCTCACCGATTCCTATGTTTTCTCCAGCGTTGATTTCGTTTCCCGGGAGCCTTTTGACGCCGATTTCGGTATAGGCCTGTTCGCCAATGTCTGACAGAGGAAAGATGCGACCTGTGGAGATAGGCGATTCGATGTTAAGCTTGCCGTCCTGCCCATGGAACTCGGAATTCTCGGTCTTATACCACTTTTCGGTCATTTTGAGGTATGGTAACTGACCATCATAGGTCCATCGTTGGTCACCGACAATTTCGCCCCAGCTATCGTAATCGGCTCTCGCACCTCGAAGCCATCCGCCTAACAAAATGTCAGTCGCTAGTATTGGAAATGTCCCAACCCATCCCTAACGCGGAGGGGAGACTCACAGGCGTTTATTACGGAGCCACCTCCTACCGCGCGACCAGCTGGAATATCAATCTTTCGGCCGTTATAATGTTTCTGAGGGACACTCTTATATCCCCAATCGAACTTCCCGCCGACAAAGTTGAGAGTACTGTGGTAGAGGATGTCTTTGTTGTCGCTGACATCTGGGCCTGCTTCGATGACTAGGATACGAGCCGAGCTTTGGTATTCTTTGAGGCGACTTGCGACTACGCATCCAGCTAGTCCACCACCAATGATGATATAGTCCCAACCGTCGGTGGCTACCATTGTGACAAATCGATGCCTTATGATCTTCTCGTAATTGAGGTTGATAAAATGCTTGGAAGAATGATAAGGAGCTCAGGTAGCCTTTGACTTGGTCGAAGCGCAACGTACAAGCAAAACAGGGCCCGAAGACCCGTCGACGGCTCGATTTCAGATTATATCAGGTAGGTCTTTAGTAAGTGCACGCCCATTAAGCTAGGTAGGTATCCCCTGTCCTCTTCTAAGCTTACGAGCCTATAGTCTCGTTCAGATCACACAATAATGACCGGACAATAGTATCTTTTGCGGGAATATCTAGTTTCAAGTAGATAAGGATGTAAGAGATGGTATGGTATAAGTATCGAATACCCTTAAGCGGTCTGATTTAGGATTTAAGGTCTTGCTACCTGGATCGGACTTATGAAGTCGAGACCAAAATGTCCGAGAAATAAGGTAGGGCAGTGCCGAAAAGGGGAATTCAATTTTATACCTATGCCGATGCACGTTGGTTTTAGAGACTATGCCATAGCTTTCTATCCGAATTCTGGACGATGATACGGCGTTTAGAAAGGCACAGCTGCATATTTGCGGACCCTGCGGCGGATCTCTACGTAGAGCACCAGGGCATTAGGATCCCAATCCAGGTATAGCTGCAAAGCCCATATCACTGACTAATCAACTATAAACCATTTTGCTACCTGATACGAAGCTATACGAAGCTTGACGTCGCTATATGCCTCCACATTTGGTTGTGCCTAGTCTTACATGAGCGGCGCCTACGCAAAATATTACCAGTTGGTATTGAAACCAATCCATATTCCCACATTTATAGTCCTACCTAGGTAGCTGATTCTCGTTACACTGTATTTGATTCGCTGTAATCCTAGTAGGTCAACTAGAGCTTCACATTACACCTTATAGCTATCTTATTACTAAGATAAATGTACCTAGGCAGCTATTAACAGTGCGTTACGTTATTTTAGTTTTCTTCTTGCCATTTCTAAATAAATTGTAACTGGTAACTAGCATGTCAGGAGGTTGAATCGAGAAATATGGTTAATTTTGAGAATTGTATCGAAGCTACTATTCAGTTTCGTTACACAAGTTGTTGGTAACACACAAACAACACCCGTAAGCGATAGGGTTGCTTTTGTAACCATATATGACCTTTGCATCGTGTTATATTGCCAACAGCTGAGGATTTTAGAGCGATATAGCTCGTAAGAATTTATATTCATCGTACGTTGTCGTCGCATTTCTTTTGTCTCATTGTCGCTAGAGCCCGTCGAAATCAGATATCGGATACTAGGATAGTCAAGCCGATATGAGGATAATACGGTGTTTAGAGGTATACTTCAGGGGTTATGTATAAATAGAAAGTATGTAGAACTCCATAGCTTACGCTTGTTCTTCACAGGAGAGCTCCTATCACGAGGCCGCTCGGTGGCAGTGGAAGCGAACGTTATCAGAATCTCGGCATTAGTGCCTACACCAACTTTTTTCTAAATCTGCGAGAATGTCGAACGGGTTGGACGTCTTCGTCGGGGGACATTGAAGTTTATCGAATTGAGTAGCAGGATTACTAGAATACCGAAAATGATCCAGTGTAACCACGCTGTAGCGGATATCTTTCCATGGGTATCAATATCTTATCGAGACTTAGTTTATATCGAAATGGACCTCTTAAATCTGCATGTGGAACAGTTGACCAAGTGCCCGTTCATCATCACTTGGTACCAGAAAGATGAAGTAATTAGAAAATAAAGTTGCGACAATCATCTCGTCGCAGCTGAAAATCAGCGCACCTAGTACCTATGCCAATACGTCCTATAGTGGGTGAGAGCTCCATATTTATCCGCGCCAGCGCAAGGGGAAAAAACGGGTACCTAAAGCCCCCACGTAAACTTAAATCTTCTCCTAACATCAAATTGGCAGCGACGACATAGAAATGCCATAACCATAATTCATCCAACTTCCCCTATTCAATCCGCCTTCCTGCCTTCATCGCACTCTCTTTCTCTCTTTCTATATATCCCCTTTCTTAGACTTACAAACATCTAATAGACGAACCCAAGGATTAACAACAAGCAAAATGGCGGCCCCAGACACATCCACATTCACCAGCTCATCCCAAGTCTTCGCCTCCCTCACACTCCCGCAAGTGCGCGCTGCACATAAAAGCCTACACACGCAAATCGATGAGAAAGCCGCCCGTCTGCGCACACAGGTCGGGAGTAGCTACCGCGAGCTACTCGGCACGGCTGATGCTATCGTGCGTATGCGCGACGACATGTTGGCCGCCCAGGACCGGTTAGCTGCTATGGGCGCGGCTTGTGGGCGTGGTGTTATCGGCTCTAAAGTCACGGGTTTGAGCCAGTTTCGTGGGAATGATGAGGCGGAGGCGCGTGCGGGACGCGCGGCTAGGGTGAAGTTGTTGGGTGCGTGTGGATTGGCGGTGGGGAGGTTATTGAAGAGTGCTAGTTCTAGTACGGGGGCGGAAAGTAGGGGAGATAGATTGGTACTTGCGGCGAAGGTCCTGGTACTGAAAAGACTGCTGGTTTCGAGTTTTGGTGCCGGTGATAATGTCAATGAGGATATTCGCGCTGCGGTTGAAGGCGCGAAGAAGACATTGGGTAGTCTACGCAGGAGATTACTCAGAGCCGTTGAGAAAGTGCTAGATAAGATGAGCGATGGCGTGGACCGAGGTGATATTCTGAAAGCCTTGACCGCGTATAGCCTGGCTTCTAGTTCTGGTGCGAAAGATGTTTTACGCCATTTCCTGAGCGTTAGGGCCGAAGCTATGGTTTACGAATTCGATATCGAAGAGCATGAGAAAGAAAGGGACGTTAGCAATGTCCTGAAAGGCCTCGATTTATATACGAGAACTCTTTTGGACGTACAGGCCATAGTTCCTAGCAAGCTCTCGGATGCGTTACTTCGACTAAAGAAACAGCACTTGTTGGCGGACGAGTCACTTCGGGCATTGGAGGGCCTCCGGCTGGATATTTTCGAAAAATGGTGTGGAGACGAGATTCAATATTTCACGCCTTTCATTCGGCACGATGATTTAGATGGCAAACAAGCTAGAGAAATGCTCACGAGTTGGGCTGAGAAGGGCGGTGAAATTCTTCTCCAAGGTCTACGGAAGACCCTCGAACACGTTTCTGAATTCAAGACTATTGTGGATCTACGGACAAGTGTTCTACAGCATTGGATTAAGGACGGTGGGAAGGCTAGAGGATTTGACCCATCCGTCTTATTGAACGGGCTGCGCGAAGCCATCGATGAGCGTCTTCTAAAAATTCTAGAAGCCAAGGTCTCCAAACTCAAGCTTGTCGGGTCTGAGGTGACTGCCACCCTTGAAGTGTGGAAACCTGGTACCAGCGATCAACACCGCAGTTTGTGGGATGAAGAAATACTGGATATAGACGTCTCAGGCAGCGCACACAACGTCACTCACGAAGTCGTTTCCCGTTTGTATGGAAGAAATGACGCTGTGGCCCGAGTAGTCACAAGCTACGAGTCGTGGCACCGCCTCGTTGACAGCGTAGGCGACTTGATCAATCAACTCAGACGTCAGCGTTGGGATGACGATGTGGAGGAGATTGAGGACGAGGAGGTCATAGAAGCTAGGCAAACGTTGCTAAGCAAGCATGACCCCGAATTGCTACAAAAGGAACTCGATAAAGCTATTGCTGAAGCATTCAAGGATCTAAACGAGAATTTGGCTGTCGCTTGGAAATCCAAATCAGATTCTTCAGACAGTGGAGCCATTTCCATGTACCTTTTGCGAATTCTCAGAGACATTCGTAGCAAGCTGCCTAAGCTCGAGGGCATCAAATCTTTCGGTCTAGAGAACGTCCCATCTCTACACGAGAAGCTGGCGGCTCATGTGTCAATCGCGCCACTCGAAGAATTCGCTACGACGGCTTTGACAAATAAACGAGTGGTTGGCCGACCCCTCTGGGAGGGAGAGCCGGTCTTACCAGCGCAGCCATCCCCTGGCACATTCAAGCTCCTACGCAACCTCATCATGTCCATGGGAAATGCTGGTTTAGACTTGTGGACTCCTATTGCTGTGAATGTTTTGAAACGAGAGTTTGGAAAACAACTCGTCGAAGTGTGGCAGCAGGAACTTAACTCCGAAGCTGCCGACGACAAGAATACAGATGAGGCGAGTGAGAACAAGCAGTCGGAACAGGAAGATGGCGTCCCCACAGAAGCCGAGGAGGATTCTAAAAGCGAGGATGCTCCCCAAGAAAAACCCGAGAAGCATAGAGACATATACATTCAATGGCTCTATGACATACACCTTCTCCAACAATGTCTCGGAGCCGACGTATATTCTGAGGAGTCATTTAAGGCATTCGTAGAGGAAGTATTTAAGAAGACTGGGTTAGAAAATGGCGCCAAGGACAAACTGGCTAAAACATCAGAAGAGTATTGGAAGAGAACGAGCTTACTATTTGGGCTGCTTGCATAATACCCATATAGAACAAAATTGCACATACAATACCAATTAATCTTAGACGCCTATAACTTGTGCTTCTTTTTGCCCGTTGCTAGTTTCTCAAACTCCTCCAGCGGAATACCCGTCACGAACCTATTTAGACCCGCAAACACCTCAGCCACATTCTGCTTCTCGAGTGTTTCTTGGAATGGCTTCTGGATCAACGCCTTAATCCCGACCAAGCTATCGTTGTTTAGGTGATCGCCCATACTGTCGTCGATTTCCTTCAAAACTTGCTGCATGAAACCATCACTATCTCCCTTCTCGCATTGGAATACCTTATTCACGAATCCCGTGCGCACCAAATCCTCACACGGGATTCGCTTACTCTGGATAAGCGCCTCATTGGCCTTGGCGATACCCAGACGCTGTACCATAGCATGAGAGGAACCGCCTTCGGCTACTAAACCCAATGACGAGAATGGCATTAGCAAGAACGTGTGTGGTGCAGCGTACACGAAATCCGCGTGTGCGACCAATGCCGCCGATAAGCCGACGGCCGGTCCGTTGAGTGCCGCGATTAGGATCTTCGGATGCTGGTAGAAAGCCCTCGCTGTGTTTAGGTTACCAGCTACAAAGGATTGAAGCCACACACGATATAAATCCGAGTTTTCCGCTACTTGCTGTCGCCGAGCGCCCATGTTAACGTTGGCGCCGCTGTAGTATGTGGTGAGTGGGTGTTCTAGTGTAACCGGGGATAGGTAATGAGAACTTACGCAGAGAAATATCGGCCTTTTCCTGTGACTATTGTAATGTAGATGTCGTCGCGTAAAGCGATTTCGTTAAGAGCCTTAGCGATGGCATAGTAGCCATCGAAATCCAAGGCGTTGAGTTTCTGGTCATTGTCGATGGTGATGGTAGCTATGCGACCGGCGTAAGATACCTTGATTATGTCCGCCATATTGTTTCTTTGGTTCAGGTCTTATATCTAAACAACTTTGGTATGTATAAGGCCGTAAGAAGCCACACGATAATCGAATATAATATATGAGACTGAACTCCTTTATAAATAGTTGTATAAGTCAGCCCTACTTCTCTTTCTCCCTTCATAACCGATAGAAGGATTGGTACCCCACTAAAAACTGATGGGTACCTCGGCTCCAGGGCTGGTTTAGTTAAAAGAGTGGATACCTAGCTAGGTACCTATCCTCGCTAGCATCCATGGATGTCTCTTCCCCACGATTTTACTCCAGCTTAGCTGCTTTAGGTACCTTCCTTAGGACATCATCTTTTTCATACTGAAGTTACGACCTTAGAAGATCAACTTACCAAAGAAGTTAATGTAGTAGGCAGTTGCGATGTGTATTAGACAAAATAAATCTAATTTATTAACCTTTCCCTTTTCAATACATTCCCTTCTTTTCAGCTTCACATCGACTTCAGATCTTCTAACAAATACATCATACGTAGATCTACCCTATTGGTAGGTACATGTATTGAATAAATGGGCGACCGCCAAGACCAGCTAGGATCAGCTTGGTTGAAACACCCTTCTGAGCTCAAAAATGGATGGCATTTCAAAGACTACTTAGGTAGATTGAAAGGGAAAAAGTCCATTTTTGAAAATCAAAGATATATATATATATATCCAAAATGCCTAGATAAGATGCTGACGTACTCTAGGCCATAAGAGGCGATCGTCGGAATTTGAGCTATTAGGTAAGTCGGGGAATAATTCAATATTGAGGGCCACGTACTAACATATTCCCAGCCACCACCGTATCAAGCGCACGGTACAGCTATAGATTCACCTTCACCGATATTCACTTTTTTCTCTATCGTGAGTCGAAACGATAGCACAATACAAGCATTCGAGGAGCGCAACTGGAAAATAAAGCTCGAGTGCTGCCACAGAGGTCTACTAAACATTAAAACAAACGCAGTTACCTGCGTCATCTCTCACAATGCTTACCCGCCAACTACTCCGCCAACGACCGCGTCTCACTTCGGTGACACGTCTGTCCCATCCGATTCCACGACTAATGGCTCGTTTATCAAGTACGGAGACGCAAAAGGTGTCTTCTTCAAGTAACACAACCACTGCTGCTATTTCCTTCGCTGCGGGTCTTGCATCGGCTGCATTTGTGTATTGGTTTTCATCTCGGAGCGGACAGACCCCAACTCCGGCCTCTGCCCCTACTCCTACTCCTACTCCTACGCCCACACCCACACCCACGCCCACACCTACACCTACCAAATCACTGATGAAAGCCTCAGATAGTGAGAGCACTGGCGTCCCGGATCTGAACAAATTGGGTTTATCCGATCAAATTGCCTACAGTCCGCCTACAACATCAGAAGGGGTCACAAACCAACTAAATGAGCACGCCTTCTCCCAACTCGGAGTAGGGAAGCTAGTAACGAGATACGACGGTACCCAGGTAGCTTCAAACAGTCCCTGCGAAGATGCATTCATCCACGGGCATTTCTCCGACCCCGTCAACAAAGACGGGGAGGACTGGCTTACTTGGGGAGTCTTTGACGGGCATTGCGGATGGCAGTTATCCCACCTCCTAACAAAACAACTAATCCCCTACGTTCGCCGCGCCCTCGGCAAAGCTAAGCCAAAGAACGGACAACCGCTCGGCGAAGCGGACGTACAATCGGCTTTAAAATCGGCATTTTCATCCCTTGACGACGCCCTAGTTAAATCCGCGATCCAAACAATAGAAAGTGACCTATTTTTTCCGGAAAAAGTAAGGAGGCTGGAAGCCGCATACGCGGGTTCTTGCGCTCTTCTAACGCTTCTCGACCCGGTGAGCAGAAATCTCACGGTGGCTTCTACGGGTGACTGCCGCGCAGTGTTGGGGCGGAAGGGTGCAGATGGGAAGTGGGTAGCTACAGAACTTTCGGAGGACTGCACAGGGGCAACTCCAAGCGAAATTTCGCGTATCAGGGCCCAATTCCCCGATGAGCCTGATGTTGTACGAGAGGGCCGAGTGTGGGGCATGCAGCCATCGCGGACTTTTGGCGATGGGATGTGGAAATGGACATCGCAGTTGAAGGAGCTATTACGGGATAATTATAACGGCCTTAGTTTACCGTCTGCGGTGCGCTACAAGGGGTATAAAGATGGCCCATATCTCACGGCAGAACCTCTAGTCACAACTACCAAGATTCCAGAGTCGGAACCCTCGTTCTTGATCCTAGCGACTGATGGTTTGTGGGACACGATGTCGAGCGCGCAGGCTGTTGATTTGGTAGGGAAATGGGTGGAGTGGCAAGCTCAAAAGCAAGCAAAACCAGTGAAACCTGCGAAATCGGAATTTGGCCCGACGATTCTAGGGAGGAGACGGCAGTGCAAGTATGAGGAAGAGAATGCCACGTTACAGGACGGTAATGCAGCTGTCCACTTGGTTCGGAACGGCCTAGGAGGTGGAGATGAAGAGATGGTAAGGGGCGCACTAACATTCCGGTACCCGAACTCAAGGGACATTAGGGACGACATAACAGTCCAGGTTGTCTTCTTCACTCCCGTTAAAGCATGAATGGTTATGAGGGGATATATGAGGGGGGCCGACGTATACCCATTAGCGGGCGGTTTTATACCGTCGGCGCTTTTGATTTTTGAAGCTTCATTAGGCGGCATGAGACTATGAAATGCATGTGCATAAGGAGTAGGAATATATATAGTATATTCGACTTTTGAGTTATACCTATTGGTGTTATTGGCAATGTGATATACCAACACCTCAATCATTCGTCATATAAATGGCCTACTTACAGCCATTCATTTTCACCAACCTAAGGCGTGTTCTTATACACTTCCTTAATTTCCTCGCTCCGCACCTTTGTATGTTCTTCGAAAGTCCTGAACCCCAACCCGAAACTCTCAGCGGGCGCAACACCCGTGGCACCCTTTTCAAATGCCTTAATTCTGAGCACCTGGCCGGCGACAATGGGATTCTGCTCAGCGACCTTGACAGCTTCCTCTGGGGTCAAGGTGCTGATTTTCAGGTCCTTGCCTGCAGCCGCGGATAAGTGCTTTAATACTTCGCCGACAGTTATACGCTCGCCGATGAGATTAAGTTCGTGGCTAGGACCGGATTCGGAGGCGGGAAATGTAGATGGGGAGATGATGGAGGCTGCGGTGGTCCGACCGATGTCGTGTTCATCGATTAGGGAGAGGGAGAAGGAAGGCGAGAAGGGAGTGTGCCACACGCCTTCTTTAACCACTGTATTAAGGGAACGGCATATAGGTTAGCGACAGCTAGGTAGGTACCTTAGGGTTTGTAGATAGATAGTACGTACGGTCAGGAATCTGAATCGACGCCGTCGAACCCGTGTAATTCGACATGAATTCCGCCGGCCTCAGAATCGTGTAATGCGGGAAGCCTGCGTTCTTAACCAGCTCCTCGCTCTTAGCTATCATAACCCCAAGTCAGCAAAGTCCCTTTTCAAATCACCGACAATCAGATGATCAGAATACTCACCCTTAGCGATCCAATAATTCGCAAAAACGGGACTAGCATCCCACCCAGGCAACTCCTTGTAATTCTCCGCGCCATACACATTACTATACACAACATGCTTCACCGTCCCCGCGCGCTTTGCGGCCTCAATCACATTCGTAGCGCCACGGTTCTCAGCATCGAAATCCGTAAACGACGGGATGCTCACGAAGAACACAGCTTCAATCCCTCCAGCGAAAGCTCGGTCCAAGCTAGCGACATCAGAGTCCCAGTTCCCACCCTCGACGAGCTCAGCGCCGAGCGCGGATAGTGCTTTAGCCTTTTCGGAGGAGGCGTCACGGACGTATGCGCGCACGCTATTTGGTCCTGAGGTTTGGAATTCCGGGGATAGGAGGGCGCGCACGACGGTGCTGCCTTGTTTCCCGGTTGCGCTTAGGACGAGGACTTTGACCATTTTCGTTGATGTTCTACTATTCTGGGTTTTTTCTGGTATGGTAGGTGTTGAGACTTTAATAAAGAGAGAAGCAAAGAATGTAGTGTTGCAATCGGATTTTAGTATTCAGTGGCTGCTTATTTATATCGATATATGTATGTATGTATTGTCGTAGTAATGAAGCTATATAGAATAATCGTACCGCACCCCGAGGCACGCCATCTCCATCCCAACATTCGGTTATCATGACCCAGACCGATTGGTAAGACCCTTGTTTTAATAAAACATGCTAAGATAATTTTCAGCTCTACGTATTGATCCTCCTGCTATGGAAATCACATGTACGATCGCTCATTGCTGTGAGGCCAGTAAACGAGTTCCATATGTTCCCCGCAACGGACAGGATCGTAGGGCGGGCTTGGCAGTGATTTCGATGTTGGTGCCTCGCTGTTGCAGCGTGTCCGCAGTCCGGGGGTCGGATGACAAATCCCTGGAATTCCACGGCCCTCGGACTCGGGACACTTGCGCAATTCTAGTCTACTCTAAGCGGCAGCTCAAGACTATCGAGATATCTTGATCTAGACCTAACAGGCCTGGCTCACGGCGTAGTAAGCCCCACCTATGTTGAAGAAAGACGAGGTCTTACCATAATAGCTCTAGGCTAGACGTCGTTGGTGCCGGGATGGTAGAGAAGATAAAGCTATTATCATGCAAATCTACTTAATATCTTATTGTTGGAAAATATCATGTGATATTAGAGATGTATTATAAGTTGAATGGATGATTAGATACCCCTTCGATTGGGCATGTTTCGAAGTAGTACATCTATATTAGAAAAGCAACGAGTCGAACAGCATAATCATTATTTCGAGGGCAGACTTATTTAGAACACAGTGTTCACCTACTATAACCTATCACTCACTCACATCTAAACCTCTGCATTAGGTAACTTCAGTTCAGTCAGGTAAGTCACCAAATCCGTCAGCTAAAACCAAAACCAAAAGCAACAACCCCCAAGACATACACACAAGGAGGGGGGCGACGACGGAAGGAGCCGGAGGAGCCGGGACGCAGGTTCAGTAGGGTTACATACATATCTCGCACCCCTCCTCCTCCTCCTCCCTGGTCGGGAATAAACCAGCACCATCATCCACCTACCTACAATTATACCCTCCCCTTAAGTACCTACCTATACCTATACCTATACCACCTTACAGTAAGTATTCACCCACACGCACGCCAAACACGATGTACAACTGCCATTCTATTTTCGGTTTCGCGGAGCGGAGTGTACATGCATGGCATATGTATATGTAAGATGGATAGCAAGATACGTTTTAACCCACAGTGTCTAGATTGACGGGACCATTAACGCATGTACTAAGATAGTAGTATAAGTATAATAAGATCGCTAACGTAAGAAATTACCCATCTCTCTCTCTCTCTCTCTCAAGAAAAAAAAAAACCAAAAACCAATATATCAAACTTGGGGTCCAAATAAAAAAAAAAGAAATCCGCCGAAGATACCTACGGTCCCCAAAGTCGTCACCGGCCCCCCTCGCCCCCCCTCGTTCATTATTCCCTCAACCAGAGCCATGACGTCTGTGGTTGTACGCCATCTGTTTCACCGAAATCCTTCGGCTCAGGCCTGCCGGCCAACCAGCACCCTCGGAGGACAGCCTTTTACTCCAAAAAGGCGTTTTGCACTTTAATCTACGGTACCGGTAGTAGACATGATTTCCTGCCTGTCTCGCTCGGGTTGCTACATTAGCTTGAGACTTGCTGTACGTAAGCGGTAGGGATAGACATAGCCATAGATGCCTGAATTGCTGGCTACTTTTCTTGAATTCAACGCTCAAAGGCTGTGGTTAATTGTAACACTTTTGACTATAGTGTAGGTTACATATCATTAAGTCACAGTTCCACGAAACCCATGATAGAAAAAAAAGGACCTTAAGCTTTTTTTGTTACCCGCTGAATAAAAAGCATTCGGTTCTATGTGTCATATCTAGACCGCTTGTCTATCCTCTGATCCCTGGTAGAAGAAAAATACCTACAATACCGTCGGGCCAGATAGAAATACAGGCCAAACGTTGCTCCGTGAAACTCTTCGCCTTTTTATGTGTTCGCTTGGCCGTCGATTTGTTCCCGAGACGGCCCACCGATGATTGTTCCATCCGAGACCTTCACGCCAAATGCCTTCTGATTTGCGTATAATCCCATCCATTAAATCACATGTACTCCGGTACGCCCAGCCTGAATGAATAGCAACTCTCATCTCCCCTACCTAGCCGCAATCATCAAATAAACCAAATTGCCGAAATAAAACGACACATCAGAATAGAAACCGTCGATGCGGCGGAGGTCATTAGAAACCCAATATTATGTCGAATGTTATATGTCGTATAGTGTCATGTGGGGGACCTATTAAGGGTCCTAGCATCTCTATGTATGTGGTATTTGCAGTAATATCATCTTTTTATGCACCGGTATCATTTTCAGTTCGCTGAGTAGAAGTGATAGACGAAGAATTTGCGGGCGAAAGTCGGCGTTCAACCTAGACAATGTAGCAAGGCTGTCTAGGGGTGTAAGTACTAGGCACATTCTATAGATGTGCAATAGAGGCATATGTAAATTCGGTACCTTTTTACGATTCATTAACCTCAACCGTTCGGTAAGTTTGGCTGAGCTTGGAAGCCTTGGTGTTCTTCTCGTCCAGAGAATCTTCCACACTAGCATTGGTACTTGGTGGACTGGTACTCTCTGGGCTGTTTTGCTCCATGGTGAGTGATGGAGTAGGTGCAGCCGAGTTGACCTCGACGAGTAAGCTAGGTGTAGTAGGGCTAGTAGAGGCAGTAGCAGAGCTAGAGCTGGCGGTCATCAATCTGTCTAGAGCTGTGATTTGCCGCCCAGTACTGTATTTCTTTAGGTTGGCGAAGTGAGGTTTCATCTCCTCAATAAAGGTTTCGCGATCTGGGCCCTCCAAATGTTGCATCAATTTTTCTATAAAATGGTAAGCCTCGATATATCACTACGAGAGGTTTATGAGACTTACGGATCACATAGTTCCCGAATTGGTCCTTCATCATGAGCTGGAGTGGGCTAGTACCATCACTGTGTAGGGCGGTGAGCTGGGTTCTGATGGCCTTTCGGTCCTCGTTGCTACCATATTCAATGGACTTTTCAACGACGTTGGATGCGAACTTGTGCTTCGAGAAGAAAATTAGTTTCTGAAGGACAAGTTGAATGATTTGCTGTCGGTCTTCCGGTTCACCCTGTGCGATGATATGCTGGGTAACGTAGTTTCCGTATTGGTCAGTTATAAGTCTTGCAGCGCAGCCATGCAAATCTGTCATTAGACTCGTCTTCTCTTCTTCGGTTCCATGCTCAAGGATTCGCTGGATCACTCTGCAGCCGTAGTTGTGTGAGGCTAACGATTCGATCTGGCTTTGAAAGGCATCCATGATGAACGGAATGCAGAGGCGGGGCACCATTTGGATGATCTTTTGGATGACGTGGTTTCCATTTTGGTCCTTGACGATTCGCATGATGTCGGGTTTGAGTTCCTCTACGATTTCAGTTTGCTGTTCGACCAACACATGCTCGAGCGCCTAGTGTATTCGGTTAACAGTGCATCATCGATTAAATAGTATGAATATTATTCACCTTCTGTACGACACGGCACGCATACATCTGGGTTGAAAGCTCTGCAACCTTACCCTTCATCTGGGCCGCGATGATCTTTTTCTGGACTTGGTTTCCATGCTCGAAGAATTTTTGTATGACATAATTGCCAAAGACGTCCTTCATGAGCTGGAGGGTATTGGGTTCGATTTCTCGGAAGACCTGATCCTTTTCATCACTGTTCGCGGTTTGAAGCTTCTCCTGGATGAATCGGGAGCCGTGCTGATCGCCGCTAAACTCAACAATATGGTTATAGATATCCTAAAATTGGGTCAGCTACCGCGGTTTTCATGTTGCGGGTCTTGTGCGCTTACCTTGAGCTCGTAGCGTTTATTGGACTTGGCGTTGCTTCGAAACTCCTCAAGAAGCACGCTACGGACACCCTTCCCAGGATCTTGGTCTCTGCTAGGTCGCAGGGGAACTTGAATGCCGGGAATGTAGTTCATAGGTAGACCGTATCCCTGCCCCGGAAGCTGGACCTGGGAGCGCAGGTTCGGGTTCTGCACATACTGGTCATAAGGGGCTGAGAACTGTGACAGGCCATTGTAGTAATTAGGAGGGTAGAAACCAGATTGTTGCTGCAGGTATTGGGAGTCATGCTGGGTTCGGTTAAGTTCTTGTAGTACCCTTGGGTCTCGCGAGCCTGGTCTGCTCCACGGATCAGCCCTTGGGTTTGGGGTTCCCGAGAAAGCTCTCGGACTATTCACGCTGGGACGATAACCACCACTTCCAGCAGGTGATCCTCTCTCACCTGGACCCCTCCGAGAATTATAGAGGGAGGTGCCAAGCGGCTCTGTCCAGGTGTCCTGCATGTTTTGGCCGAACGCTCTCGAGTTGTTTCCTAGTTCATGTTGCCAAGGTTGCGAACCAGGATTAAACTGGAAGGGTTGGCTGGCGGGGTTGAAGTGGCCGTTGGTTACGTATCCGCCGTTCGCGGCCTCAGAGCTGTCTTCTAAAGTGAGAGCATTGTTAAAGGTCTCCTCGAGATCATGGCCTGAAGCGTCTACCGACCCAAATGCGAATGCATTAGAGCGGCCCTGCTCTGGTGGTAGCGTGACAGATGCGCTAGAGATAGAAGGACGCTGAACTTGTGATTTCGTGTGGGCTGGAAGTTTAGTAAATGGATAGTGTGAATTATCTCCGTAACGATGCGAGGGAGTTTGCCCATCCGTCTCCAGTTGCCGTGAAGCTAGTGTGTTCTGGCGGCTATGTCCGAGTGGGAGGAATGTTGGATCGTTTGAGTTGCGTCTGTATAGGTTAGGGTTTTCAAGTTCTAGCTGCGAGTTGCCGTTTGAGGTGTACAGGTTTGAGCTTCCCCGTTCACCACCAAGGGAATCACCAAATCCTCCCAGATATTTGAAAGGCGCTGGGGGTTCTGAGGGACCAGGTGCCATCGTCCTGGTGGCAGGCGTTGATCCATTCTGACCCACTGAAGAGCGGGAGGGGAAGATGTGAGAGTTGCTCGGGACTTCAGGGAAGGTATGTTGGAAACCATCCCTCGTTCGCGTTGGCGACGTACTCCCAGATGATGATGAGCCTTGATGCGCACCACCTGGCTGGTTCCATATTCCACCTCGTGAAACCCACGGTGCGGCTTGAGAATGCGAGTTCAGCTGCGCGGATCCCGACGTCGTGCTAGGGGAATGTTCTTCTGATTCTGTAACTCTAATTAGCTCTATTCACGAGCTGTAACTCGGCTTTCTGCCGCTGCATCACGTACCTCTGGAAGTTCCTACGTCCCGGCGCGAATTTAAGGAGCCTCCGATAGTGCTTCCCCATATACCATTTGATTGCCATGCTGTATGAAAGGATGATCCGATGGGCTGTGAAGCCTTATCGCTGGAAGGGTTTCCCATACTGAGGTGAGGAAAGCCGTTCGGCCGTGTCTGTTTCCAGCGAACCATGTTAGCCCAATAACAGATGTAGACGCCGGCCTAAGTTAAATCAGGGGGCACACGGCTTAATAAGGTAGGTCTAGCCCAGCACCTTTAATATGCGATGTTCCTTTACTACACGAGGAGTCCTGGGCTGTAACCGATCTGTTCGTACGCTAAGGAAAGTAGTCATGAATAGAGTCACTCACTGCTGTAGTCATAGCGTTTTGGTTTGCCAAAGGCCAAAAATACTAACACCAGACGGAAGACAAGTACTCGGTACGTGCAAGGTAATACCGTGGTGTACCACGCCGTCTCCGTCAGGCTTTCGGTCGCCCGAAATCGTATACTCGCAGTGGGAGGGTCGTTATATGTAGTTGACTCCCGCAAACGTCGCACGCGATAAGGACAGGACGAAATCTATTATATACGTTCGTATGTATGCGAGAAATTTCTCTTAGCTAGATGAAACTTTTAAGACAAAGAATAGATTAGGCTGCTGGCTCAGAAGTAAAGAGCAAAAAGGGAGGGGAGATTCATGGGTATAGTTGAGGCTGACGGGGTGGTAGTATAGATATTCGATTGTGCGACGATTGCACTAAATAAGGCATAAATCAAATGAGGCTCGGACTGAGCGATTACTTACCCAATATACTCTCGAGTTGTTTCCTAGTTCGCTTCGCCGAAGGGTGGTCGGGAAGTAACCCAAGCTCGAGGTAGGCTTTATGGTTGTAGACCGACTGTCGTCATCCGTTAAATCGTTAGCAACGAAGTAAGGCGACGGATGATTAAGAGGATGGTGGCCGAGAAAAGGAGGTGAGTCGGTCGGAGGAAATGAAGAATGGTCGAATACGCAGGTATGTAGGTATGCAGGCTAGCAGGCAATAAAGCAAGCAAGCAGGCAGGCAGGCAGTAGGCAGTAGGCAGGACAAAAGTCGAAGGAAGGGCTGATGTATATTATGTACGTATGTAGGTAGGTAGGTAGGTAGGTTGTGTGCGCGGTCGTGGATCGATCGTGGATTGGTCGAAGGGGGTTGGAGGGTGAGAGCGACGGATTCGGCAGCGAGCGCAGAAAGTGATTGTGCGAGGTATAGCGGTAACGTAAGTAATTCGAAAAGTCGGCGAAATAAAAAGTACGATAGGTAGGTAGGCAGGAGGATAGATGAACGGAATTGCAGATGCGGATGGGATTTATTATTTGCAAATACTATGCAGTGTGTCTTGAATGCTTTAAGAGGTAAGTTAATGTACAGCCCAAAGATCGTCGGGTACCTCGTGAGGACTGGCCTCGAACCGAGTATGAACGAGTAGAACGTGAATGAGGGTTAGGCAATTTGTATGTATGTACTAGGTAAAGTGATAGAAGTACAGGACGATAGGACGAAGTGTACGAATGTACGCGAAAGTCGAGAGGAAGAAACGTGAGGGCGCCTTATGGTGAATGGGCCCCACGGTTTGGAACAACCTCTCGGGACGTGTTTTGCGCAAATGGGGAGACGGATTTTGTGCTTAGGATTGGCTGGATTAAGAAATGGAGTTGGACTCATTCGTAAAAGTCAGAAAAGGCTCAGGTCACAGTCTTGCCCAGGCCCAGGCCCAGTACCTAAGTCCCAGTCCTGTCGGGACTAAGAGCACAAGAGCACTAAAGCGCTAGAAACGCTAGACAGGGGATGTCTCCAGCCCCAAAAAAGAAATCAATCCCAAACTTACCAAACTTAAACCAACAGAGTTGCCCCCAGCTTGCCCCAGAAGAGAGTCCTAGACGGGCTTGAGTCCAGACTAGTGCCAAAGTTAGAAAAGGGTAGCGTTTTGTTAAGGAAGGTACCCCTAAAGTAGGTCAGATAGCTAGGGGCACGTTAGGGGAGGTAAGAGCCAGGTAGGGCAGATAGATTAGGTGGTAGTCGCAAAGTTTAGGTAGTATTAGTGAGTATAGCGTAGTAGCGTAGTAGTGTAGTATGGGGGTGGGACCCCCCAAAAAGGGACGGGTTCACAAGTTTGACAGAGTAAGGTATGTGAATCTGATAGATCTTGGGGAAAATGATGGTCAGGGGGGTTACAACCACAGAAGAAGAAGAAAAGATTTTGACCGTACCTAAATGGTAAGACAGGGCAGAATGAGAACCGGACAGGACAAGACAGGGTTAAGCGTAAAAAATAAACAAAATAAAAATAAAAATAAAAAAAGAGTACATACAGTATGTAGTAGGTAGAGATTAGAAAGATAGATGGAGAATGTGAGCGAGTGAGAGAGAGTTACCTAATGTTAGGTACCTAACCTATCTTATTATTGATTTTTTATTAGTCGATGCGGGCAATGCGAAAATGCAAGCAGTAACGAAGTATTGTAGTAGCGACTCACGTTAGGCTTCCAAGGCTCCAGGGCTGTGAGGTGTTATCAGATACGGGTCCCAATGCGCTCTACTCGTGCTTGTGCGACAACCAGGCCGTCTACTGCCGGGGGTACATGTGTAGTCCGGTGACAAGCAAGCACTGGAGCACTTGGACTGCACTATTTGCTCTCTCAAACTTGAATGTACCGCACTTTGTACCGCTTATATCGCTTGTACACCGTATGTACCTCTCGGAAGTACCCCGTACCTTATGTAGGGCATGTAGTGGTTGTTGCAAGCAGTCCGGCAGACCAGGTCGAGTGGTCAAGGGTTTGCACGATGACCCTGGTCAAGTAAGATGTCGCGCGACGTTCCTGGAATTGATGACTGAAAGTTACGTAGGTAGTAGTAGTAGTATAGTAAGGATATGTAAATGGTAGTTGCAGTGGGTATAACCCGTAAATAGAGTGAGTGATAGAAATGGAGATTTGAATCTGGATCGAATCCACCTAAGTCCGACTAAGACTTTAGTATTTCCGAGGTGCAGATAGGTGAAGTAGTTTAACCCAAGCTTTCTTCAGGACCTGTGTATATAACTAAGTTAGGTTAGTAGATCATGTTAGGTAAAATACTGTAGGCTGTTTTGTACCTAACCTCTCAAGGTTATTTGAAAAGAGGAGAGACGAAAAAGACGGGAGGTATCGATAAAGAATTAATTTGGTAACGTACCTAAGTACCCAAGTAACTCGGAGGAACGGACCTTCAATGTTGAGAAATGTGTAAGGCAGATGGCCGATACTTCCTTTTCTCTTAGGTAATTCAAAAATGGATACCCAAGATTATAGGAAAGGTGTAATAGGTGAAAGTAAAAAAGGATGTTCCCTCTTTCCTCGTCTGCTCTCTATTGCACTCTCTTGTGAGGGGCCAAAAATGAATGCAGGTGCGAATCGATTTGAGGCGCGGGTGCAGATGGGGCGATGGGTCCCTTCTGGATGGGCTATGGGACTCCCGTTCCCGCCGTTCTTGCCGTCTCTCTAGTCCTTTTTTAGTGGCCTATTCCAAGCTGGTGTCCGACGGTCGCGCGACACCCACAACTTGGAACTTGCTTGCTACAAAAACCTTGGCAATCTAATTTGATCCAAGATGCCAGATTGATAAAATAGTTGCCCAATATGCTTAACATGTATAAGCATTTGAGGTCTATCGAGTCCAACTCTAATAAGTCACTTGTGTTTTATATCCTTTTGTTTGAAACAGACTTATAATTTGTTGGAGTAGTCGAGAATGCGACGTCCCTTATGCGATTTGCGTCGAAGTTGAATCTGGTTGGGCGATTCCCTAGCTGCAGGCCAAGGTCTCAGTGCCGGCTAGGGTGTGCTGCTATTTCTTAACTCGAATGTGGGATTTTGGAGCTAACTTGGGTAGTAGGTAGTAGATCTGACGGATTGTTGAAGAAGTATACTGTTCCTTTTTAATACTCGATCGTCAACTTCGGGTTCGGAATTACCAACATGTATAATTATAGGCGAACGGTAACTTTCGCAGCCTTTCTATAGAAACTGGGGGGCGGTTGGTGGCGCTGTTAGCCTACTGGTCGCCGGTCGGTCTTCGAAATGGCCGTCGAAACTCTTGCTATCGTAACAGTGATATGTAGCGTTCATGTACGTGTGAAGAAAGCAACATGCAGATTTCTTGTTGCTGCGCCGTCTGAGGTATAAGCGGTTTTGGGGGCCGCCGAGCTTTTCGTATATGTGCTCGACTTGTTTTACATCGACATCGCCTCAATTTGATACAACGGAAAAACGGTCGTACATGAAAAAAATTGACAGGGGAAGAAGGCTATAACGAATAAAAAATAGACAATTATTTTTTGTACGGATGCGAATTCAGCTTTTTATCAACACTTCATGCGCTATACCGGCCTCAAGCCATTCACTCCCTTTTCAATTAAAGACTTCGACTGGCTAAGGGCGAGAAGAACAAAAAAAGAGATATATTTAGCTGGAAGGGAGGATGGGGAGAGAGGGCCAGGCGATCCACGATACTAATACTAATACTCCTCTGTCTATTATGTCCTAGTTGCTATGGCCAAGATGCGCTATTGCCCACAGTTACTAATTACTAGCAACATTGAAAGAAAGCATGTATAATAAAAGCTTGTAGTACAGGGGCGACTACGGATGTACGGGGCAGATCACTTATGTGGCTCCCCTACATGTCTTGGAGGCAACCGCTTGCTTGGTGTTCGTCCAATTGGACCTACTCTTCGAGCCCGGGAGTCTGGAGAAGCGGCATTCTCTTTGAGCAAAACATAGCTGGATTGGTGGGAGCTTTGCTTGCCCAATAGTCACACCAACAATGTGGCCTGGTCTATCTCGTTAGAGACTGGTATGGTGGATATCACATAACAACAACCAACCCAACTTATGAACAAATTTATTGGTGAAGCCTACTTGATTGTCCTTCTTCCTCGCTTAAAAGCAGCGTCTGCGCTTAGAGGCTTAGCGCGTAGGCATTCTAGTTTGGGGTTGAGCCTTGTGATGCGCGATGTTCACCCAATTTACGGCTCAGGAACCAAGGGAGGTCATATGCAGGTCCCGTGGCAAGCCCCGGACGCCAGGGGCCTAGGAATGTAGTAATCTTCACCATCTACTACGGGGAATGAAGGTAACTATCCAAGGGAATGTAGACTGATGACAATCTCCCGTTATGGAACGACATGTCGCGGCTTCACTTCAGAATACCATTCATCGGTTGTCCGTGGCACCGTGTTCCCCGTTAGTTTCGGTAAGTCGAAATGTTGTCAGTGAAGCTGACACGCTCAAACAGTCACACCGCAGGTACTATTCGCCTCGATGAGCGAAATCGTTGGCTCGTCATCTCCCCTCTAGAGAGTAGGCCTACCAAAGAGATGATTTCTACTACTGCCCATGAAAAGAGCCCGACAGCCTTGCTTTACGTTCCCTCCCAATGTGACGCAAGTTTACCGGTCATCACCGTCTACGCAACGCTAAGTGTTCACTTCAACACTTCTTGGTGGTTAGGATTGAGGATTATCAATCTCATGGTAGTAGCGAGGCTCCGTTAGGTATGTTCGGTGATCACATAGACCCCTGAAACACCCGTCAAATTTATTCGGCGTAATTACGTTCGTCTATTTGCGTTCGCTATCGCTTTTTCTCGTCCGCTAACAACACGAAATGAAAGCGGGTATACGACGGGCATAAAGTCACACTCCCACTCAAGTGCTACTTCTGCTGTTGATTTGAATGTGGCTTCCCGATCGAAGATCCGGGGGGCGTGAGTCCTGCAGAAGTATCATGTTTGTCACTTTCGATTCTCGTGTCTGACTCGCACCTAAGGATGAAACATATTGCACTGGCGCAGACCAAAGCCCCCCTCTACGGATAGCTGCAGGCCTTGGAGCCATAGAGAAAGCGCCTTGAGCCGATTTCTGTGAGACATTTGACGTGGGGTGGCCTGGTTCATGCCAAGAAATACTTCTCGGACTGGGAAGAACTCGATGGAGAGTTAGCTAGCAAACCTGGATGTCGGGCGAACACGTTTAGTGGCATAAGAAGCCTTGCAATCATGTAGAGGAATTGACAAGCATCCCATTGAGTACCCTGCTGTTTTTCCATGCGGGTATGTTGCCACAGTCGGGGAAATGATAGTTCGAAATAGAATATGTCATCGGCATTCTGTACATTGCTCGACATGACTATCCCACAATGTCTTAGTAGTTCCAGCCAAGCACCGACGCCATTTGCGGGGAATATTGATAGCACTCTGCATTATTCTGCATTGTTTGAAGCAAGTAAGGTCGGTTGGCTTGTCAACTTGACCGACGTTGGGACGCAACGAAACCAACAATTCGTGGGTGATATTCTGCAACTGGCGACTAAGTGACCAATACAACAACGTTAGCACACCATCGATCTTGTATTTAAATCAGCCTTGTGGATTTAGATGCCTTTCTCGGTTAATATCGCTACCAATCGTCGACATAGACATGCCTATGGAGCTAATCCCAAAACATTGCGATTGAGCAACAGGACCTAACAGAACTTCCAATATATTCAATATCCTCGATTTCAATCGTGTCGGAAATGTAAATTCTGAACCCTTTCCGCCGGTGGATGTTTGTAGAAAGTACCGGATTTCAATGGTTGAAATTTGCTTCATTGATCGATGCTAGACCGAAGCCCCTGGTATTCCTCGTTGACGACCCTCCCATGCACCCGTATTCTTCATACGGTTTGTGCAACTCCAGTCTGGGCGGCTTGAGTCGTAACCCAAGTAAAACTGGTGTCGGACTCCTAGTAGATTTATCAAGTGAAGACGCTTGGGCCATTCGGAGGAACCCCTTTTCGTAGTCCTTGAGTTCTACCAATCTAGAGATGGTACGTACTCTTTCGGATGTCTTGAAGTCCTAAGAATAGAAAAGAAAAATAGAACTAAAAACTCCTGCAGCTGATTTGCTGTAAATCCACCGATCCTCCCGAGCGAAGCGGACCAGGACAACCTAGGTAAAAGTTAGTCAGTCGCCAAGATATGCCTGAAGCTCAATCTCATAGAATTGTTCCACGATATCCATAAGATGGAGATGAAATCGGTTTCAACATTTCTCAACAGTCTCCTTTATGATAATCATGTTGCATTGAAAGTGCGAAATAGTGTGTGGGTACTTACATAATACCGAGAACTGAACAGACTCTGATTTGGGGAGCTAGCGTCATTGGTTCTTGACCGTTTTGGTGCTAAGCTACCCGCTTTTCATAGTTCTGTAGAGCCATCATTGGCCGATCTTGAAATTAAGCAGCGTTAAGTTTGGGGCTTACTTACGGCAGCACCGAATCAGATTGCTGTTCCTGTTTGAGCCCTGTTCGCTACGGTGGGAAGCAACAATACGCTAATACCCTTGTAAATTAGATTTGCCAGCAGCCAATCATTTCCTGTTAGTGCTCATTAGCCGGCTAGGGTGAAGCTCCACAGCCAGTTGATCTTGCTCATCCTCTTCAACTCCTCTACCCCCCCCCTTCTTTTCTACTCTCTTCACGATTTTCATCGTCGTTGCGATCGTTGTTGTAGTCGTTGTTGCTTTGTCGGTTCAGAGAGCCCATTCGTTTGGCTTCGTCCTCTCCCTCATTCAATCATTATCATTCGCTCTTTACCATTTTTGGTTTCAACTTCACTCTTTTTAGTTGATTCCGTCCGGTCCTTCTCTTCTGGAGTTCTCCGAAGTCTCGAGACCCTCACTCTCCCTTACGTACGTTCATCGATGTCTTGAAGGGATCAATGAATATTATCATATAGATTCCTATCTTCGTTTTTTGCTCTATTGAGTCAAATATCTAACACTTGTTTCATTGTAGCTGAGCCATTCATTCATTATTCTCTCCTGAGCCGACCAAACCAAACTCCCTTGACGCCCAACGATCAACAATTAATCAACAACCATCTCTATTATTACAAGATCAGCAACAGCTAGCGTCAATATGTCTACATTCAGCAACCTTATTTCCCGTGGCAACGCCGTCCTTTCTGGGCGCGACCTCAACATGGGAGGAGAGTCTGACACTGTTGTCAACTTGATGATTACTTTCCTTGGCATCGCTTTTTTCGCCCTCGTTATGGTGGCCCTGCTAGTAATGCTTCGACGAGCCAAGCGCGAGCGACGGCAACAGGAGGAGACCCTACCACAATATAACGATATCAAACATGACGACTACAACACCCGTCGTCTGACCATCCAGACCGCTGACGGCCGATCAAGTATTCTGGTTGTTAACGGTCGTCCTATGTTGGCCGATCCCAGCGCACCCCCCTACTCTCCCACCAACATCCCTGAGATTCACATCACCTTCCCCGACGAGCAAGACGAGCAGGGCCACAACAAGAGCGGTCGTGTCGTCGTTGTACGTGTAGGCGAGACCTCCGTCGGTCTTGAGCCCGTCAAGGAGGAGCAATTACCAGCCTACGAGAAGGAAAGCAAGTCCGGCTTCTACTCGATCGATATGGACCAAATCGGTGGTCTTAAAGAGAAAGATCGATCCCAATTCTCCTGAGCGACAACTAATATGATCTTCCCGCCGGGACCCTTGCGAAGATCAGAACAAGTCGAAAAAACTTAATTGATTCAAACCCGGCTTATTAGTATATATGATGGAGGAGTATGGATGATATATATACATATGCATGAATAATGGTGTACCTATATAAAGCAAATGTTTCTACGCCTTCCTTCTGACCGCCTCTCGAACGAGGCGAGGAAGTAAGAAGGACGGACCGACCCGGGCAGTGGAAAGCGAGCTTGGATAGCCAATCTCACGGTTTATCCGGGCAGGGCTTTTGGTACATGCCGGTCCTGCATATAACGATACCCTTTGCTTTTTGTCTTCCCTTCTTCCGAGGCCCTCACAGGACAAATTTAGCCTTCTAGTACGAGGGGCAAAAGCAAGGCCACTAGACGCGGTATATATTCTCAATTGTATAGCTAAATTAATTCCATCGTACAAGCCAACTACACATTGTCTCGTTTTGCGATGCTCAAGATACCTAAATCGTCCTCCTACATGTGATAGAAAAGCCACTCTTTGATCATATGATTCTACCATCTCAATAGTCATGTATATGTGATTGGTTTTATAATGTGCCAGGCAACTCCCCGCGATGTCCCTGGTCCAGAAACATGTTTTAACCAGTAAAGAGACGGTGGTGAGAGCGTTTCACGCACGGTAAGCACTCTATCTAGCTAGGTACATAATAACGGCGCTACCCCGACGCAAGTGATTCCGCCGCCAAGCACGGCATACAAGGCAATGATAGTCAAGAACGCCCGAAGTATGCATTACCTACGCACTATCACAAGTACGAGCGTCATCTTTGTGCGGGATGTCTCAATTCCCAGTTCCAGGGATCGTGGCTTTCAGCACGGTAGAGGAGTGCGATGAATTAATACTATCTGCCCGTAAGCAGAGGTCGCATCTTGGATTGGGTATTTAAGACAAGCAGGCTCAGGCGGGGTCCACTTGTTGATCTCTAATAACGTTTCTACTTGTAATTGAGGAAAAAGAAAAAGAAATTTCGAATCGGTAAGCGGTGTTCTGGAGTTCCGTTATACTGTTTCTGTGACATCATTTATTTACTCACGATGTTTCGACTTTCTTCTTGCTACCTAAAGCCTCCCCCACTCATGAGGTTACACAGAAATATCAATATGTCAGCTTTCTAATAAGTATGCGTTCAATATTCAAAACTCTAACTTCTCGAATAGACAAGAGCCTCGTTGGCACGTGTGATGTCAAAGGGCATTTTATAGTTACATCAAGTAGCCATATCAGTACTTGGTAATTTGTGTAACGTTCGTGCTTCAGCTTATAACAATTTTGGCGCTTCGTCCGGATATTTCTTTATAAACTTCGGTGAAGAGGGTTGGGACCCCCACTCATATAAGCCACAAGTCGATCATTCCGCTCTGCCAGACAGTGGCCAGCTGAAAGTCCCGTAAGGCGTTACAGAGCAGTGTAGCATGTAATGCCCATGCGGACGGCTTGGTTACCTTGGGGGGGCCTTACCTCTGCGACGGAATAGCGGTATCGTTTCTAAGTAGGATTTGGTGGCGTCGTTGACATATCGAAAGTCGTGGCGGCGCGATACGCTTCCAAAAATGAAACTTGAAAGGTGAGATATAGCCTGCCTTGCAAGCCGCCGGAGATATTTAAATAAACGTCAGAATCGGGAGACATCTGTCAGTACGGGCTCGTAGAGTCTTGGCTTATTGAGAGCGCTCGGCATGATCGGGCTTTTAGTCTGATTCCATTATCCTAGCATCGCTCAACAAAATATTATACCAAATCGACAAATCCCACTGCCGGAGTTTCATCAAATGACAAGCCAGAGTAAGCATCATGTCAGATTCTTGTCCATACTCGACCCGGTATCCAATAATGCTGTCGTGACGTTAATGCGAGTTGGTTCGCATATCCCCACGCAAGTCATCATATTCGATGTCTTCACAATTATGGGACTGTGAAACACGACGGCGTTTCTATTTCTTCTTAGATCTGACATGATATCTCAACTGCGTAACAGTCAGCAAGATAAATGGGGAAGGGAAATGCGAATCTTGAACCGATAGATAATTGACGACATAACAACATATCTGGGGGTTGATCAATGTGATGATAGTATATCACATGTCTTCCGTTCGATTGGCTGGGCAGAAAGATAGGTGCACAGGTGTACGATAATCAAGAATGATATCGGATGCTTTCCAGCAATTCCTTGAATCCCAGGTCATACATGGCTTCCTTCCGGTCCGTCGGCGAGTTTTGATGAGCTATAAATTAAGAACCGTTTCGGGGCTTGTTCCCTTCCCAATCAGATGAGATCTACGGATATATGTGACACAATGACTCTATTAGGCGGCCGCGCCTGGATACTGTATAAAAAGGTATGTTCTATCCCAAGATACAGGCGCTAGGCGAAGGATCATTATCATCGTGCAAGATTCGGCACTGAAATTTTCAAGATGACGAAACCCCTTACATCAAGAGCCTCACCGCAACAAGCCACTTAGCACCTACAAGGTAGGTACCCGGGAAAGCTCACGGCACGTCATCGGCAATTAGTAAAACATTACATCGGGGAATCAGTAGTTGCGAAGCCTTTAACACGGAAACTACCGTGTCTCGGCTTCTATAAGCATACGTATTAGATACGGAGAGAAGAGATTTATGTGTAGGCAGAAGTACCGGTTGGGGATTACCGCTCACATAACTCCGGCGAAAGGATTATGTAATATATATGAATGACGCCTTTCGCTATTTCAGTGAACCGCGAATATCAGAACTAGATGATTGATGCGTTATTAGCGTAAAAAGGACGAGTCAAATCAATGGATTCATCTTCGCGAAGGAGTTAAAGCTATAAGTGCTGCTTATATGAGACCCACACATCGTGGTTAGGTAGCTAATGTGCGTGCCGAACCGTACCAAAGTCCGGAACGTCAAACCCGGGTAATTCGTACTCATGATAGGTGGACGAGAGTGACTCAAAAACGTGATTGATCTTTTTTTTCTCTTCGTCTGGGACTCCTAGACTAGATCCGTCTGTTAGCCCACTATTATATACCATCCGAACCATGTGGGATGTGACATCATTGGCTGATAATCCGCCGGTATGGTCACATACATCATACACACGACTCCGGAAGCTGTCTACCTACCTAAGTAGGTAGTCGGGCCAGTCTCCTTCCACCAAGACCCCTTACATAGGTGATTCCTTGCATTTCTCCCAATGAAAGACTAAGTCCGGTTCATACCGATATCTCCTAAGTACTTGTTAAAGAATTGGTTATCACGACTCCCGGGGTTATGTGTTACCCACGGATGGCCGAATGCCGGGGATAATCGCTGATGGCTGATACCTATGGACCAATGCCAATGCATTTGTCAATTAAGTAGGTGAGGTAGGGGGTGGGTAGCAAACCGATCCATGCAGCACCCTTTGTCCCTCGCGGGCTATAAAGCCTAGCTTAGAACCGCATGTCTCAGTAACTATTAAGCAAGTACTGCGACCCCATACACCACATAATAGACGGCCATCCAACGTACCGTTCATCATGGCGACAGTTGCAGCAAACAGACAAGCCGCTACCAATTTTACCAAGACCATACACCATGACACGTATGAGTACATATCCTCAAAGAGGTTGGACCTTTCTGGAAAATCCGTCTTCGTCACTGGCGCATCTAAAGGTATCGGGAAGGAGACGGTTCTTAGCTTCGCCGCGGCGGGTTGCTCTAAGATAGGCATTGGGGCTCGATCCGACCTGTCGCACCTGATACCCGAGATTAAAGAAGCAGCCAAAAAGGCAGGTCGCAAGGAAGAGCCCAAGGTTGTCAGCGTAAAACTGGATGTTACCTCGGATGATAGTGTCAAGGCCGCCGCCGAAACCATCTCCAAGGAGTTTGGAGGCAAGTTGGATATATTAATCAACAACGCTGGATACCTGGCGGAATGGCTACCGATTGGTAGCGCGAAGCCCGACGACTGGTGGATGACGTATGAAGTGAACGTCAAGGGTCCTTTCTTATGTAGCAGATATTTTATCCCACTGCTTCTTGAAACCGACACCAAGACAATTATCATAACGACAAGCGGTGGTGCTATCGCAGTTATACCCGGCGCATCGGCCTACCAATCCACCAAATTCGTAGGATGCAGACTCGCGGAATTCCTAGCAACCGAATATCAAGACCAAGGCCTCGTATCTATCGCTTTACATCCTGGCGGCGTTAAGACGGAGCTAGCGGCGCAGATGCCTCCCTGGATGCATGCAATCCTGGTTGATGAACCACAGCTTCCCGGGGATAGTGCGGCATGGTTAGCATCCCAAAACAGGTCATGGTTAAGCGGAAGATATGTTAGCGCTCAGTGGGATATGGAAGAGCTTGACGCCAAGAAAGATGAAATCGTGGAAAAAGACTTATTGAAGTTTAGGTTGACGACAGATTTTACGGCCTCATTATAAGGGATGAACGCTTGCTGAATTTTGAACAGCAGTGTTTTTTTGTTCATCTCTTCTTCATGTTATATGTATAGCCTTATGAAGTTATTTCTTGTAGATTGATGAGAAAGGAAACTCTCCTGATTTTTGGTTTGAATGTGTAAATCATAGCCAAATAAACTTCAATTAGAATTGGAAGCGACCAGTTGATTATGTAATATTATATAGTGGGGCGAAGTATATCGCTCTTTAGTGCTAAACTCTCAGGATCCACTTGTAAGCTCTTCGCTTTCCTCATTTTGCAGCTTCAGCTTTAGATGCTGTTTTAAACTTTTAACGTTATGATTACAATTGTAATATTTGGAGCTCGCCCAACTACAACTTCCTTCTAGCTTCTATCACTCTTTCACTCTTTTAAATTTTTTATTCTTCGCTAGTAAAAAATGCATAGACAAGCCAATGGCTCCTATTGACCCTTAAACAACGCGTTAATTGCTTTTCTACCCACGAAATATGCCATCCCGCAATGCTCGACCAAAACCTCCCCCGAACGAATACAAAACTATTGCGGCGGAATGGGCCCGTGCAAAGCGATTAAAGGAGGCTGAGGCTGCTCGAAGTGCCGCGGGAAGTACTGCAGGAAAGAAAGATGATTCTTCCGCCGAGGAAGCCCAACGCGTCGCTCTCGAAACTCGACGAAAGAAGGCCTTTGATCGTCGCTCATATTGGACACTGGGCTTTTGGGCCTGGCTACTGTGTATACATGCTGTGGGAATAGTATTATTTACCGGCGGTTTTCTTTTGAGTAGACTGGTTTTAGACGGCCGGTCCGAGTGCGACAAACCACCGATCCAGCCATTATTAGAGTGGAAAGGGAGGGGCACCGTAGAGGGTGGATGTTGGCACCCTAAGACCTTCGAAAAAGCTGTCATTGTTTTGATAGATGCTTTGCGATACGATTTTACGATACCGTTCGAAGACGAGAGCAATGCCGAAGCCTACCATAATGCGCTCCCTTTTCTCTACGAAACGTCACTACGATCCCCTCAAAACGCTGTCCTCCGCCCATTCATTGCGGACCCACCAACCGCTACCCTACAGAGATTGAAGGGCCTGACGACCGGAACATTGCCCACATTCATCGATATCGGTTCTAGCTTCGCTGGCACAGCTATAGAAGAGGACAATCTATTGATGCAATGGAAAGATCAAGGGAAGCGGATTGTACATTTGGGAGATGATACGTGGACCGCTCTTTTCCCAGACTACTTCGAACCGAATATCAGCAGAGCCTACGACAGCTTCAATGTTTGGGATCTACACACTGTTGACAATGGGGTTCTGGATCACATATTCCCACTATTGAAGTCTGAGCAAAAGCAGAAGTGGGACGTTCTTATAGGACACTTTCTTGGGGTGGATCATGCAGGCCATCGGTATGGGCCAAATCATGCCGCTATGACCGCCAAGCTCCAGCAGATGGACCTTTTCATTCGGGACCTCGTGAAGGAGATTGACGATGATACTTTATTGGTTGTGATGGGTGATCATGGAATGGACCCCAAAGGTGACCATGGTGGTGAAAGTGATGATGAAGTTGAAGCTGCTCTGTGGATGTACTCAAAAAGGCCCGTATTCGGTCGTACAAAACCTGAGTTCGCGACACCACCAGCGACGGCCAAAATCCGGCCAGTGAACCAGATTGACCTGGTTCCGACCCTTGCACTACTCCTAGGTATTCCTATACCGTTCAATAATCTTGGACGACCAATCGAAGAAGCCTTCGCTGGTCTGAAAGGAAATGCGTGGAATCACCTTGCTGCTGCCTCTAGTGTGGCATCTGCAGGAATTAGGAGGTATCAAGCAGCATACTTCAAAGCCCGTGGTATTGAGCAAAGCACCAAGCCTGGGTCGCCCGCGTCGCTCTGGGAAAAGACAGAGGTCCTTGTCCAGTCAAGCACAAAATCTAAGCCGTGGGAAACTCTGTATGATTCCTACACTGCTTACCAAGAGGAGACCCTAAGAATCTGCAAGGACCTCTGGGCCAGATTCGACATCCCAAAGATGATATTGGGAATTATAATAATGGCACTTGGCGTCGTCATATTATTATTCTACGTCTCTAGGGACGAAGATGAGGATTTCGCAGTATTGGACGATGCCGAGCTAGACTTCGCTGAGAAGAGCTTAGAATTACAAAATTCGACAGCAGAACCCGAAGTCGGATCTTATAAAAACTTGACTAGGTCACTCACTAAGGCGGGATTCCTAAGTGGTGGGTTAATAGGACCTCTGAGTGCTGCATTTGTTAAATTCTCGGGGTCCGAAGACTGGCTACTAGCCGCTGCCGCAACAGCCATTGTGAGTCTGCTTGCTGTAGCTGGCACTCTACTAAAGGTCCGGGGAAGAATTATACTTAACCTCTTACCGAATACCTTCTGGGGTTGGCTGTCCGTTGTTTTTACATTGAGTCAGTCCATCGGCTTTGCGTCTAACTCATATACCATCTGGGAAGATTCTATTTCATTATTCTTCCTTTCAACTTTCGGTATTGCAAACGCCGTCGCTGCGCTTCAGCGGCCCTCAATTCGTGACCGATCTTTGGGCGTCTACCACTCTATTGTGTTCGTCGTTCTTGTGCGCCTGGCTTCCTTCTCAAAGCTTTGCAGGGACGAACAAATGCCCTACTGTAAATCAACCTATTATGCATCTGCCAACTCCTCGACATCGGCGCCTTGGCAACTCGTCATACCTTTCGCCATTTTCCTTCTTTTGCCATCTATAGTCAAATCTTATATGAAGATCTCACGGTCATATGAAGGCCTTGCACCTGTGTGGATTGGCTACGTCTTCCGAGCTGGTCTCTTCCTCTCCGCTATTTACTGGACCATTGATACTGCGCAGAGTGCGGAATGGATCATCACCTCGCTTCCAGAGAAGGTGCTGAAGACTATTAACGTTTCTATCGCTCAGCTGGTTCTAGCTTTGGCTTTCGTGGCCGGCACGACCGCATTCGCATGGGCACCTCCCTGCGTCTCTATCCTTACCACGTCAGCCAACAACCGAACAGCACAAATTACCGTACTTGGCTACGGCAACACGAATGGTGCCCGTTACCTACTCCTCTTGGTCAACATCACCGCCGGATGCATCCTCCTCTCAAAACCCATGGGAGGCGGCGCCATCGCCATTATGCTCTGGCAAATCCTCTCTCTGGTCGAGCTCATTGACCTCAACGACTTATCAGCCGAGACCGTCGGCCCGGTGACACTCGCCCTGTTGGGTAACTTTCACTTCTTTAAGACGGGTCACCAAGCCGTTATCTCATCTATCCAGTGGGACAGTGCTTTCGTCCCGCTACTCACCCTTCGATACCCCTGGAGTCCTCTCGCAGTCGCTATAAACACCTTCGCGGGCCAGGCTCTGGCGTGTATCGCCGCGCCTCTTGCGGTCATGTGGAAGACCTCACCAAAACGGAAAGGCGTCTTGGAGGCTTCGAGTCGCGCGCTTGCGGCGCTTGTTGCGTACTACGCTGTGCAGAGCCTAGCGACCATGGCCTGGGCCGGGTACCTAAGACGGCATCTTATGTTATACCGTGTCTTTAGCCCACGGTATATGATGGCTGCTACGGTGTTGCTAGTTGTCGACCTCGTAGGGATTGGGGTCACACTATTGGGTGTTAGGACGAATGTCCTAGCAATTGGGGAGATTTTTGGGTTTGCTGATTAAATGCTCGTGATACCTGAACTAGATTACGGAGGTGCCTAGAGGGATAGATCTCCCAGATGTGGTGAACGATAGAGAATACGCCATAATTCTACGGATATTGAGACGACGCGTCTATCCGAAAATCGTGGCTTGCTTTGTATATGCAGTTGTAGGATAGAAATCTGAATGAAGAAAAAAAGTACTTTACGACCGATCGTATGTTGATGCTGTACAGGCAAGACAGTCAGATCCCGCTGCGTTGCGGAGCGGAGTAGTTGTGTAGGTATGCAGGTAATATCGAATCCTGCATGACAGTCGAGTCAATATGCAAGCAGTACTTCAAGTAAATTACATAGGAGATGATTAACAATCTAGGTACCTACCCGACGGCTACGGGCATTGGGAGCATGTGGTATGTGTGCATACCGTCCGCCGATCATCACATACCCGCTTACCCGTCCGTCTATTTTCACCAAACCTATGAAACTAATTAAGGGCAGACAAACATTGTATATACATAGGTGGGTCTAGCCGCTCGCTACTTAGAAAGAGGAATACTGGGCAAACATATGGGTGTCTGGATGCTAACACAATATGTTGTACTCTAGAGTTATCACGTCCCTTACTTTCTCTGGTCGCTGATCGAGCAGTACGCTAGAAAAGATACGCTTAGCGCGGATCAACTCGTGGGTAGGGAGGTAGGCTTAGATGAAAAGAATATTAAAGTATCACAAAGATAGATGTACTGTACCGTTACTGTGTATTCGCCAATCGTAGTGTTTGATTCGTCTGATTCACAAGTAATTGTTGAAGCATGAGGTATAGATTTTCAAGCATATTAACAAATCGTATTCGTAGATGCGATATTGTATTTTCATCCACCAAATTGGCGTATCCATCTACACATCAAGTATCTGCTAAGCCTTCTAAGATGTAGGCAGGCTATCAAGTATGTACACGAATTACCGTCTATGACCACCCTTTCCAATACTTCGCCCCCAATCATGTCTCAGGTACACATGGTCGGATCGACGACGCCACCACACCCGCACCCTCATCGAACCTTGTCCCAGAGCGTAGATCTAAAGGATTCATGTGCTCTTATCCCGTCCACCATCTTGAATTCCTATCTACCGTCCCGACCCGAATATCAAAGAATAGATGATCTGTGTAAAATATCTTGAGGTCAGATATGCCATAAGAATTAAAAAAAAAATAGGATAAATGTCGAATGGGTATCAAAATTGCGCCGTGGGGTTAAAGTGCCGTTTCGTAAAAGAAAAAGAAAAAAGAGCCATCCCATCCTGTAACCGAAGCTCGTATCCAAATCAAGCGTTATATAAATATATATATATCCAATCCTACCCCAAATACGCCTCTAAAATAAAGAGATCCGGGTTTAGAAACATTGCTTATGAGATCAGTTACCGAATCCAACGCGAAACAGCCATGAACAGTAATGAAAGCAGAAGCAGAGACGGCGCTTGCGCTATAGAGGTAGCGCTGTTATCTGGGAGCGCCACAGGAAGCGCAGCGCTGACAAAATTCGCACCGCATTCTGAGTCGATTTGTTGCGCTGCCTGGACATATGTATTCGCTATCAATTTCTTTCGGTTCGCCGATGCTGATTGGTATATCTTCATCGTCTCGCTTGTGCAAGAATCACATGCAGGCACGGCCGATTCCGGTAAAGTCGAATTCAAAGGCAAAAGATAAAGATAAATGTTGGATGATGTTGTGAGGTTTGTAACTGCATTGACGAAACAGTACGCAGAAGTATCCGGATTCGTCAAACATCCCGCACCGTAGATTTCTTCGTACGCTTTCATTCCCGTATATGCCTGGGTGACGACCGGATTCCGCTTGCCATAATCTTGTCCACAATTGTCGTTGGATATAAGTTTGTCGGCGAGATCGTCGAGATAGCTGTTACAAGACTGTTTATCAGCCTTGCAAGATGCTTCGATGACCTGCGTTATTTTGACCAAGGATTTCATAGCCTGGAAAAATGAATTGGAACCCTATAATTTGTTAATAATGGTCCCTTAGGCTGGGAAACAGTTGGACTAACCTTCAGAAGTAGCGAGAGAGGATAGCATTCTTGAAATGTTGGGTCTGCCAAAAAGCTGTTGATGAAGTCCAGGCAAGATCCACCTCCATCATCACCGGAGAAATTCGCAGCGAGCGCGCCATCGAATGGAGTAGGAAGGGGACCCGTCGCGACGGTTGTTGTGGTAGGTATTGCTGTGGCAGTCGATACATCGAGTTTATATGTCTCCGTCGCGGGAAGTCTGCGAACGAGTTGGCGATGCTCGTCTTCGGCCATGATCTGCCAGTGACCGTCGACGAAAATCGGTATCCGCGTATCGAGTAATAGCGCTGTTTCGGTCGATCGCGGGGCGTCCTCCAGTGAAATAGCTGTGGTTAGGGGGATCCAAGAGGAAATTATTAAGACGATCACTACCATATGTGTAAAAAGTTCGTGGTAGGGTGAAACGGCAGGGTAGGGCGGACCACACCCGCGGCGCAGCGGCCATCTTTGGCGCCCGAAGGAGCGAGTTGGAAGCATTATATTCCCGAAGCAGGTAACCGATCAGCGGGTCGATCATTCATACATCGCTTTGCGATGAGAGAGCCTCACGCCTGTGACAGCTTTCAAAGTCGTATGTAGTGATCCGACGCGGTACTACGTTGTATCCTTTTGTGTTGTGAAGCTTCAAGTTCGATATGGGAGGAAATTATTGCGGCTGTTCCACCATGTGTTTTTATTTATTCAACAGATCTAGGCCCAAAGCCCGGTATTACCCTGTCTTCGAAATATATAACACGAAAGGTCCGTTGCGGGGATAAGGTGCCTAGTATAAAGGCGGATTGGCGGGTAAATGAGCGTGTCCTGTAGCAAAATAGCACAAGGCCAATGAGGCCGTGCGCTTATACGTATAATAGCAATGCTACAACGAAATCCAAGCAGTGTATATGTGCGGGGACGATATTGATCGAAGCTAGCAATTCACACTTTTGGCTGGTGATAGCCAACTATCCGGATGTTGGGATAGATAGGTGTCGAGGAATCCAGGGAATGTAGAAAACGACAAAAAAGGCAGGAGGATGGGCCTTTCATAGGCATCAGCAAACCTGCATGCTTTTGAATGAAATTCTGTAGAAACAACCGAAGATAAGTTGGTCAAGGCGTTTTGGTATGGGTGGCATGAGCGCTCCCGAGCGTTCCCATTTTGGGGTCTCCAAGCCGGTTGGCTCGTCCACTCTTCAGTGCCTAGTACTTAGGTATCGGCGCAGAGAGAGAAGACAAGACGCTAATGTCTAAGTTCGGCGCGTGTAGACCAAGAAGGGCGACGCACACGATACCGCAATTTGGGGTCTGCATGTAATAAGATGTGACCTATGCCCTCTTGAGTCAGAATCGGCCCCAGAAGTTATGGCATTGTGGTGCGATTCCTGTGCCGCTTTGCCTGCCTCAAGGAGCCTAGCCGATATATCCATTTGGGATCATTGTAGCCATGACTAACATAGCATAAAGATGATTGACTTGTCATTTCTTCTTCTCTCCCTCGAGTTGGTAGGTGTCCCATCACATCGGCATATTTCGCTTGAAGTCCAAGCCACCAAGACAGAAAAAACAAGGACTTCCTTGTTGGATCTGTTTTCCAAGGTACTGGCCAGTTTTGGCCCCTCTTGACCAGTGATATCGCAAGACAGGGGTTAAGAGCTTGGCTGGGTAGGGGTCTTAGTGAGGGTCCGTAGTCTAGAATCACTTTCTCCGATTCGACTCGATCGATGGAGTCCTGTAGTATTAGAAGTATTAGTATTGAAGTTGGTAAAAAAGTTGAATTGGGTTTGTATTAGCGAAATTCTTTTAAGGTTAACTGAATTCGTATTAGAGTTTATTAGACAATCTAAGTAGTTGCACATTCCAACGAATCACAAAACTTACATAAAGTTCCCATCGCTCTTTACTACTATAATTGTCCTTGGGTTGTACAAGACGTAGATTTGTCGATACTTAAACGGGGCTAGCATCGCGCATTATTTCTGCACTAATGTCAGGCACAGCCGCTACACCCTCGTGTTGACCTGTTCGTTAGCAGTTTTAGCGTAACGGGTACCTGCTCCTGCTAGAATTATAGGAATTATAGTGGATATAGGTACCTAACTACCTTAAGAGACCTACCAAGTTTAGATAGGACGTTACAAGCTGTTGCGAGCTATTGGGAATTACGTACGCGCCAAATCCATCTTCATTTCACGAACCATCCATTTATTGTTTATTAACACCGAGCCCGAAGGAAAACCACCAACTTCTATTTGAAGCAATTCTTAAATACCTAGTCCACAGACATCTCTTTACTCCTCTAAATATACACATCTACTTCACAATTGAGTAAGTAGTACTATGAAAGACACGGTGTACTTCGAATCACAAACATTTCTCAGCTCCGGCGTGCTGCCCGGATCAGCAGCTTCGGCAGTCCAAGGTAGCATCGTGTCAAATATCCCAGGGGTATAACTACGTAGTACGTGTACTCTCCTTGCTTTCAAGCCAAGACAATTCCGATTGTTAGGTTCCTTCCTTTACCGAAGAAACTGCATTCATTTCTTACATATTAGTATTCCAGGGTCCTGGGTTTTTATTTACCAATTGGATCTTGAAAGTGATTCACCTTATTAAGCGGTCTTATTGACCTGGATACTCAAGACATCTCGATCTACCAGAGGGCTAGAACTTTCGTTTTTCGATTGCTTCCAGGTTTTGCGTTGGTAATTCTATAAGCTGTCTTCTTGCCTACCTAGGTATTCATCACTTACACAACATACTGCAAAGGGACCTCAAATGGGCATTGCTTTGGAAAACTTACTTAAGCTTAATATAGATTATACAACAGTTTGCCGTAAGCAAGCAACCCTCTCAAGGCACTGCCCTGCACAGCACTCACCATCGCCGATGAACATTAACACAACTCACCACAAGAAGAAAAAATTACCCCTAATAACCACTTAGAAATGAAGAAAAAGAAAGTGAACTTTATAGCTTACTACTACAAAGCAAACTCCATCTAAAATTATCCTTAGTAGATCGATCATCACAACCCGTACTTGACCTTTAGCCAGTAAAGTACCAATTCGATCGGCGGGATCGTCACTATTAAGCTTTCTCATCCATTCAGCCCTAACATCGTTGTTGATCCGTCGTGGCTATGTTTCTCTTTTTCTTTAATAACTCTAAGCCAACAACATGATATTTCTGAAGTTGACTATCCGAGACTTCCGTTATTATCGCAATACTCTACGTGGGTTGGTTGGTATAGAATTCGAATTGGGTCTTGTCCTGTCATCATATCATGTCTTGATGCTAATGTTCAGAACCTTTACTTTCCGGCTATTCCGTTACTATAAACACAATTCACTCAAGTATATAGTAAAGCAAAACCCCCTAAATTATAAAAGACAAAACCTCCCTACGTCCAACCCTCATTCAATCCACTCTTTGCTAAACACCCACTTAGAAGCACAGCACTATTTCCCCATCACACGCCAAAGTAAGGGCCTTCCCTCGTGGCAAGCCGTGAAACAGCTACCCAAGACATTACACTACATACATCACATCTATCCCATACCTGACACACACACCCACAATATACATCATCGGGGACTCGGGAAATACCGTCGTACAATTCCCACCTCCAAACCTCCAAACTTACGAGTTCCCAACCCCTACCTGAGAAACGAAATGTCCTCGGATATCAACTTACGTCAAGTTTCAGTGACCAATATTCCACCCCGTCTGTTTCAGTTTCAGGCCTCGCAATAAAAGCCCCTATTCACCTCACCTCACCTCGCACTGAATCTCCTGAAACACAGCTGGAGGCCTTATATTATCGGGTGAAGATTCCCCGCTGAAGATTTTCAGCCACACGGCAGATCACAATTCAATTTACAGCACATCAAAACATCGCACAAGTTAATTCAAATGAGTGGGTTTTCTCATTATATCGTACAACATCATCGAGAGGTGACGACAATTCAGGTCTAACTAATCTCATAACGCCATCGCAATGCGGCCGGCTGTTTTATCTTCTGCATCTTTCTACTCATCCATTCATCCAGCCGACATTTCAGCTTCCAACTGCGCATGCATGTTATACCATGTGGGGAATCTCTGACAATCAAAAGACATTAAACAAAAAATATGGCGCTCTAGATGCGCATTTGATACCGGCTAGTCGCCAACTACCTTGTCTTCTCGAGACTCTGTAGGTGGACTAGCTCGGCGTACCTTCCGTTCTTCCTCATTAATTCGGGATGTGTGCCCTCCTCAACAATTCTACCTTGGTCGAACACGTAGATGATATCAGCCTTTTGGATTGTGCTCAATCGGTGAGCCACAGCAATCGTGGTTCGACCCTTCGCTGCCTTGTCAAGGGCAGCTTGGACAACGTGTTCCGATTCCGAGTCCAAAGCACTGGTGGCTTCATCTAGAAGCAAGATCTTGGGATCGCGGATCAGCGCACGCGCAATGGCGATACGCTGCTTTTGACCACCCGATAGTAGAGTACCCTTGCTACCTACTACCGTGTTGAAGCCGTCCGGCAAAGACATGATGAAATCGTAGATATTCGCTTCCTTGCATGCAAACTCAATCGCCTCGTCCTTGACATTGTCGAGGGAAGAACCGAGAAGAATGTTCTCCTTAATTGTACCTTGGTAGAGGGTCGGTTCTTGAGATACGAGAGCGACAAATGACCGGTACTGATTGACGTTGAGGGTGCTAATCTCCTTGCCGTCGACAAAAACGCCACCGACAAGGGGATCGTAGAATCGTTCTAGTAAAGCAATCGTAGTACTCTTACCGCAACCCGAAGCACCGACAAGGGCAACGTACTGACCAGGACGAACAGTCAAGTTCAGACCACGTAGCACAGGTTGCTCGGGTCGGGTGGGGTATCGGAAGTGGACATCGCGGAATTCAATGGTACCCTCAACCCCATCCACTTGCGCTCCATCTTCGGACCACGTGTCGATCTTAGGCTTTCGGTCGAAAAGTGTCTTCAATTCACCAGCTGCGTGGTGTGCCTTACCCATATCGGGAGCGAAAGAGAAGACGACACCGGCTGACTGCGCACCATAGATGACGGACATAAAGCAAACGAAGAACTGGAAAAGGTCGTACTCGTACTTGGCAATTAGAGTACCACCGTACCAGAAACCAAGGGCAAAAGCGAGGAAGAGGAACGACTGAGCGGCCGCATACAGGAGCGAGGATTTCAATACGGAGATTAAACTCGACCTCTGCTGAATGGCGAGCGACTGCCTATAGTGGGCTAGGACATCGCCTTCTCGAGTTAGAGATGCAACGGTGCGAATTGCCGATATAGCCTCAGACGCGTATGAAGCACTTTGCTCGTACGCTCTCCTAGAGCGACGCTGAAAGTGCGCAAGCATGTAAAATCGGAAGAATCCACATGCAAGCAGAACCGGTACTGTAGCAATGCAGACAAGGGCCAACTTCCAACCAAATGCCAAAGCAACAACCATCGCGGATATCAGTGTTGTCGTAACCATGAGCAGAGTTCCGAGGGTGACACCACTAAGGCCAGCCACGTGAGTAGTCTCAGTCGACAAGAATGATGTGAGGGCGCCAGCAGTGTTCTCGTCCTTGTCGAAGAAGGCTACATCTTGACGCAGCATGGTTCGGAAAGCCCTATCTCTGACACGGTGGATGAGTCGCTCGGAGCATCTGGCGAAAGCAATACCTTGAGACATTTGGGCGATAAGCATGACGAATGCTAGCATAAGGAACATAGCGCTCCAGAAGTCGCTGTCTTTCTTAACCTGTGCGCTGTTTGCGGGGGTAAGGGGTACACCCAAAGTCTGCATAAAGTTAGCTAATGATTACGATGTAGCGGAAATTGACTCGTTTTCAGGATTACTCACCATGATCTGCTTGGCGAAGAAAAAGGCTTGAGTTGGGTTACCACCACCGCAGATGATGGACCAGCACAAACCCCAAACCATGAGCTTCCATTCCTCTTTATTGAACGATGCGATTAGCTTAATCAAGGTCCATAATCCATACTCTTTCGCCTCCTCAGGCTTACGACCTTGGAGAGCCTTGCTAGATGCGGAGCCTTGAGTCGTCGATCGGTTGAGTTTCTCGTTGATGTTGTCGTCGGGGTCTTCAATATAGCCAGCTTCAGTTTTCCTGGAAGCCTTGCGGACAAGTTGCTCGTCATGAGCGTCGAGCTTTTCTTGTTCCTCCGCGGACAAATCATTTACGGCAGCAATGTTCTGAGCATTGACTAACTTAGCGTAGGCGCCACCAAATACCAGGAGTTCGTTATGGGTTCCCTGCTCGACAATAGCCCCTTGAGACATGACAACGATATTGTGGGCATCCTTGATAGTAGATAGGCGATGGGCGATGGTAATGGTGGTTCGGCCTTCCGCGGCAGCTTCCAAAGCAGCCTGGACAACACCTTCTGATTTGGTATCCAATGCGCTGGTAGCTTCGTCAAGCAGGAGAACTAAAATGGGGTGTTAGTAAGCGTTTACGCGTTCCTTGCGTATTAGAAGTTTCGACTTACTCTTAGGATCCGACACAATGGCTCGTGCGATGGCAATACGTTGCTTTTGACCACCGGACAACAGGAATCCGCGTTCGCCGACATTTGTTTCGTATCCTTCAGGCAAAGACGAGATGAAATCATGAGCATTAGCCTTCTTGGCCGACTCAATAATCAATTCCTTTTGTTTCTCCTCGCTCTCATTTTCGAGTTTCGTGCCGATGAGACCGTGTCTGATGTTGTTGTAGATCGTGGTACCGAACAGGGTTGGCTCTTGGCTGACCAAAGAGATTTGCTGACGCAACCAACGGAGATTCAAAGTACTGACGTCGTGGCCATCTAGGAGCACTCTACCCGCAACAGGATCGTAAAATCGCTCAACCAATCCTACAATGGTACTCTTTCCGGATCCAGAAGTTCCAACCAACGCAGTAGTTTTGCCTGCTGGGACGTCTAGTGTCACATCCTTCATGACAACGACCTCGGGTCTCGAGGGATAGATGTGTTTGACGTTCTCCAAGCGAATTGTGCCCACAACTTTCTCTAGCTTCTCGCCATTGTCGGTAGTAGGGTCTAGCGGGGACATACGATCGATCGTGTTGAAAATCTTGGTTGCCGCCGCAAGTGCAGTGCCGAAGGCTTGAAGATTGGGAGCGATATTACCTAAATTGAATGCACCAATCATAATGGACATCATGATGATAAGAACGCTCGACAATGTGAGGGTGCCGTCGACAAGATATTGACTTCCCATCCAGAAACTCAACCCATAATTCATGTATATGATCCACATCATACCAGCAACCATGCAGGCGACGGAGGCGGCTTTTCTGAAGCCGAAGTACTCGGCGCGAGTTAGGTGATTGTCGTACTGCTTTGCCAGTCGGCCCTGGGTACCAAAAGCCACGGCATTTCGAATGGAGCTGATAACTTCGTCGGCGACACTACCTCCTGTTGCGTATGCTTGAATTGAATCCTTGGTAAACTTAACGACAAATCGAGAGCCAATTCCCATATCCAACAGCAGAGCCACGATTACGCAGCATAGGATAAGTGTCAATTTCCAGTAGAAAACAAAGCCAATGACGAAGGCGGAAATGAACGTCGAGACCGCAGTCAACGTTAGTCCAACCTTCTCGGAGATACCTTCTTGGATCAAGTTCGTGTCGGAGGTGATACGGGTGGTGACTTCGCCGGCGCCGAGCTTGTCGAAGTAACCGATATTCTGACGCATACAGCTCTCTAGGTAGTGTTCTCGGATCTTGGCGCTGATATGCTCTCCAGTATAGATGAAACCAACAGTCGCAACATAGATGGTGACAAACTCGGCGATGGCTAGGTACACGAAGTATAACACAAGAGTGGTCATCTGATGCATAAAGTCGTCGTACGAGACCGTCCGTTGGAAGTAGCCTTGGAATGTGTTTTGAAGATTACCGAAGATGACAGTCATAAGCGGTAGCGCGGCACCACCCGCAATAGCGCCCAAGGCGCTCACGGCCATGATCAAAAGATCATTCCTGGAAGAGTACCGGTAAATAGTAGCGACACCAGTCTTCACCTCGGGTGTGAAGACTTGTCTCTTGAGGATTTCGGCCTCATTGGCCGGGAGATGATTGAAGGGGTCATTCTCCGCGGGACCGTCCGAGCCTTTGCCCGAGCCCTTTGCATTTTTGGGAGGTTTTGAATCAGCTTTTTCCAAAGCTGCGGCGGATTCTTCTGTAGTAGAGGGAGGAGGAATTTCTGCGGGAGCCGTTATACTTGAGCTACCATGACTAGAGGTACGCTTCGAAGAAGGTTCAGCGGCGGCCGTCTGAGGCCCTTCTGATATGGGGCCGGTCATGGCCACGCGCTGTCGAGATAGAGCACGAGGCGATTAAGTTGAGGAGATGCACCGACCCAACCAAGTATTTACAAAAAGATGAAGGAGTTAAAGGGATTAGGTATTTACAAGAAATAAAACCGAGTAACGTTAAAACGGTGTCGGACTAGAAAAGACTCAAGAAAGTTATCGGAGTAGCGCGCCCAGACCTATTTATTTAAAGTTCAAACGGTCTTGTTTTTATTTGTTGCCGGGCCCCTCTTTCCAAAACGCTCACACACGCAATCTCAATCCCGATGGATGAGGAATTCGTAGTGGATGCTTCGACGCTTGGTAAACTCGCACCTTCGGTTTTCAATTCTGTAAAACGCAGGCCCGGGGTCCGATTACTTTATAAACGTGTTATAGAAAAATTAAAATAAGCCGCAACGGGGTTTACGGTGTGGATTCTGGCGCCACATCTATTTCTTGTTTCTCGTTACCTAGCATGTAGAGAAGGCGAAAGAAAAAAAAATTACCATGTACAGTAGTTGATATGATACATGTAATTGGGTGCATGGGACTGATGGGACTAAATAACTCCGGGGTGTAAAGTAAACATCTAACCCAATTAGGATAGAAATTATACACCAAGAATACCGGAATGCTAGGGTCCCGAGAACGAGAGCACTAGAGATTTTGCAGTGAAGCTACGGGATGTAAGATACCGATCGTTAGAATTATACAGTGAATTCCGAACTACGACGTTCCAGGTTTCCACAAGGTAGCCTTGATATCGGCAGCTTTACTCGATGTGGAGATGTGGAGGATGCAACATACTAAGAGGCAACCAATCACGTCTCAATTATCGCCCATCTGGTACGGGGTTATAAGGGAAGTAAGATATACGAAAACCGCCGTACTACGTATTTACGTTGGTATACCTCGTACATTGAACTCCTCTCTGCTTCTGCTCTGCTTGTAAGTTGCCCTACATCCTTCGTGTAGGCATGCAATATGATGTCGCCTGAACTAGGTCACACCGTTCTTTTTCCGAACAAGTGATAATCCTTTTTATTCATTTTATTATTATCTATTGGCCTCGGGTGGTTTCGCTTAGTTTTGACCAGACTTGAAAATACTTACCATAAAGAGTAGATTATTGTCAGATGGATCTCGATAAGCTTCCCTCTACCAAACACCTAGTTACTGGCTTATACTAGGCCTAGACTTATAACATACTATGTAATATTGAGATTAGATCGTGAAACCGCGGCAAGTCGTATAATTCGTATAGGCCTATGTAGAGCTACCTTAGCTACCTAGGTGCTTTGGTTACAACATGGAAGTTAATCTAAAGAATGTCCGACCCTGTCGATACCCCCATGGTAGCGAGACCCTTGGACCGTTGGTGGTACCACTAGCACGTACCACAACTATCCGATCTGACGTCTGGTCCTGCCGTCCTGCATACCCTTTTCAAGTCAGCCGAAAAGACTCATACCGAAGAAGATCTTTCCGATTCCAATTCACCGCTCCCAACGCCCTGGTTAGCTACAGTTTACGATTTGCATATCTTTACGAGTCAACCAACGCCATATGCGCGAATAGTGATGAGGGGGTTGGTGATGAAAAAGTGCAGTAATGTAAGAACTACTAGAAATTGCCAAGGATTGAATTTCCTAGTCTTGGGTATACGAAGCGAATGCGAAATTCACTCTACCGGAGCTGAAAGAGTGGCCATCGATAAGCTCGGAGGGTCGGATTTTATCACCACCCCGTGAACCGATTGCCTACCCTACTACTGCTGCTACCTGCCTAGGTACGCTAACTGCTTAGGCGTTGCTTAGTGGACATATGTAGGTTCTAGCTAATGTACTTCGGCAGCTAGACTTGATCAGGATTGGAGGATACCTGCGCTTTGGGGCACACTTGACGTTCTGGATTCTAGAAGTATCAAAATAATGTCTCTATGACTCCTCTCCGGGGACCCACGGTTTTATAGTTACATCAACAATGAAGCTTGATTTAATGGTTCTATCAAAATTGAGAACTCGGTCTAATATCTAGCTTCCTCCGCTCCCCAATCTCGCTTGTCTAGTGTCATTATCTCCTATTTCAGTAATTATTGCCTCGAACGACCCTTAATGGGTTTCATGAAACGTTCGCAAAAGTCCAAAGGGGACGCGAGTGGGTAACACCAATATATGTGTATACCAAGACCAATAAAGGGTCTTGTTGTTTGAGAGCCTCAAAAACCAAAAACCTTCCGGACATCGGACATCGGAATACTTAACTACCGGTCCTCATACTATTTAATTCTTAAAACTTCTAATCCCCCTCGGTTATAAACGACTGACGCGTCCATAGATTTAACGATGGATTTAATATCTAAGCGGACTTTATTTATCTCCTCTTGTCCTAACAGCGCAAGCGAGAAAACGAAAACTAGTAGACGCACCTAGACATGCATGCGTATCTAGTGTAAATTTGTTACTTCAATACATGTGGGTAGCCGTCGGATGGAATCTATGACTAATTACTTTATCTGATCGAGGCCAGATTCTATCCATTAAATTTCGGTGTATGATGTCCAGGTATATTTTATAGATTAATAAGTTATGCGGCATAAATCACTTGCATAAAGTGCGGCTGAGAGGTAGCACAAGGCGAGTTCTAAGGTCTAAAACAATATTAAATCAAAACTGAAAAAAGAGTTTGGTTCAAACTTTTTAGTTCAGGCCAACCAAACCCGCATCCGTCATTCAGCCTCGCCACCGCCGCTTCCAATGAGATTGATCCAACGCAGTGAATCCTGATAGCTCAATAGCCCTATCAAATTGCCAACTGTCCTTTTCTTAGCTTTCTCCTCAATTAACAACTAGACTGGCATTTGGGGGAACATGCTTCGAGCAACATAACGACCTACGAATTCACGATATACGTATTTGCTTATCGAAGCTATCTCGCGATTCTTCAAACATCGTTGCTAGAGATGCTGTGATTTAATTCTATGCGCTGCGTCGTGTGACAATCAGTTTAGATCTATACTTCGCCGCCCGACTCCTGCAACATACGACCGACCAACACCAACCCAGCTATCCGAATCCGAGCATCAACCCACGATGCACCTCGCACACGCCCCCACCATCCTCCTCCCCCTACTCTCTCTCACCCACCTAACAACCGCCACCTCAAAGCCCAAAAACGCGATCCTCCTCTCCGACGTCCAATCCCTAACCCTACGCGGCAACAACGCCCAAACAACCCACCGGCGCGCCGCCGCAATACCGCAACTCCGTTGCATTTCCTCTCCCGCAATATGTCGCCTCCACGAACTCGACATAATGCGCTGTACAAACCAAGGCTCCGGGTACGACAGCGAAGACATCCAATGGTCATGCGCGGCCTCCCTCCCTCCCGAGCTGAAACTCGGCAGCACCGACGTAGCCTGTGAGGGGTACTCCGGACCCAATGATCCGTATATACTCAAAGGAAGTTGCGGCGCTGAATATCGACTTATCCTAACCGAGGAAGGCGAGAAGCGGTTCCCGGATCTCGCGAAGGGAGGTGGGGGTTGGGGTGGAAGTGGCGAAGAGGGACTTGACTGGAGTGCTATTATTTTCGGTGTCATATTCGCACTCGTCTGTATGTGGATCGTGTATAGCGCATGCCTTGCTCCCAACCAGAACGGCGGTAGACGGCCTCCTGTCGTCCAGCGGAGACCGAGGAATAACTGGGATGGCGGAGGCGGTGGTGGGTTTGACCCTGGTTTTGGACCTGGGGGAGGAGGTGGTGGTGGTAGTTGGGACGACCCTCCACCGCCTTACCCAGGACCTAAATCCTCGTCATCGCAAAGCCAGGGTTGGCGTCCAGGATTTTGGAGCGGGTTGGCGGGTGGAACAGCCGCAGGATATATGGCAGGTAACATGGCTGGCAACCGACAACGTAACGATTACGGTTGGGGAGCAGGTCCATCTTCTGCACCATCCTTCAACCGGTCGAATTCGCGTTCGACGTCCTCTGCAAGATACGAGAGTACCGGGTTCGGATCGACGAGCCGCAGGTGAACGAGAAAGGAGGATATAGTCTCACGACCTCATCAATTATGTACCTAATCTATCATGTGGAATGCGATTTTATTTTGATGGTTCTTGATTATTATTTTTTTTTCGGTTTTGGGGAAGCCTCTATTCGTTCGCACTCACTATCCTGTGCGACAACCTGTCGCAAAGCAAAGCGACGTATATACACCCAGCAGGAGGCCGTTGTTGACCTCTCGTACCATGCAAATTGATGAAGCCTCCGCCTACGGTAGCAACCAGGTTGGAATCATTTGCGAATACTCCGAACAAAAAAATTGAAACGAAGATTGCGCGACCTTCGTACATCGGTCAAAGTCGTAATAAGCCGAACTTCTAGGCCGAAACACCACCAGGCCGGACCCTCGGTTGCCAGGTGGTCATCACTATTATGTACATCAAACTCTTACAATTGGCGACGCCTTCCCCTTTTCTTCGTAGTAATTTACACTGCGTCGGTATCGGCTTATTCGTCGTCTGTTTACCAGTCCTAAAGGTGAACAGTCATCGCATCTGATTTATCAAATGCCTTACTGCATGCTGGGCACTTTCGCATACGGTTTGTTATTCTGTCGTCGATGCACCCTCTGCAGAATATGTGGCCACACGTTCGTAGGACTGTATTCTTGAAATCCTTCTTGCAAATCGAGCAAGTCGCCATGCTCTGGTATAACTGTTAGTAAACTGCAATGCTCCAAAAATTGGATGTTGTACTTACTCGTAGCATTTCCTCTTCTTCCGAAGAGTTGCTTAGACACTTGACCTTCCACTTGTCACGGTCCTTCGAGGCGGACTCGAGGCGGGCCTTCAACTTCTCTACTTCAGCTTCTAGTGTAACTGCTCGCTCCTTGGCCACGGCAGTGGTTGAGTCCTTTGACTTTGCTAAGTTCGATAGCTCGGCTATTTGCTGCTTGAGGGCATCAAAGCGTCGCGACATCTCATTGTTAGTCGTCTCAAGCTTTCTGCTCTCGGTTATGATTGACCCGTTCGTTTGCTTCAAATCCGCAAGCTGCTTGTCTAGGTTGGTGACGAGCGTTCGATTATGGGCCTCAACTTCCTTTAGCTGCGATATGATCTCGGAGCTCTTGCTATTCTGAGCGCGCAACTTCTGGATCGCCTCGCTCTTCGTGTCTCCGTCTTTTCGTGCCGTGAAGTACTTCTGGTCCGCTTTGCTCTTCTCAGCAATGGCTAGCGCTACACGCTCTTCCATAGCGGCTTGATCCATGACTTTCTTGTGCGCCAATGCTTGGAACTTCTTCATCGCGGTTGTCATACCAGGCAACTCGCTCTCGATCGATTGATAATCCTTCAGCAACTTCTTGTACTTCTCTCGCAGGTCCTCGAACGAAAGGGCATCTATGTCAGGCCGTTGTGTCATGTCGACATCTTCGCTAGCTTGCAGTCGTTGCACTTCTAATTCCAAGGCTGCGATTCGGTGTTCTTCAGCAGTTACAAGTTCTCTCATTTGTTCCAGTGCAGTTCTTTCCTGTTCTTTGCTTGCCTTCAACTGCGTAACATCCGCATGCAGCTCGTCTCTCGCAGACCTCACTCGTGCTAGAGTAGTATCTGCTTGTTGAAGTTGATCCTCAAGTTCCGCAATAAGGGCCTGAGCTTCACTTTCAACCTTTCGACGACTGGATTCGCGTTCAGTCTCCAACTTCTCGGCTGAAGCGCGAAGTGTTTTGTTGTCTGCTTCCAAACTATTGATCTTTTTAACGAGCTCTTCCATTTGCGCCTTGAATACCTTGAAGACTTCCGTGCGTGAATAATCTTCGTCGGTTAGGTTGGTAAGTCGAGTCTGTACAGCAGTAAGCTCCTCCTGTAGACCTTTATTTTGCGACAAGGCGGCTTCCAACTGTCCCTTCTGTCGCTCTGCAACAGCATTGGCTTCACGGAGAGCTAATTGTAATCCTTCACTATTCGTAGCGGCTTCGTCTATTACCATACCATTTTCCTGATCGGAACCTACGGCATTGCGAGCTGCTGAGTGGTTCAAGGCTTGCTGCTCGAGTTTCTGGACCTGCGCGCTCTTTACTCGATCGAGTTTTCTCTCAGCCTTCATGTATCGGAGTGTCGCATTGTTCAGTTGATCAGAAAGATTATTCTTATCAGAAGTAAAGCGATCCAGCTTAACTAGGAACTCCTTTTGTTGAGCTAGTAGGGTATTTAGTTGTTTCTCTAAGTTCGTAATATCGGGAGCAATCTGGCCTCGGGCCCCATTCAAACGGTTCAGTATTGTCTCAACCAAATTTTTAATTGTCGAGGCTTTCGCACTTAGGTGAGACTCGAACTCTTCCAAGTCCTTAAAATGAGTTTGTGTGGAGAGGGGATGTTCTGGGTATTGTCTTAGCAGGCTACAGGTCGAGGATATAGGCCGGATGTGTTTACCTTCCGGTTGTTCGAGGTAGGGTATAGTACCCTCAACGAGTATCTCTATTTCTTGTAACAACTGGCATTGAAAATCAGTATATCCCTACAATTGTTTGATCGAGTGGCCTAGACGTACCTGTAACCACCAGTTGTCGACAATTCGTATGTGGTCATCGTGGTGCGTGGATCGTCTTTGTGCTTCGTCTAATTGAGCCTCCAACGTATTTTTCTCACGCTTATATTCGAGCATCTGACGATAGATAGCATCTTTTTGGTAATCCTAGCCAATCCAGATCTGTCAGCGACGCCATTTCCTTTTGTATATATCATATTGGTTGGTGCGAATGTACGTAATAGCGAAGCAACTCGGATCATGCTGCGTAGTGAAGCGCGGAAGAGGATATCAATGTAGGGGAATATAGCATGGGATGATACGCTGATGACAGCAAAGCCGCGCATCAGTACTGAAATGGTGAGTAAAATGTCCCGACCGCGACTTGAAACAAAAGCTACGAAGGTCTCGTGCCAGGGTGAAGTCGCCGGATGCCGATGACGACGATACGTTGAGGGTAACAATTCGAAAGATAATACTAGACTAAGGAAAAATAAATCGCGACGGAAAAACTTACCTCGATCCATGCTTCTTCCTTCACGTCGGCGTCATCTTTAGACTTGCTGCCACCGTTGACGGCCTGTCGCTTGCTGGGAGGGGCGATGTCATCAGTACTACTGATAGCAGGACGCTTACGGTCCTCCATCTTGACGCGAGTCGATAGAGGCGCAGTAGTGGGAGACGTCGACAAAGGCATCAGAAGAAGGAAATGAATAAATTTAAATGTAGGGCGAAATGACTAGGCTATTAAGACAAACGAGAGGCGTGGATGGGGGCGAACGAACGGATCGGCGAAAAGGAGGAGCGGTGCAGAGAGAAGCAGAGAAATAGACAGCCAAGGGAGAGAGGAGGCTTCAGAGAAAAATAAAATTATAAGCAGTGTCACGGCTAGAAATATGGGCGCCGAAACTGCTCGTGACTTGTAGAAAAGATATGGCCTCGCGCCGATAAAGGCAAACCGCCGTGTCGTAAATGGGCGTGGAAGGTAATGGGAGGAGAAGAACAAGAGACTGGGTCTCTCCAGGAGCACGTTGAACGAAAAATCGAAGTTGAAATCGAGAAAAACGGCACTAACCTAAATTAGGACAGGCCAAAATGGGTCGAAATGGGTCAGTACTTGGCTTTTTGGCTCTAACTTTTGCCTTTGCTATCAGCGGTCGCATATTAGCATGATAAGAAACCTTACGTGGCTCGTGCGCACTTTCAATCTTGTACTACCTGACCTACAATGCAGGCAAGCGGGCAGGAAGGCAGGGCCTGTAATTCGTACCGTTTTTGATAAGTAAACCGAAGTATATGTACCTATTATCCCACCACCCCACCTAATTTTCTAGTTCCCGTCGCCCACCGAACAACTTTCTTCCTTTCAAACGTTTTCTCATATGCGAAACCGTCTTCTCATTCCTCAAGAGTTGAAACTACAATACCAACAATTCCACTGTAGAAGAGGGGATACTTCGTATTGAGAAGCGAGGCAATGTACAAAAGACGTAAAGAGATATAGCATCTATAGGCGTCAGCAGCCATGAGTTCTATGCTCAAAAAGACCGGAGGCTTGTCCTTTAAGCCAAAGGTTGCTCCTCGCCGACCAGCTGGTGCTGCCTCCTCAAAACCACCTCCAGCATCTACACCCAGCGGCACTACCGAAGTTCCGGCTACCGGGGCTTCGTCGCAGGCACCAACCACTACACCTACTGCTGCTGTTGCTCCTCCGATTGAGTCATCTGGCCAGGAACCAGAGAGAACACCAGTAGAGACACCGAGAGAACCCCCCAAGGAGACACCACGAATAGAGACAGAAAAGCCACCCACTCAATCTCAGCCGACCCCTATAACACCTGCGCCGTCCCAGCCAGCGCCGACCTCGACAGCGAATTCTGCACCTACGCCCACACCTATCGACAAGCCCGTCAGTCTAACACAGCCTACACCAACACCAGCACCACCAACTCTAGTCACAAGTGAGCCCCGACGACCGTTACCATCCGCCCCAGTCTCGGCTCGAACAGAGCGAACAACACGACCAACGCCAGCCCCAGAGGTCTCATCATTAAGAAGTCCGCCCGCTACTCAGCCCGAAAAAACTACAGCCAGCGCCTCGTCAACTGCACCAACTGCAGCTACCTCCCGTTCTGGTCTTTTTGGGAACACACCAACTCCCACACCAGACCCGCCCGTTCCGATACAAGCACGAGTCGGACCGCCAACAGCACCTCCATCACCAGCTCCTGTTGCCGATACCATTGCAGTCTCCGCAGCCGTTGATGAACCCCCCAGCACTATCCCGAAGAAGAAGAGAGCATACCGTAAACGCAAACCTGCTACAACTACCGATGAGACAGGTGCAGAAGTTCCTGCGCCAAAGAAGAGGCGTACACGCAAGAATGCTACAGCACAGGGTGACGGAACGGCAGCTCCAGATGGAGAGGGAGAAGGAGAAGCGGAGGAAGGGACGCCCGCTACTAAAAAGAGGCGCCGCGGCCGTTCCCCGACTCCAGAAGAGGATCCTGAGGATCGAACAGTGGATCACACTACCATGAAAATGGCCGAATTGACTAGAGATCTTGGAATTGGTAAACGGTTCAAACACGCAGATGCCATTGCAGAGCGTGCGCGCGAAGCGCGTGAGAGATTCCGTCGAAAGAAATTAGAGAAGCAGAAACAGCGCCTAGGGTTAACACCCAACGAAGATTCAGCCTCTCGCGCAGGCACCCCAGCAGAGGGCGAGGAAGGAGGAAGGGAGTCCGCGGTTGCGCGAGCCAGGGATTTAGGCGCTAATGCCACCTCGGGCGCTCAGCAGTCTGTTGGTTACGAAGTCATTGATGGGCAGATTATCATCAACCAGCAATCTCTTGTAGTAGACCGACATGCAGCGCACCGAGATATGGGAACACTTGAGACTGTTGAAGAAGACGAGTTCTCACATCTTACCACCTCCGCGTCATTTCGCCGCGAAAGTCGCAAGACGGGGCCGAATTATTGGTCGGAAGAAGATACCGTAAATACCCGTTCTTACTTCTCCACTATAAGGGGATATGCACTAACATTTAATACAGGAGAAATTCTACCGGTTGTTAGGTATGTTCGGGACGGATTTCGACACGATCTCCGGCATGTTCCCGGAGAAGACGCGGCGTGCCGTCAAATTGAAATTTAACCGGGAAGAGACGCTTAGACCTCGCCGCATTAATGCGACAGTCATGGTGCGCGGAGAGAAAAAGGTTAACATTGACTTGGAGGAGTATAAAAGTCATCAGACCGAGTGGCAGGAAAGTGATAAAATCCTTGCTGAACACGCGGAATTGAGGCGCGAACAAGACGAGGATATTCGTCGGTTGAGGGAGGAGAGGCGCGCGCAGGGTTTGCTTGATGATGATGATGATGAGGTGCCGGTACAGGGCGAGGGCGCCAATGGGAATGGTAGCGGCGATGGTGATGCAGCCGATGTTGAGGGTGATGATAATGGTTTGGACGCTCCTGTGGATGCAGAGGTGGCCATTACGGCCTAGATATAGGCGAGCCTGCCTACCTACCTCCCTATTAAGCGATGCCTGCAAGCTTGTTCTTTTGATACCCCGTTTCCTTAGCTTGCATTTTCGCTTTAGGAGGTATTGAAGAGTTGTGTAACACCAAAATAAAAATAAAGAAATGAATAAAAGGTCACCTTGTGGAATGTAGACATGTCAGGGTTTGGGGCCTATGGATGGAGAAAAGCGAGTATAGTTACGGTGTATTCATTTATAAGGCATCAAATACTTGGTTCCTCCGGCTCCTCTAGTATCACGAAGTTCGATTTCGTAGCTTATACAAATCAACGTGCAAGTGTCGAAACCTATTTCCATTATTACCTAATTACACCAGCATCATGATAAATGAACTAGTTATAGGTACTATGCACCATGCATCTCATAAGGTATCACAAAAGAACATGTCGAAGAAAATGGGGCATGTACAAAAGGTGTCACGTTGAAGAACTTCCGGATGTCCGATCCTTCGTCACTGGGAAATCATCGTGTAAAATTCAGAACTAAGCTAGACTCGGTTCCTCTACCTTTCGTTTTCCTTCCCTGTCAATTCGTTGGGATAGGAGATACACCGTGAGGTGAACTCCAATGCCTTGCCCCGAAATCACTGCGTATTTCAGAATGGGGGCAAAAAAGGGGAAGGGGGAAAATCGGAAAGACCCTTAGTGCATATGGAAAGGGTCGATCCGAATGAAACCTTTATGATGTCCGCCTCAAAATGTCAAATCATTAGGCATAGCAAATATAGCCATTAATAAAGAGGATTGGCGCAGTTATAACGCGCCGTGTCGGATATCGTGAGGCTGGCTTAAGATCGTGGAAGACGTGATGGATGACAACTGGACCACTATTCACCCATGCAAATCAGTTCTGAGGCGGATCATCATCCTCCGGCTGGTCGAATAGGAAGTTGGCGGCCAACTCCTCGTTCTTGTCGCAGGCAAAGTAAGCCTGGATCGCCGCATCTCGATCGAAACCCAATCGGCATAGCTAGATATAAGTTAGCCTTACGTGACGTGAATACCTCAGAAGGAAATCACCTACTCGCTCAATAGCATCTCGCTCCTCCTCCGTCACAGCAATAGTCTGAGCACCAGGGGGCAGAGGTGCATCATCATCCCCAGCCTCACCCAAAAGGTTCAAGAATTGCTCGGGGTTCTGGGAAATCAACTGCGCGAGTTGAGGGTTACCAGCGCCAAGCTGCTGTAGAATCGGCTCGAGCATCTGCGGTTGTTGTTGGACGACCTGTCGGAGTTGCTGGAATTGGGCGTTGTTACGCAGCCAATCAAGGTTACCGAGGGTCTGACCACCGGGGTTAGCAGCGGCAGCGGCAGCTGCAGCAGCAGCTGAGGCTCCAGCTCCAGCTCCACCGCGGCTGCCTCCTCGACCTTGTTGAGCGGCCAAATCAAAGAGGTTGACATTGCCACCCTCAGCCTCGGGCTCAGGTTCATCAGCTGCGCCCCCAATAGCAGCAGCACCTGCTGCGGGTTGTGCGGAGGGAGCCTCTCGCTGAGACTCGGCCTGACGAGCACTCTCCGGGATACCCTATACAGAGTGTTAAGCCAAGAATAACCAAAGTGTTTCCATTAGACTTACGTTCAGAAGGTATTCAACAGCACGATCAGGGTTGTAAAATGCGGCGCGCAGAGCCGCCTCAATCTGGGATCGCTCGAAACCCATGGCTTCCATGTTGGCGATAACGCCAGCTCGTGCCTCGCCCATGGCCATAGAAGTGTCGCCAACGTTGCCACTAGCAGGCGCAGCAGGTGAGGGAGTAGCTGGAACAGCAGGAGCAGCTGTGGTAGCCTGGGTCGGCGCGGCGGGGGCAGCAGGTGTCGCGGCGGCGGATCGTGCTGGGGTCTCTGGAGCGGCGCTGGACGAAGAGGCAGCAGCCGTAGTGGCGGGAGCAGTCTTGGGCTACTGGGCATTAACAGGGACGAACAAACATAAAAAGTCAAATTGGATCGTTCACAATACATACCTTGCTCACCATACAGACAACATAGCCCTTCTCCTCGATCTTGTGGGAGGCGACGGTCTCCTCATCCTTCAGAATCTTGCCTGTGTCCAGGTTAATAACACATGTTTTTGATATGGAGCTTATTCCAAGACCGGTGCAACAAGAGAGCAAGCGCATACCTGAGTAGATGAGCTTCAGAGCCTTAGGGTCCCATCCTTTCTCTTCGGAGACTCTTTGCTTTAAGGCCGAGATCTTAAATCCAGTTAGAATAATCAAGATACTATTGCGACAAGTCGATCATGAGGCGTGGGTGGGGAGTATTAATTGTTGGCGATGATGGGATGACGACATACCTGTTCGCTCGGCTCGACGTCTAGGGTGAACTTTTGGTTCGATAACTCCTACAGTGAGAACAAAAAAATTGTCAGCGCCGTCAATTATAGTGAACAAAGATGAGGAGAAGCTTGAGCTAAACATCAATATGTTGTACAAGAAATCGGTACTGCATACCTTGAAGGTGACCTTCATCTTGGCAGTTGATGGGCAGCTTCAAAATAAGCTGCTTCGGAGATCGGCGTAGGGTTGTGTGAAATAAAAAGAGTGAGGGGAGGGGTAGAGGAAGACTTGGTCGGGCAAGGAATCGCAAGAAATTGGGCAAGACCTTGATTTTGGGTGAAGGTGGAACGACGGAGGGAAAGTAAGTCGGAGAGGTTTTGTGCTCTGACCCGAGTAAAAAAAATAAAAAGGAAGTCGTCGGGTGGTTGTAGGTGGAAATCAGCAGGAAACTGGAAGGTCTAATCAAAAGTCTTTTGATTTCAGGTAGCAGTTAATGATGTGTCGCGGCAGCGGGTAAGTGGCGGGCGGCTAGTGCAAACTGATTTGCTTACCACACCAAAGATTTACATGTAGTTAGGTAATGTCCTTAAAATGCTAAGCACCTAGGGTACCTTTTCATGTACTATAGGTGTGTAGCTACTGCACGTACCTGTCGCCGAGCGTGTGAATGCGGGGTCCACTGGTGGGGTTGACTCCGATAACAAGGCTGCAAGGCTATTCTCTATTCTCTCCTTCTCTACCACATTCCTTCCCTTACAACTCACTTCCTCAGGTACTTGGAACCGTCGTGAAACGCATCGACCACATGCAACTCAATCACCTGCATGTGGGCAGTGACTGCTATCTTACAGCAGGACATTATCGATAAGATCATTTATATACTAAGCACCTTTTACTTCATTAGCATTAGTCGGATTTCTTCTTCTTTGCGTAACTTTACTGATTTATTGGTTTTACTTATTTAATTCGTTTCTCACTTCCCAAATCTATATTCTACCTCCTTCACGTATACTAGGAGAGAATGATAGTAGTACCTCCTTTTTATCCGAGGCTGAGAACGTAGTTCAACGCCGCGCTAAATGACAATGGTATCTTTCCAAGTAAACCCCTAATCCAAAAATTCCCAAGTCCGTTTCCCAAGGCCTGCCACCCCTCGAGAAATAGTAAGAAAACAATTCACGAGTCATATTCATTCGTCATTCGTACCCATCCCCTTATGAGTGAACGCTTCCCATATCTTCTGCCGAACTCTGTTCTCGTAACCGTCTAGCTTGGTACTCGGCCAAGCTTGTGGTTGAACCAGCACTTAGAATCCATTCGGGGATTGGGGGCGTCATCTTCCTCTCACCAGCTAATTCTTCTGCATGAAGAAGTTCGGGGTTGGGACTGGGCGATTTCCGGAAGCTATCATAGCTTCCTTGTCGGCTTAGGGGTCCCGGTCCGGTAGGAAGACTACCGCTGCGCATCCGAGTAAGAGACTTCTCCGAAATTGTCTGCCCAGCATTGGGCGCTGCGATGACCATGGTACCCGGGGTAGCTGCCGGGGGTGCTGGGGAATCGGATCGGAAAAGGGGGTGAATATGCGACTCGCCTGGTGAAGACTGTGGCGTTAAGCTGCGTTCATGTTGTTGGGCTCTGGGTAGGGGACTGTAACTTCGACTTCGGCGATTACGTTTAGGGGGCACGAGATCCAGAGGACATCCAGGGCTCGGACTTCTACTCGTTGTTGGGCTGGCAGGAATTGTTTCCAAGAAGCGAGCACGAAGCGGCGGGCTAGTAGTATCTACTACTATTTGCCGATTTTGAGGGTCGACCGAGGAAGTATCCCAAGAATCGAAGCTATCTTCCGTCACACTTGGTCGCTCGCGATAACTATTGGAATCGATGGAAGCAGGGCGGCGTCTAGTCCTCGAACTAGTGGATAGCAACCTTGTCTTGGATCCAGATGGGCGTACAGAGTGAGAAAGAGAAGTGCGTATGGAACTCATGGTCTCGGCCATTGAGCGGCCACTACTTGAGCCAGGTCGACTAGAGCCATTGAATAACGATCGTTCTTTGTTCATGTTGATTTGACTCGTGGCAGGCGTTGTTCGGCTGTAAGGGATGGACTTCACATGTACTGCTGGCGATCGGGAGCAGTCCTCATTAGTGTGAAGGGATAGGGCTTGCTCCGAGTCAGGTAACCGATGAACGACAAAATAGACAACGATGAAGATGAGCTGCGCCACAAAAGCAGCGACGAGTGCGATAGAAGATCCGATGAGGCAGTTCCCCGATGGAATTTGAGCCAAGGTTTTTGGCGAATCTTCCGCCTTTCCCATTAATGCTAACATCACGGCAGATGCAGCAGACGACAACAAACTTGCCATTAGGCCCATCGCAAACCAAACACCATTATTTTTCCTTGCACCAAACTCCGTTACTCTTCCAAGACATGTAGCAATTAGAATGGTCAGTATTATGAGCATTAATGCTTGAAATGCTGCTGCGACGACTGCAGCGTATTTGACTGGGGAATCCAACGTCCAGAATCCCTGGGCCACTATAGCCTCAAGAGCTAATAGGGCTGCTGTTGCCAGAGAGGCAATGACACCCACTCCTGCGCCGAGAACCCGTGGTCTCATCATATTGATGTAATGTAGGTTGATAGAATTAAGTGTTATCGAAAAGTACGAATTTCAATTGACCACAACGAGGTAACCCAATGGCGGCTGACCAGGTTTCGGCTTTTCGAAAATCCAGGTAATATCCGCGGAGAAGCACTCAATGTTGATGTTTCGGTTAGGGGCAGCAAAGGCCCACCACCGTTCAATGAGTCCAACGGAAGTGAGAACCCCACCAATGAGGCTTGTTCTTTATTCCCGTTGACCCAGAGTGCTGGGAAAGACGAAAAGATCGAAATTCAGATAGATTATAGCCTCTTATCGGTGAGTAATCAGAGGCTAGAGGAGTGTCCGAGATATTGACCCCTGAGTTGGACACGGAAGCGAAGGTAAAAGGGTCGGGCCGTTGCAAGAGGAATAAATATTAGTTTCCAAGACAAAAGAATCGGCGGCCAAAGCAGTGGGTAGCCGTGGCTGCGTGTTGTTGGTATATACTAGATGCAGCCGACTAACGGGGATATACATGTGGTAATGTATGCGGCCCGGGTGAGTGCAGAATCTCTTGATAGTGATGATGTATGTGTTGCCGGGCTAGTTAAAGCAAAGCAAAACAGAAACAGGGAACTAGAACAGACAAACGAATGACGGGCTTGAGGCCGTGATATGTATGTATATGTATGTATATGTTGTGTATGTGTAAGTATGTTAGATGTATAAGCGAGGGAAATAGACGGGAAGGAATGAAGATGACAGGAACAGATGTACGTATAGGTCGGTAATAACGACCTAACTACAGCAAAGTAGCTGTTCCCAGGATCTATCTGACAAGGAGAAAATAAGACCACTGGAAGGCTTAGTAGTAGATTCCCTTGATCTGAGGTGAAAGACAGGACGAGAGAAAATAGAGGGTCGAGAAAATGGGCCGGGGAGGAAGCGGCTTGTTTGCTATTTGGCGGGGCTAGGTCAGAATAAAAAAGTAGAGGGAGGGTGATTCGTGGTATCTTTTTGGACGCGTTTTGAGGATTTGTCGCGTGTGTTGGGCGTGGGTTGTATTGGATAGGATTCGCATATACACAACATATACATTGAGTAAGTAGCTCACGACCTAGATCCTTGTACTTCCGTCCTTCTGGGATTCCTTTTTTTTCTTGCAGTATTTTGGGGCAGGGGTATGCAGGAATAAATCAGCCTATCACCGACGACGCATCAACGCGATGTACATCCGGGAGCGAGCACCGCACTACACTCCCCTACTCTTTTATTTTTTTCTTGTTCTGCCCCTCCTTTGTGCCCTTTCGGCGCGGTAGGATTGTGCCGTTGGACAAGATAGTGGATGGGATGGTAGGATTGGGCGTGGCTTGCTGATTGAGATGCGATGGTCCAATATGATTTGCAGCTAGCCAGTTGTTTGGGTGTGGTGTGCCTTGTAGGCCCTGGCCTGGATCAGATCTCTTTTTTTTTCCTTTCTCTTTTGATCCCTGGTCTCTTCAGCCCCCAATCGCAACTCTTTATTTTTGTTTGTCTTGTTCTTTTTCGCTCTTCACCACCGTTTCAACAGCAAGCCTCAATCCCCCCTGTGCTTGGATGATGTCGATATCGCTTTTACTGAACTCGTCAATTGAAACCCCCTTTATTCGATCATATCAGGTCTTCAGATATCCGTGCTCGAATTGATGGATTTGGTTGAATTGACAACTCGACAAGCAAATGTTGCTAGCTTAAGTGTTCTAGGCAGTTCGTCAGTAGCTTCGGTAATGAAAAAGGGCGCGGGGGGTCCATACGAGAACGAGCGAGTGGATTCAGTGAGAAAAGTCAAGCTGCTCAGCCCGCTCACCCCCAATGCGGAAGGATCGTAAGAAATTGAGGCAAAGGAGATAGAGGGGGATGAGAGGTGAGGGAAAAGTAAGCTTGTCAGACGTTCTACAAGATTCGAATAATAAGAACTGAAAAAAAGAATAAAAATTTGGGCAACAATATTATTGCGGGATATGCTTGAGTCTTATTTTCTGCTTATTATTACGTATTATTGTCATTTATTATTATGAATCCATGAATCCATACTCATAACCCACCGCACAGAAGACCGCTCGCTGGCCTTTCAACTTCGCTAGGAAGAGCTGGGAAGGTCCCGGTAGCATGGGTTTTGATGATATGGGCCTGTAAATGGGTCTGCAATGGGTCCGTGAGAACTCCACTCTGCTGGCGTGGCCCTGCGGATCTACCAACTAGCATTTGACAATAAGTGGTCTTCGAGCCTCTCGAAACTCAACGAGCAGCCTTACTACCTAGTTAGTTTTCATCCACCGTCTTGGGTAACCATCCAGGTATCCTACTTATCCTTGTTGTATTCCGACCGTGGCTCTGGAGTCAGTTTGTCAGTGCTTCATGCCAGGGCCGTCGATGTTTGCTAATAGGCTTCGTAGTTCTGCTAGCCTCATGCCAAAGACCCTCTTCCTGACTTCATACCCATTCCAATCGATTTTTTACAGGGTAGAACTTCAACTAAACCAGGGTCATGATGCCGAGACGATGACGATATGACATTTATGTTAGTATTCCCAATTCAGTTCTTACATATCAGCTTTTATGTATGTACATAATAGTAAGAGCGTCCACCTCCAACTTCACCCTGGTAAGGAAAAATTTTTCTTTTCCATGACTGTGTTACATATATAGTTGAAACCATTCGTTCGAGTATCATGATAATGAAAGTAGCAGCTTGCAAAAGGAAGTAAAGTACCCATTCGGGTACCTATGTTTCTTATTCGGTTCACTCTAAGAAGAATAGGGGCTATTAAGTATACGGTCGCTCGATGCTGCCTCCATACGTTCAACTTACAGTAGAAGACGACGACACACTCGCATTATTAATAGGCCCGTCAATATGTATGTGCGCACGCAAATTCATATCAGTTACCTAGGTACATCCACATCTACATAAATACCCTACATGCGCACATACTACTACCATACCTACATAGTAGTATGTAAATATCCACGAAAGGGGAACCGGGATCTTGGAGTCCTGGCGATCTCCATTATTAGCTTAGTCCTGAAAGGAAACCCACGATATAATTTCCGATGCGAAACACCACGCCAATAAGCGTCTAGTATTCCTTGAGTTAGCTTCGCCTTCAAAGCACCGCTAAGAGGATCCGCCTAACTTTTACCTCCCTAATATCTTACAGCTGAAGTCTCACCTATCAACGCATTTTTTACACTTCACCAACAATGGCCTTGGCTTGCAGTTCAATCTGACCGAGAAGATATTAACATCTTACATATTTATAACCAACGCCCCCTAAAAGGACACCGTCAGCCTGCTGCCTGGCTTATCTGTGGGCATTTTACGATGTACAACACATCTTTAATCTTACGAACTCTTGAATCTGGAGCCGTCTGTGGGGATATATTAGATAATAGAGTCCCCATATTCACAAGTAGCTCCCTCAAGCGTCAGTGCTAGGCACCTAGAGTGATCCATGCGGTAGCCGGCGTTCTCCAGTTTCTTCATCTCATCGGCATCTCGACGGGCACATCTGAGATTCTTCTTGGGATACCAAATTAGCACGACATATCCATATCAAAGACCGCCAGTGAGGGGAAATCTATCAAGCATCGAGACATGCTCAATTTTGTGCAGATTCAATACAGATTCTGCTATTTTTCCCAGGTGCTAGCACGCGCTGATAAAGGAGATGCAATTCGGCTCCGCACTCGTCATCTAAGACATCCAAAGTCTGACATATCAATTATCATACGGCCGACCATCTAGACCCCAACGGAATGAAATGTGACGGCATTGTGCCTTCGGCCGTTCTATTTCATCAAGGAACAACCCGAAAATTCCGGTATTCAACCCTCTAGCTAGAGGGGGCGAAGGCCTCGGTAGGCCCACAACTAGACACGACAGTTGACGCCGTTGACTTCCGCACGATCTAGAAGGTATCACATCTTGATTGCATGTCTTCCCTAATGATAGCGTGCTTACTACATGATGCCCTTAGTATGTTGTAGCTCCCACATGCCTTTCCGATCTTCTAGAAGATACTTAGTTTCTATTCAGAGCTCCAAAGACAGCCCGATGACAAGTAGTCTTTACTTCGTAGTTATATCACGCATGAGTTCCATTAAGACAGCTCCCGGAGTTCCGTGATATTCATGTGAATCATGTCTTAACCCGAGCCTCATCCGAAGCCCATACGTCACTCTATAAGTGGTGAAATTTCAACACGACTAAAGCCGCGCAAGCTAACAGCCCTACTAAACTCCACAGCAATCTCGCTTTGACATCTTTTTCTCCGCAACACAAGTTTTAAGAATTTTGTTAGTGTATCGCATCTCACCGCATCTTACCACAATAAGGCAGCCTCCGTTAGTATAAGAAACGGTTATGTTTGAATCGCGGTAGTTATTCGTAGTGTGTGTAAACATTATTGCCATGGAGACTCGAAGATGCCAAAATTAGGTCCTTCTGTATTTGGGAGTAAATATTTGCATAGGTAAGAATAGATGCGTTCGCGCAACCAACCAGGAAAAATTAATAACGCCGTATAGGTGACACCAATCAATCTGAACCTGGCAATTAATACAGCATCGATATCAGATACCGGATTGGGAAGTGTCCCCATTCAGCTCGTCAAACCAAACGCTGCTCCGGGACCACGGCTCGTTGTACGCGGCCACGTTTTTTTCTTCAGCGTCCGTTGGTCAAATTTCCGAAAGGTCCGTCGTCACTAATCAGATTCTGGTTAAGGGTCTGCAAGGTCATCGAGACCCCGATCCTTCCAGTGAAATCCCGCGAGTGGTATGGGATAAAACCGGTTTCCCTACGCTCTAATTGGTCATATCCAACGCACAGTAACACGCCTCTTTCGGCTGCACGTTCCCATGTACATGATCATCAGCTAGAATAGGGACTTTGGGTGAGATCCCGCCGCGCGCCGTCATGCCGTGCGACTCTAGAATCTGACAGATCTGATATTTTCAGCAATTTCTTGCAGGAGTTGCCTATATTTGCTTAGGAATCGTTTCACATATACACACAGCGATAGAACTCTTTGAGTAATGCTTTATAATGCATCGCATGTCCACCCAGATTGGCATATTAGCGAAATGAGTTCTGCCTCTTTAGATATATCTGACGGCTCCTCCCGAGTAGGAAACAGCCTGTGAGGCTGGGGCTGATATTTCGCCTCTCGTTGTCGAATGTGTCGTCCTACATACCAGAACCAGTAATTCGTTCCATCAACCGAAATCAAGGCAAATAAGAAAAGCTCAGAGGGACTTCCAAGTTTTGGATTTTGGAAAAAGAAAAGGAATCGCGCATTCCCTGCCAGTGATAATCTCCATTGGTGGCAACAAGAGATAGTAAGCAGTTATTTAGATGTGCAAAGGTGCATAGCATGATCAATCTGCATATCTCATAGAAACTCCGGTCTAGAATGAACAAATCGGCAGGTTTCTTTGCCCCCCCCCCCCCCGGGGGTTTGATACGCGCATACCTTACTATACATCAACACATTGGCATCCTGAAATGTTGAGAGGAGATCCGAGACTCACAACACATATCTAAATCAAATCGTTGATTGCTATTACTTTGTATGAGGCCTGTTCATGGAACACCAAATTTACATGCTAGGACGCGATCCTTCCTCAACGGGCGTAGTACTATTCCACCACTCTCCCTCGAGCATACGAAGCCTTGTGCGCCCGCTCCTACATGTAGCCTATCTGCCTCGAGCCGGATTAGGTAGGGGAAAGCCGTACCACTTCGTTCATATATGTACCGTTATATTTGCCCATCGCCAGCACCAGTCGAACTGACCGCAAAGTCAATGTATTCATCCGTATGAGGCAAAGGCATTCTAGCGGAATTCACTTACATACTCGTACCAAAAACCTCAATGAGGATCTACCCCAGGGGAATTCACTCCTTATATTAAGTAAGTACCCAATTCTCTGAACCTAGCAAGAAGGAAATGCTCTCTCACGCGTTCAGGTACTTTCCCCCACGCCCCCCAAAACGCCATGAAAGGTTCGAGCAAATCAACTTCGCAATACATGGCGATCCAAGCGCCACAACTACGCCCATGAGGTGGGGGCAGAAGCAACAATGTAGAGGTCGCAACTGAAAACCTTTCGTTCTCACTATCCTAAGCTAATACTGATTCTACAATAATAAGAGGGCTGCGATATCTTCTACAAAATGATCCCCTCCTTGAACTAGACCACTGCTATAAGTATCGCCGAGTCTTCGATATGCACGTTACCAACCAATGAACTCGAGGTTTTAATACGGTTTGAAGACCTCAGGCAGGCTCCCGGACTATCTTAATTTAATCCCGACAGCTAGCTCTTACTTGATGTGACTACCCGTAGTCGCCAAGTATTTACAAGATAATAGGTAACCGCCTCAGGTCATTTTCTCCCCAATTCTCACCCAGGCAATACTGCCCTGTGAAAATTTTGAGGCAATGGGTGCTGGCATACTATCAAGTTACCAGGTAGGGGTTAGAGCTTCCCTTACATGTCACATATGGCTAACGAATCCAAACTAAGCCAGTAGGAATCTCCATTCGGATAATACTAGAGCTACTTCCCGAGTTGAATACCTGACGAGGGGAACAATCGCTAGTAACATGACAGCTCGCTACGATGCCACTTATTACTCAATTTATATAGTGTCATTGCTACTATAAACGGCTAGCCAAGCACATGTTCATCGAGAAGCACTAGTGACGAATTTAGAGAGGGTATATTCATCGCAAGTGAACCTATATTATCTCAATTTGTACAACCAACTAATGGCAAACAGATTCCCCAGCATGAGCATGGTTTCTTGTTTGTTTAAATCGCTCGCTACACACCTCTATTGGTATGTACCAATCTCGATTTCATGTACGAGTCATTGCATTCGCTAAAAAGGTTACATACCGCGGCTGCATGTGCTTGATACGACGTATTGGCAGCCGTTCACTTACCATCACTGCTACATGCCACATAACGTGAATGATACGGGCAGTTGGTAAGACGGATATAGAACTGATATAATTAGCATACCAAGAGAATGATCAGTACCCACCTTTTTTGCGGTTATACCTCTTGGATAAAGAAACGTACGATAATTGTAAATATCAGCATTTCTGTTAACCTCAACTCGTTATAATTCGGTTATCTGGAGCGATGTCGGGAAAGAAGGAAGAGGCAAGAATTTGGCTCGGGTGGGTACATATGTACGCGATCAGAGGCAAAGTCGCATAGACCTTCCGGATATCGTAATTTCCTAATTAGAGCTTTCGCGCTTTCACGCTTTCACCTGGAAACCCAGAAGCCGGGACGCTGGGTGCTTCGGTCAGGGACCCGGGCGACTCGTCCGCTGCGGGGCAGGCACGAACTTGCTAGGGGAGATAGCACCGCTATTACGTAAATATCTAAAGTAGGAATCGACTACTGCGGAATTATCGCTGAAGTATCGCTGACGTAGGTTCACCATTATCCAATCAGGTCTTTGCATCGGGACCCCGCAAAAGCTTGTGCTTGGGTTCGTTGGGTGTAAGGAAAGGGTAAGAAGGACCCCGCTATGAGCGATAAGGTTCGATTAGCGTTCGCCTTTATTATTTCTCAAAGGCCCTTCTCTTTCTTTACATTCTTTCCTTTTTATTTTTATCTGGTGGGCAGGTAGAGAGTTGTTTTTTTCTCGTTTCTTCAACAGATAATTAGCTAATCTTTCATTTACATTACCTTTGCCTGACCTGACCTGACCTAAGCTTGGTGAAACCCTTCTTCCTCTGAGTGAGTAGCTTATAGATTAAGCCACCCTTAGACAGACGAAGATGGCTGCTCTTCGCCATGGGGCTACCTTACGGCAGCTCTCCACCACTTCGGTATCGAGGCCAACTTTGTCTCGACCAACAGTCCGCCAATTGGCCGTGTCCAGCTCCAGAATGGCTTCATCCTATTTAAAGGGTGAACCGGATAAGCCTGTGGTGAAGACGGCGATTCCTGGACCATTGTCTCAGCGGTACATCGATCGACTGACCAAAGTTTTCGACACCCGAAGCTTGAACATGCTCGCGGACTACACCAAGAGTACCGGAAACTACATCGCCGACCTCGATGGCAACACTCTGCTAGATGTGTAAGTCTTCCCACGTAGCCTTGTTCCGCCGTTGCTAGTAGTAGGTGGGAGCTGATTGTATCTCCAAAGCTATGCCCAAATTGCCTCGATACCCATTGGTTATAACAACCCGGCACTGAGAGAGGCCGCCGAGAGCGAAGAGATGATCGAAGCTTTGATCAATCGACCCGCATTAGGCAACTTCCCCTCCCACAATTGGGCCGACATCTTAGAGACAGGTATTCTTAAGGTAGCCCCTAAGGGTCTTAACCAGGTCTTCACTGGTATGGCTGGATCAGACGCAAACGAGACAGCCTACAAAGCCGCGTTCATGTGGCGACGACAGCGAGACCGTGGCGGGCCTGCGGTTGAGTTCACTCAGGAGGAACTTAACTCATCCATGCTTAATCAATCGCCAGGAGCGTCTAACCTATCAATCCTGTCGTTCAAGTCCGCCTTCCACGGTCGCTTGTTCGGTACCCTCTCGACGACTAGGTCTAAGCCAATCCACAAGCTCGACATCCCTGCCTTCGACTGGCCGCAGGCCACCTTCCCTAAGCTCAAGTACCCCCTCGAGGAGCACGCCGAGGAGAACGCAAAGGCCGAGGCTGACTCCCTTGCCGAGGTCGAGAATCTCCTTCTTAACTACCATATCCCTCCCTGCGCCGTCGTCGTCGAGCCCATTCAGTCCGAAGGTGGTGATAACCATGCCTCACCCGAATTCTTCCGCGGTCTTCGTGCCCTAACCAAGAAGCACGGCATCCTGCTCATCGTGGATGAGGTTCAGACAGGTGTTGGTGCCACCGGAAAGTTCTGGGCCCACGAGCACTGGAACCTAGAGGACCCTCCAGACATGGTAACCTTCAGCAAGAAGGCACAAACTGCCGGCTACTTTTACGGTGACCCAACACTGCGCCCCAACAAGCCGTACCGGCAGTTCAACACGTGGATGGGTGACCCGGCACGCGCAATCCTGTTCCGCGCTGTTATTGATTATATCGGAAAGAATGATTTAGTTAATGCGACAGCGAATGTCGGCGACTACCTCTTCGCAGAATTGCAGGAGCTAGCCAAGAAATACCCAGGCCAGTTCGAAAATTTGCGTGGTAAGGGCCAAGGTACATTCATCGCGTTCGACAACCCGAAGCGCGACGAGTTCCTCAAGAAGGCCAAGACATACGGTCTTAATATCGGTGGAAGCGGCGAGAGCGCTGTGCGCTTACGTCCTATGCTGATATTCGAGAAGCATCATGCGAATATCTTACTCGAGATCCTAGAGAAACTTGCGAAGAACTGATTTTTCCGCTCAATCTAGATAGGGATGGGGAATAGGAAAGGGCGGATGCGTTGCTTTATGTGTTTCATGAATCTTATAATAATGGTATGAAATTTAACGAGAAGAAAGGAGGAATTTGCGGATGTGCGGAATGAGTTAAATGAGGGGAAGGGAAAGAGAAGAACGAAAGAAATAATAGTAGGGAAGAAGATTATCTCATAGGCCCATACATAATATGCGCCCATCTGCGAGTATAGGGCGGCAGTCATCCGTCCATTATGCAATGCATTGCATTCACCCGGAATACTACCTGCCCGGTTCGTCTGGCGTAGGTAACTAGATGTAATTATCCGACGACACCTGAATGGGGGAGGTAGTATGTATGAAGGGTAGATAGACAGATAGACAGAAAGAGAGAATTAGTTCGTTGATTTAGTTGGGAAGAATGTCACCCATCTATTAGCATTACACGAAGAATTGAAGAACTTGTCAAGAAAACTGTTGAGTTCTGCAGGGCGTTGTGTTACGTATGGCTAACCAGCCAACAAGCTGGTAACGATAACACCGCATATTAAGTTCATGGGAAAGAAACACTGCATGTATTCGCTCTTTCAGAATGTAATGCAATCCGAATGACGCTTCTTCGTAGGAAGCTTTTCTCTCATATTGACGGGATGATTTGGTTTCAAATCACCTGTGGTATATACTGGGACACACAAAAAGCTGGTTCAATCCCCTTTTTCCTTTATTATGGCACAAATCCAGCAAATAGTATCATTCCATCCATCCAATCGGTCCCCTCCACCCCCCGCCTTGATAGGCACGGTAACGCACTTGTCACACCCCGTAGCTCGTGGTAAAAAAAGGCCACGTTCGTATTAGTATCACCTCTATCGTGTCGTCCTCACAACCTTGCTCCACCATGCGTCTCCAACACAGTACGGAATCTAAAGGAGCGCTATGTCTTCCCCCTTTCCTCCTACTCCCTCCTCGGTATACACTTCATCCCTATTAGTTGGTCGCATGGTGGGCTTAGTAGACTTTCCCCCTTCCAAATAAATCCCCTCTTCGTATGCTCCGTTGTAGGATCGACGATGGATGATTAGATGCAAAATACAACTCTCCTCCTTTGCCGAAACGCCGTTGAATGAAACCTAGACCCCTAAAAACCTCTTATCCCCCTTTTAACCGGGAAAATGCAATCAGAACCACCTCTGTATAATGTAAAATACCGTGAAAAAAGAACACGCCTTAAGAAATGAATAAATAACTGGCTCCTGAAAAGTGATATAGTGGTGGTAGTAGTGGTGGTGGTGATTTGGTAGTATGAATTGAGTCGACATTCATACCGCTAAATATATGTTTTGGATGAGAATTTGCCATAGAGGCGTTGGTCCTTTGATGTTGCCTTTAAATTAAGGGCAATGTAATGAACTAGTAGGTTGATACCATGTGAACGAATACGCACCGCCGTGTGTAACATATCTAATGGCTCATAACCTCATGCTTCGCCAGAGGAGCGCCTTCAGGATCAACGTGGTTAATTCCATTGGTCAGCTTGTCGCTTTGTTCCTTCTCGAAAGCGAGCATGTTAAGCTCGTTTTCTCGTTCAAGCGCAGCCTCCTCTTCCCTCAACCTCTCCCGCTCTGCTTCCGCTGCTAAACGCTGTGCTTCTTCCTCAGCTGATAAGACAACGTCTTGTTCACCAAGCGTTTTATCATGCTCTAACGGAGCTTCACCATCAAGAGGCGGAGGCGGAGGAGGAGGTGGGCTTGGAACATCGCCTTCCTCTTCTTTGAGACGTTTCATTGAGGGCGTCTCGGAAGGAGTCAAACTGGGGGAACATATCGCATCGTCGTCCCGCTTTCGTTTGCGCTCAAGGCTACTTGGCGTCGACTGTAGCTCGTCATCTGTCATAACAACGTCTTCGTCATCCTTGACAGCTGCTGCAACGGAATCCGTACCGTGGTTCTCTTTCGATACATTGTGGCCGCCGTTAGATTGCCTGGCACTCTTTCTCTTCTTGTGCTCCTCGTATCGCTTCACGACAGTCTCGAAATAGTCCTTGACATATTGCCTGACCTTCTTAATCTGCTTGTCGGTGATCTCATTTGGATTCGTGACTCGCTGGTTCTTATAGTCGGAAGCTACTAATTTCTTGTTGATGCGCCTCGAATGACTCTTTATTTCTTCCTTCGGTAGCACGTGACGGAATTTGTCGACGACGTGTTTGACATGAGGGAAGAGCTATGAACCTGTTAGCAACGCTAGGGGGAAGTTGGCATTAAAATCCATGCATACCGTATTCTCATAAATTTTCATCTGCTTGTCAATGGGATAAGACCGCCACTTTTCCTTTGGATCCTGGGTAGGTGTACTAGTTTGTGGCGTTTGCGATGCCGACGTCCTCAATACGGTCTCCGGCTTCGTCACAGAATCAATAATATCCTGTAACGTCTTCTGTTGTTGCTCAGCCTTAGATGGCCCCTTAGGCTGGAATAGAGCCGAATCCGGCGGTGCAGTTGGCTTTTGCCATGTCGTGGTTCCTGTCCGTGTATAATAGTACAAAGTCCCACGTCGGTCGGTTGCAGCAAACCAACCAGGGGGAAGGATCTGGACAGGCGGCCGTCGATGGCGTTGATTGTTAAAGAAATTGGGATTTCTTTGAGGGATGTTACTGCGAGGGCCTTTAGGGGTGTTCTCAGGTAGAGCGGATACAGTCTTAGCGAGTGGTTCTTCCGGACGATTGCCCCGACGTTCCTCAAATGAGTTGACGGTTTGGCCGCTCGACGCCGACTGAGCATTAGGATCCAACTTCTTTCGAGGAATGCGGTACGCAACCTCTAACCTGCTCCATTCGTCCAACAACCGTGTAGATTCTGCAGCCACATCTTCGTGCTCCGATTTGGTCAATGGCTGGATCGTGGATTCAATCTTCGAGTCCGAGATCTTATTCCTTGTGAGACGTGGAAACTGATAAAGGATATCGAGAATCTGGAGGACCACATTATTATCATCAATAAATGTGTTTAGCGCAGACTTGAGAATCTGATACCCGTGCATCTGCACAACTCGGTTGCGGACCCGGTCATCATCGCAACGCTGGATACGCTCAAGTAGTTTGACCGCGATCCATTTCTCCTTGCATTGCATGAGCGTGGCCATAACTTTGGTAACAGCTTTCTCATCCAGTCCGCGGGCTTGTACGCTATTAACGTACTCCTCATCGTCCTCGGTGATCTTCTTCTTACGGGGTTTCTTCGCAACGGTGGTATCCCAACCATCACTGTCGTCAATTCCAAGGGCCTCGATCGTCGCATCGGGTAATTTCGTGGCGCGCTCGGTTTGTGTCTTGCCTCCAATAAATCCAATACAATTAGGTTCCCCGCAGTAGCAAGGTTGAGGATCTGCACCGTATCTGTCCACGTTGTAATTGAACACCAATTCTTCGCCTGGTTGAATTTTTCTGCTGGTGAAGATACCCATGCGAAGCTTACTGCCAACAACCCATTTGTCCACGTAGCAGTTTGGATTGCATGAATGGTTGCAAAAGCGGCCTAGGTTACCTTTCTTGGTCGCATCTACAAATTCGTTCTTGGTGAGGGACATGAAGTAGAAATGTCGGATACCCTCTTTGTCGTATTGAATCATTCGTCTCCGAAAAGTAGGCTCGTTAATTACCTCTCCAATGTATTCAAAGATAAAATCATTAGCATCGAGAGTGACGTTTGCTCGGAGCCCGAAACCTTTCTTTTCGGTCTGAATTACCGAAACATCAGCGTATTGCTTGCGCTGAAATCGTTGATTCTGACAACCATCGCCACAGTTGCAATCGCCATCAACACACTCCATCTTAGTCGCTCGATTGATGCAATCAGAATCCTCACCACAGGCATGGTTCATGCCGTCTCCTAAATTGTAGGGTTAGCGCTCCGCGGTCCTCGTAGCTCGGTGAAGAAAGAAAATTTTAAGATACGTACGCCATTCTTCATTACAATCACAGTCCAGCGCATCGTGATCCGTTGATCCAAGCGATTTAGAGCCATACAAACAATCGGGAATAACTTGAAAATGGCTACAAGCTTCAGATGTGACATCAGGTAAGTGGTCGAATATTTGCATAGATTTTGACATCGCCTTATGGGATGCTTTGCGCGCAAGTTTCGGTGGGTGACCATCGGGAGTAGATGCACTGTCACTGCGAGGCTTTTGGTCGTCGGGCGATATGCTCCCTGATTGGGAGTCCTTGCTGATGTTCGGGGATGAGGCGGTACTTTCGCTCTCCTTCTTTACTGTAATTTGTTGCGATGCCGGTGTGGTGTCGACAACAAGGCTTTCCAAGCCATCTTTAATGCACTCCTCGTCCTCCATCGCGATGGTGAAAAGCTTGACGTCCTTAATTTTTATTGTCGCGGTAGGTCCAATAACGAATGAATGGGACAAGGTAGATGTAATATGGGATTGGTGGGTTTAGGTCGCGGTAGGAGGCGGTAAATCGGATTTATCGAATTTTTCAGGTAGGGCGCGTTTGGCGACAGTGATCGCCTGCTTGCAAACATGTAAGTGCAAGGTGTTGTTGGCGGGAAAAAAGAAGGCGAAGGCGAGATTTTGAGGTGGGAGATGAGATCGGAAACCAGGTAGAGGAACGGACAAGGGACGGGTGCTATCGCGTGTGCGACGCCTCTGTCATTTCAGAAGGTTAATTCGCCAATTACACCCCTACGCAAAGGTCCTGGAAAGGCGCCGAATACGCGAGGGTTACCAAGTCCTTCGTCGTATGTAGTAGGAATGGTAGGTGTGGTGGATGTAAAAAGGTGGAAAAGTGAAAAAGTGAAAATATCGTGACGGCGTTGTCATCGCCGAAAAAAAGAGTTGCAGGTGCTTGTTTCCCTCCAAAAATTGAAAGGAACGGATAGCGTAGGTAGGTACTGTACCTGTCAGACTCCGACTTTGCGCAGCTGTTGCGATACACTGTAAGAGAAGAACGAGGCGCGCCAACCTTCTGTAAGTTCGGAGTAGAATTCAATTATCCGAGCCCTACCATCTGCCCCGTGCCCCACCATCTATGCTAACTAGGAGCACTAATTATTGGACCCTAACGCTGACTAGCAGGGATTCTTAGGTACACCTCCGTACCTACAAAAACTGCCCAGTATGTAATATATACGGTAGGATGTTGGGAAAACAACCTTCCAAGGTACATGCTAAAGACGTAAACGTTGGTGTCGCAAATGCAAGATGACGGTGGTTCCTACCTACCTTTAATCAAGTACTGTACAAATAAACCATGGATCCCTCGCCTACTTGGGGGGTACCAGATCATTTTAAACTTCAGACAAAAATTATCCTAGGCTTCTTTATAAACCTTAAAAAGCATTCTAACCAGCCGACGTTTTGCTAACGCTGCATGATTGCTCCAATATCATATGTAATAAATAGAAATAGCGAATGACATCAATATAGGCATTCATTAAACCAATGCTTAGTATATGCACGTATGTAGGCAGGTACCTGTACTCATCAATAACACCGACCCCTGGAAGTCACAGCGAAGAAACCTAGCCCAGTTCACCATCGTTGGAGATATTGGGGGTTGTGGGTTGTGTCCCAAGATTTCCAAGACTCGATCAATACTCGCAAATTGAGAAGAATACTGCTCTACCCATTGTCTTAGCATAAATTAACAGAATATCCGGTATCCTCATATTATACGTCAAGTATCTTACCGATCAACATAATCCATCACTAGCCAAAGATCGAGGATTTAAAAGAAAAAAGAAAATCAGTGCTAAAGGTCGGTACAGCGACAGAGCGGGAACAGCAAGGGAACCGAACAAGATACCTGCCTAGTAAACATGGCGGGTTGTAGCCATCAACAGCCACCTAATCAAGTGAACATGGGGGGTTGAAGCACCTAGCCGCATTATCGTCATAGGCGTCGCGCAAGCTCGTACGCACTATTCAAACCCGGGTCTGCAGCATCGAACCAATCGATATTAAATGCGGTACAGCATATTCGTGAGATGGTTGTGATGGTTGCAACCAGGGACTAAAGAATAGTCGCCTTGAAAGATGACCTTCGGCATACGTAATGGCGTCAAACCCCCAAACACCATTTTATACTAGCAGACCGGCGTGCTAAGAAATACAATCGAATTCAATCAATGTCTCTTGTCGTGTCAAGATCAACGTCGGGGATCTTTGCCATGCGAGCAATGACCGGTTCTATCTGAGTGGGTGGGTCCCCCTATGAGGAATTGCCAACTCATTATGCATAGAACAGAGCCTGAAGTTGAGGCAAGGAAAAAGGCGGTATGGGGGTGTCGGGAGCGGTATACATATATATAAAAAGCCTGGCGTCCGAAGCTACGCAATTCCTGGGTTGTAGAACGCTGGAGTTTTACTCCGCGAAATGGTTGCATTTCAATTCTTCGGATCGAAAGAAGAAAAACATAAACCGAAAAAATGAAGGGAAAAAAATTAAATATAAATGCACGAAGCGTTATTTTATAGTCCAAAATGGACAAAAGCCGATCCCCCTTGCGGCTCGCGGCTCGTCGCTCGTCATATGTGACGAACACTTGATCTGTGCTTGTCGCTAAGCGTGGGAATGCTCTGGGAGACCTTCATTAGCGACTGCGATTGGCGAGATGTCAGCGACCGTCAACCAGTCAAGCGGCCTTCTACGAGGCCCGCTACTGAGCGAGCAAGACGGTTAAGCTTAACGAGCCAGCGGAGAAGCAGGGAAGGATGGCCAATGAGATTTCGAACCCTCCTCATTCTAGACACAATGCACTTTGGTCGTACGGGAGCTAATGGGATTCTCAGTTCAATGCTTATGATGCTTATGCCATTTCGTTGTCTTTTCGATCACATTACTTTCGCCCGTTGGGCCCATCTCGTTATTGATGGCCTCTTTGGCGGTGTAGAATACTGCTAGCAGAGAATTGCGATGATGGTGGTGTGGGCATTGACCTCTAAGAGGAAGGGCAAGATTCAATGTTCCTCAATTCTTACCAGACCAATGCAAGAGAGCCTAGTCAGGCGACCCGATTTGTCTAAGTGGTCAGCGGGATTGGCTTACAACCAACGGCATGGATGTATTGCGCACCTGCAAGCGGGAGAAAGCTGCATATTGTCAGTCCAGTCACCTCTCAGGTCGAAATCGTGATGGTTGCAATGGTTATGCACGATACTTCCTAATGGCATATATTCTCAGCATATGACCTGCTGGCTAGCAACGGCGGCACTGCACCACCACCTGCGCGTCTCGCAAGCTCACATCTTCTCTGCTTGTGCTCTTGCATGGGCCAAGGTGAACCAGAAAAGCCTCCGAACCCAGATCCGGGGATGTGTGCGGGCCAGCCTCTTTAGAGCCTAACAATTCTACCGATCACTTTTATCTATCTCGATCTAGTGCCGCAGTCCACGACTCGTGCGTCGCAAATGGACTCGTCTGGAATTGCGCACCAGTATCGAGGAGATAAACAACACAGGAAGAAAAGAGGAAGGGATCCAACAGTTGAGAGTTAAGAGTGGGTGTGAGTGGGTTTGACTAAAGTGAGGGAAAGAAAGGAATATTCGACATCAGCACCTCGTCGCTATTGAAAAAAAGGCGACTTTCTTATTTTTACCGGTTTTGTTCTATTGCATAACATAGTTGGGGTCCTGCAAGAGGGCGCCCGCTTGCTTGCTGGGTGGCTGCTTTTTTATTTTTATTATTATTATTTTCCCTATCTAACAAAGACAGGCTAGGGGAGGGGGGAGAAAAAAAAAGACCAGCTCCGTGTTAACAATCTTATTATTATTGTTTTTTTTTTTCGCCCGCTCTCAGATGTACCCATCCGGAAGTACCCAAGGAGGCCCTGGTAACAACCACAGAATTGCTACCACCACCACCACCTTGTTCCACCGCGCTACCCTTGTAGACGCAACGCAACCTAAGAGGATCGCCGCGCACATTCTCTCAACGACCACGGCTCATACTCCCTCGCTTGTACAACTTTACTTACTCAACTGAGACACACGCTCGCTTTCACTCCTCGGTTCACTTTGAGCCTAAGACGCGCGCTTGGCTCGTCCTCTTTATTTTTTTGCGCGCGTCTCTCTATCCTCTTGCGATACTCCCACACCCTCCCTTACCCTCTGGGAATCCCGGCGCCACTACATACAACCACCCTGTCCTGCTACCTACGCTACCTGCCTACCTACCTAATCCTATCTGGAGTTCACTCAGCCCATCGCTGTCACCTCATGGCCTAGATTCTTGAGCATAACAGGCTTCCGTTGCGATTCACATCAATATCGTCTCAGCGGCGTCTACCTGCCACCGGTTGCTTTCGAGTATCGCCTTCCATCATTTCTTGTTTTCAAATGACTTACTCGCAGCTCTGCTGGCATACCCCTTGTCTTCCCTTCCCCTCCCCTCCTCATCTTTGCCGCTGTCAGACTTAGCCGACCACCATGGATACTACGTTTTCGGACGACGAGAAGGTAATAAAATGTGACTGTCCCTGGCTCTTCCTAACTAATATTTGACTATTGTAGCGGTACATCCTAGGTGAAATGATCAAAAATAGTACCATAGACGTTCCGACTCTCGTCGAGTTTATCAAGGCTCACCAGGTCAGGCCAGACTGGATGATGATGCAACTTCCTAGTGGTGCGTATTCGAGGACCGCATTTTCCGAGTATATCCCCCTAATGAAAGCAGGCCGTAATATGAATCAGTGCTATAATGCAGCTGAGATCATGTTCCAGACTAAACTACCAGAGCCGGACTTCAGAAATGTTAAGCGCAAATCTATGAGCGACCTAGTCGAACCGCCTACGAAAAGACAAGCGATGATGGTTCCTATCGAACCTCCCATAGCGCCAGCGCGCATTATTCAGCCCCGGCCCCCTCCAAATGGCTATCCCCCGTCCGTACCCGTCAGTATTAGTCCGCCTGTAACATCGACGGGAAAGAAACGTGGCCGGCCTTCCAAGGCAGATAAGGAAGCTCAAGCACGCGCAGTCTACTCGCGGCTAAATGATTATACGCCCATTACACCAGCCCCTCTAGCTCCAATCGCCATTCAACCCCAACGCGAATACGCATCTTCTCCAGGATACGAGATTTCCAGCAATCCAAACGATCAGAGGTCCAAGAAACGCGGAGGTTTCGGTCCAATCGATAGCCCACAACACGCGAGTAGCTCGTTCCCTCTGCAATCACCCGCGTCAACGACAGATACGCCTCGAGCTCTACCGGAACCTCTTGATCAAGTAGAGAGAGCTACTCTATCTCCTCGCGATCGAGGTTCGGTTGCGATGGATTCGCGATCGCCACCACTTCTACCGCATATGCAACACCAAGATTCCTCCCAGGCACTTCCTCCTTTACAGCCTCGAACGCAGCCTCCACCTCCATTTACGCATTCGCCACGAACGTCGCACACCTATGAGCCCCATCGTAATATTGACCCTATATTCCCGGATAGAGATAGGACGAGACACATGCCGGATCAGCTAAAAGAACCTCCCCCCACTCCAGTAACCACGGTAGCGAATCGGGGTTAGAAGAAGGCTGTAACATATTAGACGACCAGCCTGGTCATGCGATATCATAATTCATTACTGGTGTCCCGGCTTCATAGAGGGCTGCTTCAGGAGGCTCTTTTCCCTTTGGTTAACGCTTCGAGGGGATTAACAATATCCCCTTTTGTATCGGCTTACGTGTACGTGTTTAAGAGACATCGGATTCTACTTTACGGAATACCCATACGGCTACATTTTCTCTTCTTTCCAACCTTAGGCGGCGGTTATTTATGGCACTTTCGAAATGCTACATCGCCAGCTGTATTATTTTCCCTCCTCCCATTCCTAAAGAATGAGCAAGTTTCGTCGACCGAGCCATACTTCGGCAGCCCTCCATTCTAACGGCGTCTAGGCATTTAGACATTTGGGATTAGATGGGCCTTTTTTTCTCTTACTTCGCAGCATTTACTGGCGCAATCCTGTTGCTGGAGGCGCAGGATCACGATTTTACGCTCCGGGCGGGTGGCAATTTTATCTTATTCCATGTACGATTTTCTGGTGGGCGTTCTTGGTTGTATGGCGGGTTAGGATAAGGGGATGGTGGTTACGATACGTATATGTAAGGCAGGACCGGCCACGTGTAGGTTTAAGGGTTAGGTATGGATGAAATAGCCAATAGCAAAAAGAATCTATTGTTGAAAGATGTGTCAAAGGTGCGATTCACGTTGGAAACACGCAACTTGCATTAAGCCAAGACGCTCTAAATCACGACATCTAAATCGAACGTGTTTTAACTCGATTCTACCCTGGTTCTTTCGATCGAAACTTAATGGCCATACATCGATTTCGCATAGTTTCTAAAGCGTTTGTCCGAGGTGTCACAAAACAACCTGAACCCTCGGGGCAAAACAAGATTCACGTTGACAATGCTAAACTTTGTGTAGCTCTATAGAGCACAACCATCCACAATAAACATTGATAAGATGAGGTATATTCTTCATGCTATTAGACAACCAAGGTTGTCTATATCGCGATGTTACTAAGACTATCGACATAAATGGCGCCTCCAATTCGCAGGTGCGATATTAAGGCCTGTGTCACGAGTAGTAAGATTTAATATAAGACTGACCAATAGGATGCCGCCGAACCTCGAGACGGAAGACATTTTGCAACGCTGTGATAGGTCGGATTCTTGCACCGTCGTCCGCGCTTGATTCGACCGGATGCGTTTAATCTATCTATAGTGGATGAACTATCAGGTTAGTCTTGCTTTATAAAGTGGCTTTCTTTCATTGGGTCTCAAGTACTTAGGTACAATATTGTACATGTATTGGAAGGCCTCCAATAATTCGAAGGTTATAGATATTTGTAGTTTTCTATACTACCGTCTACAGTTTAAGTTATACCTGTTAGGACAAACTACTAAAAACAGTAGCCCACTCCAGTGCAGACAGTTAAGGCCTTAAGCCAGGAACTTTGTACACACGTGTAGACGTGCCACTTATCTTGAGATACTACAGGTTTCCCATGAGCCCTTCACGCGATGGCATCCAATACTCAAGTGAGGTTCCTAGCCTTAAAGTGATAATACGAAGAAACTCAGATATGCACGTTCTATTCTACTGTCAATCTTTCTCTTAGTAAGTTGGTGGCTTGAATATGGCTGAATTTATAAATAAGCATAAACCTATAATCTGGGTGGTTCAAAAAAAAAAAACTATTTATAATTTCAAGCCCGTAAGTTCGGCTGAAACAAGCGGCCTAAACTTAAGAGGCTAGCTGAAAACATTCGAGCTTTGGTCGTGGGGGCCGTCCCGTGACGTCGTACATTTCATATGACTGATAGTATTATTGCAATTTAAGCCCGTTTGTGGCTGGAAGTGTCTTACGGTAATACCGGTTTAGTCTTCAAATGCCAATACTATTACTGACATGCCCTACCTAGTTCCTACTAACCCTCCCTCCCCTTTCCAATTAAATATAGCAATTGTCGATACCTACAGATATACAATCCAAAAGCATGCTTAATCGCTACCCTCTTCCGAATCGTGGCGTTATAGGTAGTATACGATCACTCCAGAATCCCGATAGTGCTCATATCGAATATGGGAACTTTGGGATGAATGATATCCGGTGCTCGTTTGTAGCCGTAGAGAAGTGGCGGATGATGTCTCAATCATCATCCGAAGACGCATCATCTTGAGGTCTTGAGCGCTTCTTATTATTCCTTAGAGCCGGCGCAACATCTTCATCCTTTCGGACGAAAACGTAACTTCTCGCAGCCCGATCCTCGCCCTTCCAGCCACCGCTCGCCTCTCCGTCTTTGTTTTTTATAACTCCGAGGGTTCTAGCATGATGGTAGCCCGGGTATGCACTCGCTTGAAATTTGAAACTGCGCTGGACCTGGAGCCCGGTATGACGCCCAAGATCTCTTATATTCCATAGCGTATACGGCTCTCCTTCGAAAAGCGTGACAATTATTGATCCACCCGGAGCTAAGGACGGTATAGCGTGCTTGAAGAATTCGACTAGTAACTCTTGATTATACCGGACCTGGCGGTTGACATCGGTGCTCTTACCGCCAACATGCGGGAAATTAAAGAGTATCCGATCCATGACTCCAACAGCGTCCTTGCCTTTCTTGTCTAGGAACGGAGCCATCTTAGTAGCATCAATGTTGTACACCACCTTACTGCCCTCGGCTTCAATCTTGGCAATGTTCTCCGGCACATGCGGATACTTCTCTACCAATTCCTCGAGGTTCTTCTCTAGAACTGTAGCCGTCACATCCGCGCAGTAATGGTGCTCTACCAATGATGCCGCAAAGCTGAGATCTCCATCACCGATCAGCAGGATCCGGTCTTCGGGTGCGAACGGTATCGTGGGTTCTTCGTGCTGCGGTTGCGACTGCTTCTTCTTTTGAGGTTTCGATTGTGGTTGTGCCTGCGTTTCCTTGTGCGACTTCTGATTCCTAGCGCTAGGTTTGGGCGCATTATGCGCAACCTTCCGCCGTTTCCCCATACCTCCCTTTCCCTAACTCTACTATACCCTACTCTACTCTCTTGGCTGCGACCCTACCAGCGGCGCATGATGTCGCTCTCCGTGGCCAAGACTCCGTAGAAATAATTGGAGTCTTCCTTCACCGGTGTGGTCGTTGTGCGACGTATCGAAAACAGGGAAATGGCGAAACGGAAGGGGATTTGTCTCGTGGTTTAGGATCAGATGATGGGGCGGCGACGGTGAAGAGAGAAAAAAAAAAAAGATGTATGTGTGTGAGGTGATGTCGGTTGTTGCTGGAGCCTCGAATTAGATGGAAAGAAAAAATTAGTGGCTCGCAATGCTCCGTAACCGCGGGACATCCCACGTCCCCCTGCGGCTAGAGCCTAATGTTGCGGGATGATGGGCTGGGATGTTACTAGGCTTAATGTAGTAATTCCGGGGTCCTACGGGACAGGGGGTTTCTAGCCAATGAAAACTTAGATTGATCAAGTACATATGCTACACGTGTAAAAGTACGGGAAGATGTATGTAGGTGCAGGTAGCTGCATGTACATTGAAGAAATTTCCTTTTTCGTACTTCTATTGAATGTAAATTTGTACCTTGCACTGTATTAAGTACATGCGCCGAGTTGCGCCCGGATGTACTCGGAATACCTCAAGTTGAGTAAAAATCAAGTTTATATGATTACAATGGACCATTGACTAGCCGAGTAAATAGATAGGTGAATTTTTTGATATGAATGGATGCATCCCTTGAATCTCATTTCATTCATTCTCTCCTTTGTCCTCGTAGGAGGGTAGCTGCATATGTAGCTGCCTGCAAGTCATGTCAATCTGCCATACATTCGTTAGTAAGCAGCTCAACAAGTAAAACGAGGAACGTCTGGAAATTGACAAACTATACTTAGTAACTACCTACATAACATCAAATCCTATGGGCGCTCTTCTCTATATGAGTAATGCTAATAACTAAAAAGAATAGTAACTGCACTTGACGCGGAAAGATCGGATGTTATACGAAAACAACTATTGAAAGTAAACCGTGTAGGCGCAGAGGTATTCCACTCATCTAGTCATATGGCACTTCTGATTTTTTATTATATTATGTAGCTTCATAGCAGAAAATCAAAGTTAGGAAAGCATCAAGGACATGGCTTAAACGTGTAAGGCAAGCACGCTTGTATATTATTATTTTACTGGGATGTGGCGTCTTTCTTCAGCGCAAGGGGGCGCTGTAATGCGCTCTAAGTAGCGTATATAGGTACATACATTGCTAGCTGCCTCCTATAAATGATGTACCTAGGTACCTACCTTGATTAGCCACTGTGTTAGATGGACTGTTTTCTTTCGATTTTTCATTGATCTCAATTTAAGCATTTACAAATCTAATAGTTCGACTGTGTAGTTCAGTAATTTTATCCTTAATCACTGTCAAGTTCGAAGCATTGCAGCTGAATTAGGCTTAGTAAGTTCAGTTGCTTGCTTTGGGAACCTGAAATTTTGGTGCAAGTTGTCGGAAAAGTACCTAAGTACCCGACTTGTCCAGGTCACGGATGCGGACTAGCGATTTCTCCGGACCAATCAGAATTGGTTTAGCACAGTTTAGAGGACCACTTGCGACTAGACAGCGCATGGACTTGACTGTATCGGGAAGTCTAACAGTGCACTGTCCTGGTTGACCAGTGGCCAGTCTCCAGTCTCCAGCGCCTGTCTTTAATTGTGCTGGCCGAGAAAATCTCAAGGTGATATTAGAGTGTGAGCCTTCGATTTGTCCCTATTACCACGACTCTCTCACCTTAGAGAATAGTACGAGCACCGCTGGAGGGGCAGGTTCATTAACTTCGATGGTTGATTTCTCTAATGAACCATTCTTTTTTCTTCGGCGCAGTACTTGGTTAAATATTTTGTCTCCAGTCTCATCATCTTTTGCCCATCCTTTTTTTTTTCTTTGCCTACCGCGAACAACAGACGGAGACAGATACTTGACTGACACGCCAAAAAAAACTTACACCTACCCTCATTTATCCCACAGTCACTTCTTTCCCAATACTAATTTTTCTTGCGCTTCACACGTTAGTTCATTGGGAGACAGATCTTTTTTTCCCTAGCTACTGCTACGACTAATAATCTGATCTTTCTTTTACGAAGCGTGCCGCGTCTGTATTTTTTCTTTCTTCCGTGTAATCCACTACTACCACCGGATTTCACGCAACCTCTCTACCTTACACATAATCCCACAACTTTTACACGTCTTTATTCCTCGATTCCTCTATCGATACCTCATTCTACTTAAATCACCCTGCTATTCATTACCCGACTTGAATGATTAATTACACTCGTACTTTCTCGTCATAATGGATAGCACTCCACAGGCTGCTCAATCCCCGGCAGCAAGCCCTGCCAAGGGAAAAGCTCCTGCCCCCAAGAAAACGTCTGGAAAGGGCGTTACCAAGAAAACCTCAAAGAAGCCTGCTCCTAAGAAGGGAGTAGCGAAGAAGGGTCCGAAGAAGGTGTACAATGATTCCTTCACACAAGCGGCCTATGAGCGCCAAGTGGAGCTGAAAGAGCTCTATAAACAAGTCGCCATGGCAGTCAGACCAGCTCTTGACGAGATAGCCGACCGGAACGTCAAGAAGTTAACAGAAGATCTTGGAGCACACAAACAAGTGCCAGAGTACGACGTTCTGCAAGACCAACTAGATAACCAACTTAAGCAGGTCATTGAAGATGCTGAGAAACATCACGACCTACGAGTTAGAATTCTGGAGCATGGCTACGAACTGGAAAACGATCGAATTGCAAAGTGCTTCATGGTATGTATTATCTTCCTCGATACTAATTTTTTATTTAATACACTTACTAACACTATTCGTTAGGATTCGTTCAACTATGAGACTGAGGAATTCTACGATGGTGCCCTAAACCGCACTAGCATTGTGACTGAACTCCGTCGTGAAGGTCATCCACTTGACGTAAGTTGATTATTCCCTGGTGCCTTCCTTCTCTTCTTTCCTATCTTTTCAACAACAATTCTAATCATCCCTCACAGACTCCCGACCTCACGTATTCTTACGTTAGGGAGATCCCTCATGTCTCATTCCTTGGCCCATCGGACAAGCCTGGCACTCCCATCAATCGCAAGGCTAAGCCTACGACTAAGCGAAAGACGGAGGATCAGCCAGACGGACAGGCTGCTTCTAAGAAGCCTCGACGTACTGGTGGCTTACTTGCTTCGGAGATGCAACCAGACGGGGTATCCGAGTCTAATGCACCATCCCCGACGCCAGCCGAAGAACAAGAATCCGCGCCTGGGTTTAGCAAACACATCCCGGATCTACCTTCCGGCGCGTCTGATCCCGATGCATACGGAGTTAGAAGTGTCAACCGACGGGTTAAGGAACCTAATAATCGATTCATCATCCCGCCCTTATTCTCATGGGATGACAAGGAGATCGGATTCCGAGACTCAACCAATGATTCAACTAGATTGGCTACCGGTCGTTCCCGAGGTATATTCATTGATACACCAAACTCCAGCACCTGGCATATCGACCACACTGTCAAAGATTATGACTCCCGCGGCTTTAACGATGATACCTTAGATCCCGAAATCGTAAAGAAGCACGGCCTACACCCGAAGTTGGGAATATTCCTACCTACTTCTACGAATGAGTCAGAGCCACCCGATGGGCGTGTTGATGGGACTCGGCCTGTGGTCGTCGTACCGGATGCGATCACTACTCACCATGCGTCCCGCACAGTCCGATCTATGAAAATGGACCTCATGCTTAAGGAGGACCGCATCAAGAACGCCATGTCGGAGATGCTCGGCGATTTCTGCGAAAAGGGCGACATCGATCCAGAAGATATAACTAACGACGAAATCCGTGATCGTGAACGCGAAGCAGTTGAAAGACAGGCTGCTCCTTCGGATGAAAGTGTAGACCATGTGAAATCAGAACAGGCTTCACTGACAGAGGCCCATAACTCCTTCCTTCACGAACGTGTCGACCTCCTCCTGCTAGCCGCCGCGAGCTCGGAAGCTGAAGTATCGAGCCTTCCTGCACCTGGTCCTCGACCATCGCGCCCGTATGATGCGGTGCGAGACGTATTCACAAATGCAGAGCCAGCTCCTATGCACCCAGAACTTCAGCATATAGAGCCCGACGTCTTTAAACTCAACCTTCTCGCGCAAGCAGCCGAAAGAGCCCCTAGGCTGCTGGAGAAAAAGGTACCAGTAATGAACGACTCTTCTATGATCGATCCCCGTCTTCTTGGCACACAGCCCCCCGCGCCGCCCAATGCGTTCCTTCAAACCGCGTTGAACCCCTCGTCAACATTTACGAATATCGCGCCAGCCCCAGTTGCTCAGATGGAAACAACGCAACAAACTACGCCCGCTAGGAACCCTTTCACTACCCGAAATAACGTAGTGACAAATACTATAGCAGCGGATGGTTTTCTACCACCCCTTCGACCCAATAGGTCGGACGGCCTAGGAAAGGGACCGAACCTAGCTCAAGCCCAACAGTCTCCCCTCCCTCTGACACACCATCCTCAGGATCTTGGTTCTCCACATGGGCCGATCCGCACAAATTCGGGTAGCTTCTTCCCTCCGGCGCCATCGCGACCCTACCATCAGGGATTCTCCTTCCACGACCAGGGTTTAATGGCGATGTCCATGCAGCAAAGCCCTCATATTCCCGGACCCGGTATGATGCCGAACCAACCCCCACTACCGCATCATATGTCCGCATATCCTCCCGTCATGTCGCCTCCCGTACCAGGCCAATCATACCTAGCCTCGGTACCGCCGCATATTGAGCCCCCTGCACCTTCAGTATCGCCACCTGGCCCATCTATGATGACGCCCTCGTCACCTGTACACACACCTCGCCAGAGAAACTCGGTGTCATCCAATGGTAACGGATCTGGAAAATATCGCAGGATTGCGGCAGCACCCGTTCCCCACAATCGTCCTTGGCAATCTAATGGCGGCAGTGAACTACGACTCGCCCACTACGATCACAAGGAGGCGATCAAAGACTATAGGGCGAACGAACCTCCCCCGCGAACTGGGCCTACGACGATCAGAGGTTGGAACGTGAACAATGTTTCGAAAGGACGCAATAGAGGCGTCAAGAAGGAGGATTCCGAAGAGAAGGAATCTCCAAAGTAGGTCTTGAAAGATAACTCTTTCTAGGGCTGTCGCATTGACATTTGTCACTTCACAGCATGATATCGCCATACATCGGCAAGTGGAATGCGTCCGTATGAATTCGAGGCGGCCGCGTCGAACAGAGTCTTATATATCGACGGACTCATGCGTTGTTTATTGCATGACTATAATTACATCGAGAGGTCTATCGTTAGACCGAATCATTTACGATTTTAAAGAACATCCACACCGGGAAGGCAATGAAGCATAGCGAGGAAGATGCATCGCCGGTCTCGGTTTATTACGATTTACATTCACCTTACGTCTCACATCATAATGCCATACCCTAATGAACCGCCATTACTCATTGAACTCGTTTTCATCACTTGGTACCCAGCATAGCGTGTCTCAGGCAGCATTTGGACAGGCGGGGATGTTTCTGATTTATTTTTATTTTTTCTTTCGACCTTTTCATCGGGATTTGAGCAACCCAGGCGAACAAAAAATTCTGCATGGACATTGGAGTTTAGGAAATCTTCGTCGGTTCTTGTTTTTGATTTTTCTTTTTTTTCTTCGCATACTATGGATGTGCTACGGCACGGCCGACGAAGCGAGGGTGGTTGTTTTTGATTTTTTTTTTCCATGCGCCGCGGTGGATGAGATGAGCGCATGGGCGGATGGAAGGAAGGGCATAGCGAGTTGCATGGATACCCACTAGGTCTACACAGAGGCAGGTGAGGAGGTCGTTTGTTTATATTGTCGACATGTTCCCCCTGGTCTGAGGAACAGAAGGGGCGCGAGACGAGGCGGGGACTGCGGTTGTGATATAAAGGGAGCTACGAGAAGAGAATCGTAGCTGGGTCTAGTTCAGCAGCGATGATAGAGAACTAGACCCTAGAAAGTAAATATTGCACATAAGTCATCAGTGATCTAACTTTTGGTATTATGACGTGATTCGTTTAGTAGTCCTTTACGCTAAATATGCCTTGCCAGTGTAGAGATTTAATATTTTCCCACCTTTAGGTTATCTTATATGGAGATTTTAGCTCTATTCGTAGTTAACAGCAATCAATTCTCGCATGTGTTCAATTGTAGTGGATTTTCACCAGGCGAATGTGATACTCAAAATATCAACTCATCGTACAACACAAGTTTAAGCATAGTATCTCGTGAATCATCTATGAGTAGGTAGTTGTGTACTGTACAACGTCCTTCCATGCGGCTCTTCTCTAGCTATTGATTTCGCAAAGCATCATGAACATAGCAGCAGAAGAAAAAAAAAACAATTAAAAGTGAAGAAATTGAAAAACATTCAAAACACCGTAAACTCATTATTTCACACACTTCCGCATCGAGGGTATTTCCCCATCTGCTCTGAACTGTCTCTCCTGTTCTGTCTTTTTGTGACCTCTCCAACCCCCAACGAATCTTCCTTAAATCAAGCTCCTTAGCAAACAATTAAACGGCAAAACAATCAAAAGAAATGGCTATGCCTAACCCCGAGATACGGATCGACGCACTCTTTTTGAAGCAAGATAACGCCTGAGATTCCTATCCGACCGACCGCATGTGTATGTGTCCAACAATGGAGAAACCCTTTCTAGATCACGCACGCATAGTATTACACCCCACCGGTTCCCATCATCATAGTAGTCTGATCCATTGGAAGTATCTGTGAAGGATCGACTTGGCCTATCGGCACCATAGCCGGAGTCGAAATCTCTAATTGAGCCCTACCGAGGAGACCTTCCGGATGGAGAGGATAGACCTCGGCTTCCATCTTATCTCCGTCGAAAACGACCATGTTTTGAATTGGCTGTTGGCCTTGACCGCGCACGTTGATTACATCCTGGGCTAGCTGCCCGCCAAGAATCGCAGTTACTGGCGCGATCTCACAGCCAATATTTTGCAAAAAGCTGCGGAGGAAATCGGATCGAAGTGTTTCGGCCGGAAGAGAGAGCAATTGATGGTTGTGTGTGGCTGACCTGGTAAACGCCTCTAGGTCTTGTTTGTTGTTCCCCGGATAGCGGTCATTATGAGTTTGCTGGAAGCCCCAGAGCGCACGCAAGCAAGACAGAGTTGGTGTAACAGCCTTGAGGCGACGTTTAGACTTAGTGTACTCGGCTGGCAGTAAGCTGGTCTCTGATGCGAGATCCCATGTTGAGTATAATTCGCGCTTTTGGACCTTCTCAATAGTTTTGCCACCCTCTTTTTGACTCTCTACTTTAATTATACTCCGAGTCCGTGTCTCCGGACCTATGATTGTCGGCACATTGGACTTATCACGCTGCAGGACGTAGTCATGTTCGATCAAGTCGCAAAAAATATAACCATAGAAACCATAAGTGCCGGCAGCGTAGAAATGGCGATTGTGAAGACGTGTGGCAGTATTGATGAAGGCGAGAAGGGTGGGGCTAAGATCTGTGGCAATGACGATATCAAAACCGCCGAAGAACGATGCGCCTTTGGTCATGATACTTCCGGAGTCGGCAATGACCTTGACCCGGGGATTCAACTTCTGAATTCGACCAACAGCCGCCTCAGCGCGACTTTGGCCTATGTTTTCTTCCGAGAGAAAGAATTGAGCGCCTAAGTCCGCTTCAGTGACAATTTGGTCGTCGATGATGGTGAGAGAGCCGATTCCTGCTAAGACGAGGTTCTTGGCAATTTCGTTTGCCAGAGCTTTCATAGTAATAAGAACGATATTGGCGCTTTGGATCTTTTGTTGCGCCTCCATACCCCACAACCGCAGTTGGCGGTCGTAAAGGGCGATATCATCTAATCATAGTATTAGTAAGTGATCCGATTAAGTGAACAAGATCCGTCATTACCTGCACTCAAGCCATGTCCGTTTGACGGCTGGGCAGCCGAGTTATCAAGGCCGGCGACATGAGAAGGTATTGGCATGCCGGGAGTGGCAAACGCCCCGTTGTTATAAACAGTTTGTTGTAGCGCGGCAAATGTATCATCTGGATTCGGAAAGACAGGTAAACCGTTGCCTGCAATAGGATTTTCAGGTGGTAGGGACAACCCTGGGATTGCTAAAGGTTGTGTTTGCTGTCCGGCAGTCTTGCCATCTTGAATCGGTTGATTCGTCTCGGGAGCTGCTACGTCACCTTGCACTGGCTGCTGGTCCGAGGTGGCGGCGGATTGGTCTTGGGTCTCCATTTCTGATGAGCTCGAGAATCTGAGTCGTCAAGGGGTCGTAAAAATGAGGGGACGATGAATTGAAGAGACGTGATTTTGTTGAGGATGAGATTGAAAAAATACTATGTTGTCCTCAACGTGGGTGCTGAAAAAATGATGCAGCTGAATAACGTGTGAGGGTGAGGCGCGTGCGTGATGTGAGGACGCTTAGATGCCTAGGTATCTACTTCTGGGACAGTTTCTAAATTTGTCTTTTTAATTATTAGGAAAGGGTATTGGGGAATTGTGGGATATGTCTCTCAAGAAGCTGATGATAATAACCACCTCGCCCTCGCCCGCGTCGCCGTGTTTATGTGTCCTAATCGTATTTTGTTGGTAATGGAATGAATGTGACTGAGGCAGGTTTGATGTGATGAGCCAGCCTCGTTCTTCACTTTTAGGGCATTCTAGATATTTTAGGTGCCTACCTAGGTACATTACCATGCCGTACCGCACCTACCTAGGTACTCTACGTAACACTATGGGTGTGTAACACGCATTAGGTAAATTGATCTTGGTTGCGCCTGCCTTACCCAGATAGATGAATAAGCTCGGCTAAGATCGAGTGGATCTAAGTACTTAGGTAGATACCCCCCATGAACCTCTTTTCTAATTTGATAAATACATATGTAAGGTGGTGCACACCTACATCATCATGCCTTGGATACGATATTTGTACGATGGGTATCTGCCTTCATATGTATATATGTACTTGGATACTTCAGGAGTAAAAATAACTCCTGGGTTGATAAACATTACTTAAGAGGCGGAAGAGGGATGTATGTTGCTAGTCGGTGGATAAGTTTGTAGGTGAACTCGGAAACCCGATTTTCTTGGTAAATCATGATTGGCACCATGGCACCATTGCTTGAAAGAGATTGAAAGGCTACACGAAGGGGTGTCACAGGTTCCCAAGATACAGCTGAAAGTGCGAAGCAGGTAACCCTGCAATTGCATGTACGTAGGATGTACCTAGGATATGTATGGTACAATTGATAGTGGGCGGTGGGCTTCAATGGGCGGATAATCCCATGTTAAAGAGGTACTTGATTTGGTGCTTAGATACGATAGAATTAGTACGAGCGCAAAGTATGTCTTAGCAAATTCATTTTATGTCTTCCATTAGTTCTTACTAAAAGTACAGTATGTACCTACTTTCAACGTTTGACCCCGCCTAAACTTAAAGAACTGGCCTACCCGCTTCGAACCTTGGAACATTGAACTCACCCAATGCCCTTTCACACCACATCCCGCGCAGCCATTTCCTAATTCCTATTCCCATGGGATTTCCTATTCAAATCTTCCAACTACAATTCATTGACCTCTCTCCACTTCGCCAACCTCGTCAACTTTAACATCTCTAATATACACCCGTTGAGGTTCAGCTCATTCCGTAGACAATTCATCGTTACATTTCCGACAACCGCCTCGTTGTCCTGCTTGGCTTGATTACATCGGCCGCCATCTGGCTTGCTGATGTGTGATCTATTCTTTGACGCCCACGCCTAGACCCTTTGCGTCTCTTAATGGTGAGTGTCAGCTTTGCCTGGTTCGCATCGCGATCATCAGGTATAGCTTTCATTTACTTTTGTTGGAAGCCGAATCATCAATTCGCAGCTTTATCCGTGGTCCTTGGCAACTTGGTATCGTTTCGGTTGTACTAATCATCTTACCATCGAATAGTCGGGCGATCATTCCGACCAGTCCCCTTCAAGCCCAGGACCTTTCAGCACCGCCGACGAAATAGTACGATCCATACTCGATGCTGATGCTTCCCCGTCCGAGATCAGTCCCTCCGGAGAGTTATATCGGGCTATAGAGAGGTATTATCCTTATACTCGACCTAGTAACGCACTACTCGGTAGTCGCCGGGGTCGCCTGCCTCTGAACAATTCGGCAAGCAGCAGCATGCCATTTGACCCTGCCGAGGTGCGGCAAAGATTCTCAAGAGAACCGCAAAGTTCTGACGCATCGCCTCTTTATAATCTACCCCCGTCTGCTCCTTATCTACCGCCGTTACGATCTTTGACAAGTACTCGACGACCGTCGCCCATGTCTGGTTCTGGTCTTCCAAGTGGACGGCATGCGCGAGCACGCCCAGCAGATCGCTATTCAGCAAGACTCCGAGGTGCACATGAACCTCGAAATGAAGCTGGGGAGGAAGCGGCCGAATTCTGGGAGCGTCTTGAGCCTTTTGACCGGCTTCAGCGTGGTACACGGCGCCCCGCCGCAGCACAATTACGCGATACACAATCTCCTTTTGACGAGGAACGTTCACGAGAGGATACCAATTCGCAACTACGCGCGCTCTTAGATTTCACCAATCCCGATCTTTCGTTTTCGTCACCGCCGCCACCTCCGCTACCAACAGCCCAAGATTCTACAGAGGACAACCGACGGGTCAAACGGCGCAAACTAGATTCGGATCGCCTCTCTAGCGGTTTTCAAGGTTTTCGCTATGGGAAATATGGTCAGGTGGAACCAGGTCAGTTGACTATGGAACTTGTAAGCTGTGATGGTGGCATATACTCGGATGACGGTCACCGGTATGCCGCCGAGAATATTCTCAAGAATGACCAGACAGTCTACTGTACTGAAGGCCCGAGATGTAATATTATTCTAAGGCATCAGGGCGCTACGGTCTTCACACTGAAAGAGTTGATCATCAAGGCACCTAGGTCAAATTTTACCTCTCCGTAAGTACCGTTATGCTCGTGTAGCTGCGCAGTCGCTAATGAAAATCGCAGTGTGCAGGAGGGCATGGTGTTCGTTTCGATGACTTCTGATCATCTACTAACGCGGACGGCCCAGTATCAGATTCAATACTCTTCTAGGAATTCGCCTAGGCGAATGGAGCGGGAGACACAACCGCTAGCACCTATAATGTCTATTAGGCATAATGATGACGGGACCACTATGACGCATGCGCAGATTCGAGCGAGACGTTTATATAACATTGGTATGGACGATGAAGATAACAACGTGCGAATCGCTCAGATTCCTTCTGAGTTCAACGTATCGCCGCCCCCCTTTGTGGTTACCACGGAATGCAGCGACGACGAAGCAGACGAACCAACACCGAGAGGAGAATGGCGACCGCCTAATAGAATAGGCGCGTTGCCATTTGAAAGTGAGACGAGCGACGAAGAGGGGAATATAAATGACTATTCCTTTAGTGAAGCTTATCATAGGTTACGAAGACGGCGAAATCGACCTAGCGCGGCTCTAACAGAAGCAGTAGAAGCTGCGCAAGTAGCGACACAAGAAGCCGTCCGCGCGGTGGGCGGAGAGTTGATGGTTCCGCACGCACGATTCTTCATCGAGCGTAATAAGAGCAAGTGTACCATTAAATTCGATCCTCCAGTATCTGGAAGGTTCATATTGTTAAAGATGTGGAGTCCGCATCGCGACCCGGGGGCGAATATTGATATCCAGGCGGTGGTGGCTAAAGGGTTTGCTGGACCGAGATATTTCCCATCTGTCGACGTACGATGACGGGTTTAAGAACTTATGTATCTATATGGGTCTCTCAAAGGGGGAACATTCAACAAATAATAGGTTTAATTAGCTATGCTATACGCTTACGAGTGAATCCTCGTGTTATGATATATGAACGTGAATTTAATTGTAAGTATATGATACGAAGCCATCTTATTTGATGTTTTGGCAATTTTTTGTTGCTCCTCTTCATTTCTTTCTAGGAATATCTTACTAGATGTTGAGTCATCTTTATCGTGGCGGGTCTAGTAAGGGAACAGATGAGCATGATGCTATTTTCTACTTGAAAAAGGATATCGTAAGGATACAGGTGGATGTTGTATCGCCACAGCTTCTATATACCGCATATGTCCGAAGTATAAAATGAATGCTCTGGCCACTTCATACGTATTTTCGCAATTAATACAGCATCCGTAAAAGGCAATTGGAACTCAAAGCCTCGATGACAGGATGAGTGAAAATGAATCATACTGACTAGTTCGGCGAGCTACCCCTGATTGGTCTAATTGGGGCAATGCAGACATCGGGTTGAGTCACGGCCTAGAAGCTCTATGAACTAACCGGAATGGGCAGGGTCGTCGATTCCAGTAGCCGTATGAGCCCCACCTGCATCTTTTGGATTAATACCGGTGCATTATCCCACAGTATTATCCTTATCCCATTAGCTTCAGCAAACTTCATTATCAACTTTTTTTACATTTACAACATCTAAATCCAATCCTTCTCGTACCTACTCAGGTACAGAATCTCCAACTACCGCCAAAATTCTAGCTACATCGGTGCCCGAAAACATAACCGGCGATCAAATCATGGCTGTACGAGCACAATTCGAGAACTCCAACGAGTAAGCCCCGCCATCCCATTCAGGACCCCGCCGAACAAATTTGTGTGGGCAAATTGACTTATGATGCAATTTCAACAATTATAGGGTCGGCGTCTTCGCGACACTCACCAATTCTTATGCCTTAACTGCTGTTGGCGCAAGCGAAAACTTCTACAGTGTCTTCGAGTCGGAATTACAAGATGTTATTCCCATCTGCCGAACCACGATTGCTGGCACGCGCATCATCGGCCGATTAACAGCAGGGTAAGATAGTCCGATTTTGGCGGGCTTTGTAGCCTTGCTCTGCTGTTTGCATGTTATATCTAATACCGATTTCCCTTTAGCAACCGCAAAGGACTCCTTGTACCTACCTCCACAACTGACCAAGAATTACAACACCTACGAAATTCCTTACCCGACGAGATCAAAATACAGCGAATAGAAGAGCGTCTATCCGCCTTAGGGAACGTCATAGTATCGAACGACCACATAGCTCTAGTCCATCCGGATTTAGAGCGCGAGACGGAGGAGATTATCGCAGATGTACTGGGCGTTGAGGTTTTCCGACAAACGGTCGCGGATAATGTGCTTGTTGGAAGCTACATGAGCCTTAGTAATCAAGGTGGATTGGTACACCCCAAGACCAGCATCCAGGACCAGGACGAGTTGAGCAGCTTGCTGCAAGTACCGCTTGTAGCTGGTAGTGTAAATCGGGGTAGCAATGTGGTTGGCGCGGGTATGGTCGTGAACGACTGGCTGGCTGTGACAGGATTGGACACGACAGCGACAGAATTAAGTGTCATCGAGAGTGTCTTCAGACTTGGCGAGGGCGCTGCACCGGGCAACATCGGTGGAAATCTCAAGGATACTATGGTGGAAAGTTTCTATTAAAGGAACAAATCTGGGATGGCCATGGATTTGGCTCTAAGCTGGTATTGAACATCGAAAGCACGACCTAGCATCACCAGTGCAGGCTCTACCGGAGAGAACTACACACTACATTGTTCCGAGATGGGTGTATTTAATCCTCTCTGATTGGTATTATGGGCGGCTGAATATTGACGCCAGAGTTATGATACCAAGGCAAGGTCATATTAATTAGTTATTCAATGAAGCATTCCAGCCACCATTTCTACTGATTGACTCATAGGTATGGTCGATGTCAAATGTGGTGTATTTTGAATTGGTTGGAGGGTGGAAAGCCGCTTCAAGATACCACCTAATAAGACATATACCAGGATGGGCTATGCGATTTTCCCGCATTGCTGGACATGATATCGTTATCGAAGGCGGGTTCACAAGAATGGCGGAATTATTGAAAGCCAATCGGACGATCATCGCAGCTTGGGTGTCTGTCCTTGCCGACTTAATTGCCACGTGCCACGAACGATGCGAACTATTATATCAACTCGACGGTTATTCGTTGTAGATTCAGCTACTAACGATACGCCATATACGAAAGTTCAGCTGGTGGTCCAATCCTTAGGCTTCCCGTTACCTAATTTAAGCAATTCGCTATAAACCCTCGGTTAACACAATCTACTTGCTTCGGTATGTAACAGAAAAGCCAAAAGAAAAAAGTAGGTTTAAGGTTGCGGCAAGTTACCGCCTGTAACTAAATACAGCAGCAGCAGTAGCAGCAACGTAAGCTCAAGGTTGAGAAGCTTTATGCTATTCCCCACATGGTCTTGACATATTATGCATTTGATATTATTGTTTGGACCAGAACTCATTTAACATACCTCACTTAGGAATGTGGATATTCTTATTATGTCTGAGGTAGCCCGGAAACCTCGAACGGAATAAAAAAGAGATTCGAGCAAGTAAAGGCGAGTTGGCACAAGATGACAAGATGAACACGGCACAAAGCGTAACACGAAGTAGATGGGCGGGTGCGGCGATCCAGCTGGCTGGATGTAAGTGGCCGCGTCAGGGTTGCCGTAGCGGACTGGAGCTGACCTGCAGAGCACTACGTAACAGTTGCTACAGTTGCTAAGGGAAGCTCCATTTATCACAGCCTACTTTAACCCGTTGCCTATCACAAGCAACACAAGCTAAAGGACACATGGATCAAAAACATAAAAACCATTCATACTGTACGTACAATTACCTACCGAAGATGCTCATCATGTTCATATGTAAGACCCACGCAACACATATTAAGCGATGGCTGGGTTTTTTGCGTGACCCCCTAGCAACCTAGGTTGTTTGGCTGGCTAGGCTATCTCGCTATCTTCAGTAACTTACTCACTTTTTTCTTATTCTTGACTCAGGTGTGAGTACTTTAGACACTTTCGTCATACTACAAAACTGCAAAAATCATGGATGGTTAATCAAGTCAAAACCAAGATATCAAATGGGACTGATGACGATCTCCCGCCTTCTCCCTGTCTCTCGAAAAGCCCAGCCAAGGCTCTGGATCTAGGATAGAGAATAATTAATACCTAGACATAATAGACATCATAAGGTAGCACCGTGTTCGAGTACAGTACCACATACCGTATCAAGCAGAATCATTAAAATGATTGGTCTTGGGACCCTGCTCGTCACCCTTGCCAACCACCCTTCTAACACCTAAATCTGGAATCCCGGAGTGCCGGGCGACCCACTACCATAGTCCTCCCATCTTCTTTGGGGGGAGGCTTGCAGTGCAGAATAAGACCGGTTTTTTGCTTGTGGGTTCTCTCTCCTACTATTATGTTATTGTTGTTTTGTTGTTGATTAGGCTCGTGGGGTTAATGATTAACTTAATAGACAACCTCATTCTTTTTTTCCCCTGTTGTTACTACTATTATTCTTTTTTCGACCTTACTTTATTTTTATTTTTCCTTCTTTCCCATGTTTGCATTCGATAAGTTTCTAACGGATGGAGATTTAACTTTCTAGACCTTACTCTTGTTCAGCAAAGTTCTACGAGTCAAGGCTCGGAACATAATCCTTAAAAGGTCTCAAAAGGGGGGGCATTGAGGGAAGGAACAACCCTTTAAGCTGAACTCTTCCTGGGACCCCCCAGTAACGACCAGGACCCAAGCAACCTAAACAACCTAAACAACCAAGTCAAGAAAAAAGGGTTCTAAGGTTTCCAAGGCTTCCTTTTTAAACAAACTGCCCGAGATACCCTGTCCTCCGTCCCACAACCCGAAACAATATCTGACAATGCTAAGGGGTACAACTTGTACTCCTCCTTTAAGACCACCTGCTTCTATCGCTAGTCCTCTTGTTCCTCGAGAAAGAGAAACAAGGATGGAAATCGAACGACACGCGCCTGCAACAGCACCGTCAGTAGTTATGACAGGGGAACGCGAGAGAATGCATGAGCATGACAACGGAATAACCATGACTTTTGATCCTCAGGAATACGACCCTACCTCTCTTACTACCCCATTACGATCTCCCAGGATTCCTGCGTTATTCCCCGATAGACGCCACAGTAGTAGTAGCAGTATTGATAGCGACATACCCCATCAACGGCAGCAATCGGCTCCGAATCTACAGTCGCATGCTGCACTTACACCAGATTCGCGGCAGCACGCCAGACGACAGTCCCAAGGCATGCCATTTACCGGAGACGGACGATCTACTACCGCTCGACGGCCGGAAAATTCACCGGGACGGTTTGGGGGCTGGTTAAGCGCACCGAATAATTCGACGGACGGCCGCGCACCTTCACCTGACACGACGCCGAAGTCGAAACGTGGTGTTGCGACCGCGGAGTCTACACCTAAGAGCGCGACGCCCTCACGCTTCGGATTTCTCGCCTCCTCTATGTCGGCGTTGACCACGCGGTTGACTACCGGCCAACAAGCCCCCGCCACGCCGTCTTCGTCCATGTCGATTCCGATTGACCCGCTCGACGCCGATGATGAACTATGCACATTAGATATCGAAGCTGCTCTATACCCCGGCTCGCATTCGGGCCTGGGTGTTAGTATGGGAGGAGTGGAAAGAGATGATACCTTCTCGCCGGCCGCGTATAAGAATCTACAAGTCAATGCTGCGGGATTATTGCGGAAAATGCAAGATGCGTATCGTCGACGGACGGTAGCGTTAAAAGAAGCGCAGGCTGAGAAGGAGGTCCAGAGGGAAGAAGCTGAGGAGGCCGAGCTGCGCGCGAGGAATTTTAAAAATCAACTTGAGAGTATGGCGGTTAAGGCCGCCGAGCAGGAGAGGGCTATGAGGAGGTTAGTCGAGGAATTGAGGATGGAGCGGGAGGAGAGGGGGCGAAGAGAACAAGAATATCAACGCCATGGCAGGTATGACTCGAACGGGAAAATGAATATCGAGGGACCTCTTATTACGGAGGACTTATGTGTCGATGAAGCGGAACAAGAAGAGAAGGAACGCAAGCGCTGGCGTAAGAGCGATGGTACTGTGCGCTCGGACCTGAGTATCGATACCACGGCTAGTAATACGACGGATGGCGAGAGCGCGGGTGAATCTGAGAGTATATTTTCTCGCAGTCGTAGCCCGACGGCTATGACAAGTGCTACCGAGAGCGAGAACCTCGAGTTGTTGACTGTTCGGACGCCGCCTCCGCCAACTCCCTCGTCGTTGTCAAAATCTAGTAAGACACCGACGCCTATAAGTACTACGATTATCGCTACCACAAATGCCCCCCAATTATCGGCTTTCCAGAAGTTGGTTAAGGGCATATCGGGTGAAGACGGATGTACCAATTGCAGGGGTCAGGACTCAAGCGTGGCGTGGGATACTGTCAGTTTGTTACGAGACGAGAATAGGAGTCTGAAACACCGTGTCGCACAGCTCGAGGTCGTTGTTGAGGGTGCGTTGGATGTTGTAAACGGGATTAAAATATCGTAAAATACGATGTGACTATCAATCTGTCTACCAATCAAGGAGGTATTTATTGTTTGCTAGACTACTCGGCTTAGACGGAGAAATGGGCGGTAAGGGAGAGAGGGGAAAGAGGTACGATAGGTGTATGATGATAACTCCCTTATGTCATCGTCTAGCATTGGGTCTCTTGCATTATTTAGCTGGCTACAATTGGGTTTGTCATGAGCTAGCCGGCTTAGCATGATGGGATGGTTTTAGGTGGAAACCTGGAAGGGATGCTAAATTAGAACTTGTAGATATTGCATCGATCTGTCATATATCATCTAGGTATGAAATGATCATATAAGATAGTAAATTGTTAGACATGCCTCTTTGTGAGGCTTGCTATAGAATTGGTAGTAATTTGCTCAATTCAGGTCGATTAACTACCGATTCGTCCACTGGTCATCTCCAAATCGACATCGGACTCACTAGGATGTTGGCAATAGTCCAATCTTGTAGCGAAATTTGTATATTTCTAAGGAACCCATTTGACCATGACCAAGTACATCGTGGGCTATTCCCCCCATCCTTATCTTCATCGCGGATGGATCGGATGGATATATATGTACATTGCCCTTTCTTTTTTGATGTCTTTTTAATTGCAATTTCTTCTATCAATGGTGTTCCTCGCCGTGTCCTTCGCCATGGTGGTGGTCATCCTTGAGGAAGAAATGCTCATATCCGAGATACACCGCGAAGGCTACGGTCGCAATGCCTAGACCGGGGAAGCCGTTCTTGAATCGGTTCCATCGCGAGAATTGTCCTGTGTATCGCCATGCTTCCCTGTTCGAATATCTATGTCAGCAAACCGTTGTGACTATAATCCATTCCAACAGACTGTTTGATATCTTCTCGGCTGGAAGGTGATTGGGATAAGTGGGAATAATAGAGGTTGACTGACGCTCGCTCCCAGGGATCGTATCTCGGTTGTCCGGCCGAATGTGCGAACTTTCTGACGTCGAAACCGGTGATGTTTGGCTTCTCGCCGTGCGCTCGGAGTATCCTGTTGTTTGCAATCAGCAATTGTCCAATATGACTACTAAAAATGACACCGCAGATTCAATTGGCCTTACCTCGTGGGATACATTGTGATATAATCTGTGATGTGGTGAAGACGGGAGCGACCTTATGACGGTGGAAGCTCAATCAATCAAACATGTCAGTATCGCAGGTAGGTACGTATCGGATCACTGAGTGATGGAAATATCTCGGTACATTGATTTTCCCCAAGTAGTACCGGTTAGTTTCATGTGCTGAGTCATGATTGCTACGTAAATACATATTTCACTTGCACCTTCCAGAGGGAGCACACTAAGGCCAACACCGACGCTCGGACCATGATACTTGTCCATGACTTGCTAGAAAGTGGTACCTTAGGTATCGAATCGTACCTACCTGCTCCGCGTTGATCTACCTAGGATGCAGCTGCCGGTTTTCAGTACACGCTTTCCCGATCAACTTGCAACAGACTTTTTTACCTTTTGATAAATCCCAAAACCTTCGATCACTTCAACTTCCATACCCTTTCCATAAATCCAATACGCCGTAAGGGCATTAGGTCATTTTGTTTGCCCTATCGAACGCGCACGGCAAACCCCTCCTCTTATAGCGCGTATACAAAAGTCCGACGCAAAAGCAACCTATATTTTTCGATTGAGCCCATACCCAAAACTTCTCGCCGAAGTTCCCTAATGCAGCACGACTTTAGTCCACCATCCATACCGAGAACACGACGAAGAATCTAAAGAAATCGGCGATTCACGATTACACACCCAATGGCCCCTCCCTCGAGATTCGGGGGCGGCCCTCCTACAATAGCGCCTTATCAACACCAATTCCCGTCGCATCCTCCTCAAGGCCATGCGACAGCTCACCAGCCCAACGCCTTGTCCAACTCGGCGTACCTAGGAAATGCGCAGATGAGTCCCTTCGCCACAAATGGATTAGGGCTTGGTGGTGGTATTAACGCTGCCGCTGCTGCTGGCTTCGGCGTCGGAGATCAGACAGGCTTCGCTAGTCATGCTGCCAGATCTGGATTTCAACATGCCGCGCAATTACAGCAACAAGCACAACATCCTCACCAACCGGCACACGGAATGGGTGGCGAGCGACAAAACCGAGCTAATGGCGGCAAGTTGCGCATACGTGAAGTCTGGAAGCATAATTTCGAGGAGGAAATGACGGCGCTGATGGATCTTGTTGACGACTTTCCTTACGTTGCCATGGTAAGTATTTCGAAATACGAAATTCTTGGCGACTATTACTTGTCTTTGTTGCTAATGAGCCAATTTATCAGGACACCGAATTCCCTGGTATCGTCGGTCGACCTATGGGAAACTTTCGCGGAAAAAGCGATTATCATTACCAGTGCCTACGAGTGAATGTCGACTTACTTAAGGTGATTCAAATAGGAATCAGCTTGTTTAACGAGAAGGGCGAGACCCCCGCCGATCGAGTGAACGCATCAACCAAGGATGTTCCTCCTAATCTTCGGCGACATGCTGACCAAGGTTTAATGCCTCTGGCTTGGCAGTTCAACTTCAAGTTCTCCCTCAAGGAGGACATGTATAACCAGGCCTCTATCGAATCTCTCCAACAAGCCGGTATCGATTTTAACTTACTCGACCGGGATGGTATAGATCCGAAGAAATTTGCAGCTCTCTTCATCGCCTCCGGATTTGTTTGCTTCGACCAAGTGAAGTGGATCTCGTTCCATGGTGGTTATGACTTCGGTTATTTGACTAAATTACTTGGAGATCAGAAGCTGGCCAACGACGAGAGTGAGTTCGATAAGATCATGAAGAAATGGTTCCCCACTACCTACGATGTCAAGCACTTAATGAAGTTAGCTGTAAAGCTTCATAGTACCGGCATGCTTACCCCTTCAGATCCCGGTTCGGCCGAGATTATGCAAAAATTCGAGCAGAAGTCAGGCCTGGAGAGTATTGCGGATGCACTTAAACTTAAGCGAGTTGGTGCCGCCCACCAGGCTGGTTCGGACAGCCTTTTAACAGGGAAGGTGTTCTTTCAACTACGCGAGAGAATATACAACGGCGAAATTTCGGACGATCACATCGGCAAGGTTTGGGGTCTTGGGTTCTCCGGAATGGAGATGCCTAACTCAACACAGAATCCCGTTAACAACGCCGACCACAGCCCGTCGAACAATACGAACGGCAACGTGAATGGCGGCCCTACTACGCCAAGTACCGCAAACGCAGCACTTGCCAGTACCCCTGCGCCACAGTCGCATAACACGAATGGAATCGGCATGGGACCAATGACACCGGGCGGTGGCGGTGGCGTGTTCGGAGCATTCAACTTTCCTATCCATCCTAGATAGTGTCAGGTATGGGGATGCCCTTTTCCTGTTCTACCTGAATTTCATCGCGCCTTGGCCACAGCTACTAGCGAGGGGGGATCTTTACCGCCCTTCTATCAATATGCTCATATGAATGCTTCTACCCTCCACCAACGCCCAAATCTATTCCCCTGTCTATGCCCGTCACATACAATGTTTCTTTTCGAGTTTCACCGTGCTACACAGCTTTCTAACGGCTATGTAGCCAAACTTCAAGAAGATACTGTGGTGCCCGTGGTCTGGAATTCCACTCGTCCAACCTTCTCAACAAACGAACAACCTGTAACATATAATTCATCTCGTTCTAACGTTTCGCGTTCCACACAGCATTCCTCGATATCCCAACGGCAATATCAACGAAGGGTCAGATACAGAGCCTCCAGGCAGCAATGCCGTCGTACCCGCGCCCTCGAGCGACAGAAGTCATCGTCATCTGCACTCAGAAGTTCTGGTAGCACTGGAGCACTTGAAGAGGGATCTAATGAGGAACGTGAGAATCTTGAGAAGGGACTTGAAGAGTTTTCATTCCCGCCAAGAGAATCTTCTTCTGGCGATCTGACCGTTTAAGTGGAAACTCATTGGTTCCCAAGTAACGGCTAGCATCGATTTGCTCAAATGGACGACGAACTTTGCTTTAGACCTATCGATGCTTTTCATGCGGAAACCACGATCCTAGCGTTGCCTTTCTTCTCATTATTGTTTCCATGATGACGATCCGACATGCTTCTCGGTTCGGGAGGCTTAATTCGGATTATTCATCATCCTTGTCGTCGAAGCTCGGCCAGCACCTTCTTCGGCGAAAGGCGTGGATCGGACGTTATCATGAAAAGGAGAAAATTACGAAGGGGCATTTCTTTTTTTCTCGGCGTTCAATCGGCAGGTGCGCGCATGTACTTCTAGTGAAATGGGGGAGTAGACGGTCTTCAAGGGTTTAGTTGGCCGGATAGGAATCCTGCCTATGAATACATATGCTCAGAAAGGGTCACGCGTTTGTTGATTCCACTGAGATTTGCCTTACAATTTGCCGAATTCTTCTATTTCTATTCAGTGATATGGATCATGATGTAAAGATCTTTAGGCCAAACTCCCAAATTATGAATGCTGGCTTATGACTAGAAACACCCCCGTAATTCTTAAGTCTTAGGCATTTTACCCTACAGTAAGTGGGTAAATCCAGCGCTCAAAAAACCCTCGTAATAAATTTACTCTAATTCTTATAACGCAAAACATTTAGATAAGAGCGATATACATGATGTAGGTGAGCCGATTCTATTAGAACACTACCTAATGGTACACACCTGTCTACCCGTCGGAATGCATGTAAATGCCAAGTCCGAAAGTGAAAATGATCAGAAAGCCTCTAAACGCCATGCATGCGATTACCAATTTCCTAATATGTTGAACCCCGAAACAACGCCACCCCCATCTCCCCCGTTCTCGTCGATGCTGAGAACTCCGTCTTACACGTACACATGGACATAAGAATACACCAAAACTGCCCATAAGTCAGTCATAGGCCCCTTCTCCCACCCCTTTTCGTCAGCGATCGAGAAATCGCATTACACGATCACGTAATATACACCTTCTTCAACCCCTCCATACTATACACCTCACCGGTCCTCAAATCCTTCACCCGGCCATCCAATAATCCCGCTTTGCGCGCATATTCCTCCAACCTAGCTTTTCCGTACGCGCGGCCATTTGGCAGCAAAAGCAAGTCGGGCTCGACATGGCTCTTGCTGTGGAATGCGTAAGGCACGTTGCGGGCCAGCTCGTTCAGCTCCGTGCTACAGATCGGACAGACGCTAGCTGCGAGCGATAGACTAGTAGAATGAGAAGGCGGGCCAGCGGCTGAAGCTGGGTGGGAGGAATGGCATGCTGGAGTCTTGAGGGCGGATAGACCGGATGAGAGGGCGATGTGGAGGAGTGGGACGGAGGGGAGGGATAAGAGCGCGTTGTGGGTGGAGGTGAAGAGCTCGGCTAGCATGACCCATCGCGCAGGCGAGTACAGCTCGGAGTATGCGGGGATGTCGTGCGCGAAGCCGAAGGGAGGGCGGATGGCGATCATGCCGCAGGCTTTGTTGAATTCGTCCTTGTAGGTGTCTTTGTAGGGGAGGAGGAATTTGCGCGCGTATGCGAGGATGTCCAAGCTGTTGGTGCGTTGGTCTCGGACGAGTTCGATGTACTGCTGGAAGCGGAGCATGAATTCGAGTTTACTCTGTGAGTTTAGATGTTAGTATTATAATTATTTCCCATATGTACGTCATTCATGAATGTAGGGGTGGTGGTGATGACTTACATCCATCTTCCTCAGCTCCTTCTTCGTATCACCTGCCGTACACCAAGCCAGCGCCTCGGTAACGCTCCGATTTAATATGGATTTCCGGATTCGGCTCATCTGCTCGAAAGTGTCGAGGTCGACGAGTGGCACGATTTTCTTCGCAACGGCGAGGGCACGGGCGGACTCGTTGTACCCGCGGCGGAGCAGGTAATCCACCAGTAATCGGTCGAGGCGAATTCGGCTCCAAGCATCGTACGCTACATCATCGACTCCGTGTACGCTATATAATTCGGCTAGGTGAGCAACTCGTGCTTGCTCTTGCTGTTGTAGTCGAGCTTCCTCTTCTGCGAAGGTGGCGAGCTTTCGCTTGACGCCTCGAGCCCGGGCGATCATAGCGTCCAGGCTTCGGAGTACGTCCGCTTGCTGAGGTGCTTGTTGACCTCCTCGTCCACCTCCGTTGACACAGCCCGTAGCTGTTTCTCGTAGAGTATTTTTCACGTATGTTCCATCTTTCTCAACTTCGAAATGTGCGGATCGGAAATTCTTTCGCAGGAGCTCGATCGGGAGACGGAGGAGAGGTTGGTCCTGTTATAAGAGAAATGAGATATTTATCAGTATTGCTCTCGTGGCTATACAAATAGAGCTAGCTATAAGGTAGCTCAATAGTGGATGGTGAAGGTGTGAAGGAAAGGAATGCTCACAAGGAGAAGATGGTTCTCGTGATCGAGCTTGCTAGCTACGAGATCACTCATATTGAGAGGGTTTCTCTCCGACTTGGAGAACTTTGTTGTTTCCGCCTATAAGTTATGTATGCTCGGGTTGGAAATACCCGGATGTGGCCGTTTCTCTCAACCGTTCGCCGTTAGAAGGTCAATGTTGGGTTGGTTCGTATGTTGTAAAAGTGATGGAAAGCACGGTTGTTCGGTGCAAGGTCGGCAGTATGGCGTGTGTGAAGTATTGGTGGGGTGGTGCCGACTCCACTACGGCCCGGCTTCCCCAGAGTTAAAGTGATAGGCAACGTGCATTCCTATTGGCCTGTTGATAGCATGCAAGGATCCGTGAATACTTGTCTGGATGTAACTGAGTACCAACTTACGTTTTCGGTTTAGTCAAGTTGTTCTGGCAGACAGGCCCACTTAGTAAAGCTAGAATTGAGTTAAAGATTGAAAGATACTTGTACTTATGTATACGCTTTTACTCTTAACCAACATAGAATAGAGCCAAATTAAACGATCAAAGAATATGTAGAGCTATAGTCCATTATAAAAGACTTAGTTGAAGTCTTCTATGCTTCCCTATAAGATAAGACGAACATGCACATTGCTTATTTATCGATGCCGCTTACGGAGAAATAAGTATCTCAATGTAAGCTTCAATTACATGTATCTATCCACTCTGTCCCTGAGGTGCCTCTTATAAGTTGTATTAAGCATATATATGTACCTATTAAGTTGGGCTGATCTTCTGATTTTATCATATAGGTTAGACATTTAAATAATATGTGTAATGTTTGTTTCTTGGTGTAAGTGTATTACTTATATACATGTCCCAGAAAGGGTTTGGTGGTTTTGTTATGTAACAGTTGTAGGTATTCTTACCTAGGTAACTTTCCTCTTCATAGTCTTGTTACACACCCTGCTTACTATATGTTATATCGTGGCAATACTATAAATATATTTGATGATTAAAGAAATATAGGTATTAGCCATATATGCCGTTATCCCTGCCCATTTTATACTTATAGATTAAAATCGTATGGCTGTGGCGCCTGTCTTGTTCGGTGCTGCTGCGGAGGCGGATACTCCCGAACGGTCTCCTCAATGCTCACAAATTGCCTAGCGTAGCTTATGCAGTCACACACATCCAGTTCTGGTCACAGGAACAAGTTGCAGTAGACAAATACTCACGGGACTTTGTGAACTAACGCCTAAATGTTATGGTAAGCTGTTAGCTAGCCTCTTCTGACTAAGGAGAGGAAACAAGCAGGTCAAGGTTGGAAAGGTCACTTGACTTGTTGGCTTTCTGAGACTTCATATCACGCTTTTCACCTTGGGGAAGTTGTTGGGTACCCGGGTAGGTATCTATTGATAAGGGGTAATGTATGCGACATAATCTTGTATGCTGAACCAATTTATTTGCCGAACCCAGAAATAGTCTGCCTATCTGCAGGTATTGGAGGAGACCCACGGCAACATACGAAGTAGAATGGATGAATCCCATGTCATGCCCATACCGTCCCATTCAAAGGAGAGAAGGAAAAACCTGTCACTCAATCAGACCTGATGAAACAAACATTAGCTCTGAGACCCGTCCTCCTAACTTTTGTGACAGCTCAGCTCAAAAATGACTGTTTAAATAAACCCACCACCAAGGGATGTGATGCTTCCAACTTCCAACGGACGGTTCGTAACGTGGTAGAGGACAAATTTCTGAATCACATCAAGCCTTATAATGTTTCACATATAGAACCAAGTTATGCCATGGGCCGTTGTCTTGATCCCGTGCCAATTGTTGAACATGTACGTATAAGTATGGAGATAGATATAGTATGCTTGGTAAGTAACACGGTGGGTTCAACTGGGATGGAGGCGAGCAAGCTAAATGGAGGGAAGAAAAATCAATAGATGATGTAGGTAGAATGAATTAGGTGCATGTACTATGAATACATGTCTGCATGTGTAGATGGCAGGCAGACTGGGAGCAGAGAACCTTGCGTGGCCGGCGTGGGTGGCAGGATGTACCGTGTGGGGGCGTCTGCGGTAATGATTGGCTGATAATCAGGAACCTTCAGGTTATCCTGTAAGTTCTCCGACCAGCGCGACCCAGGGGGGAAAAAAAAATTGGAAAAACTGAGGATACATGTACCTAGGTAGGGGGAAGGAACTATTCCGGCGCGGGCGTAGGTGCGATCGAGAGAGGAAAAAAAAATGGCAAGGATTGAATAAGATGGGGATGATTGGGGGGTAAGAGGGAACGTACCTGCCTACAACTTTTTTTTTCCCTTCTTAGGAGGGACATCTTGGGGAGGGACGGAGCGCGTGTGGACCGTGCGTTTCGGGGGGTCATATGGTCTGAGCATGCCACCTTCAGTTGTTCTCCTACCGTACCTCTCTCTTTTTGTCTCCTCGACCGTGCATCTTTCCTTAATTTCTCTGTGATGCGCAAATTCAACATCTTTTTTTATCAACCATAAATTTTCTAAACCTGCACCACATTCCCAAATTACTCGGAAAACCCCCCCTTTTTTCGGTTCTTGTCTCGTCGCGCATTTTCAAGGCGTTGATTCGGCGGCTCTGCCTGGTCCGTTCCTTTGATATTCCCACAAAATCACGCCTATTCGAGGCTATTTCACTCGAAAACACGTGAAGTCACTTGACGCTGGAAGATCCAAGCACCAACCTAGGCATTTTGCGCTGCCGCATAGCATAGCATTGCACGAGACCTGGCACATGATCTCCCGTAAGTTCATTTTCGAGCTTTCTATCTCTATACCTCTCGTCGTCTTCTGTTGCGCAGCAATTCGAGATCGGGTATCGTTGCTGTCGCAGTCATTATCATCAGAGTCAATTCTTTATTCTTTCAATTTGCGACATCGCCATCATCAGCTTTTTTTTTTTTTTCTTCTAGCGAAAATATGCGAAATTTTTTATTTTGCGTCCGCAGTTCATCGCACCTCTCACGATGATCTACTTAGATGCAAAAAACTGTACGACTTGCAGATCTCGTCTGTAAATGACGTGGAGGTCCATCTAAGTCGCAATCCCCAATGCGCCCTTAACCATCTATAATCTGTCAGCCAAGCCACCTTTTGAAGAAAATATTTCTATCTTAAAAGCCATCGGCGCCGCCTTCATCATGTTCTCTCATCACTATCATTGATGTTAAACATCTTCTTGTCTACTTTCTTGACACACGTATATGTTTATTTTATGAATGCGCCAAAGTGCACCAAACACCGCTGTCGCTATTTCTTCCAAGCGACACTTTTATCTCAGCCCATTCAATTCCCCTTATAATTGATTTCATAAATAGTGGCGGCAATGCACATCTCTAATCTCTACGCATCGTAACGGCGATGTTATAAGTACTGACATTTATAGATTGGCCGTGACAAGATTGGAATCTGTCACATACTTTTGCGCGTACGGTTCGTGTACGCGCCGTGTATAGACCGTGTCGGCGGTGGGATCCACAGTAGGTGTCGTTGATCGACTACAATCAGTCCCCAAAGCTAAGTGACCATGGAGTCCAACGGCTACTCTCATACGGAGTCGCTCCTTGAGCCTCTGACTCATATCAATCGCGAGCAACTGGCCGCCATGGCTGACGCTGCCGTTGCGGATCAGAACGATTTTAACGCCTCGTCGCCTACTAGTCCTAGCCAGAAGAGGAAGCGTGGCGCGCCAGATTCTTCCCCCGATTTACGACGAGCCAAGCGCATCCCTACCACAGCAATGTCGGGAACTCCAGATGCAGCTTATGTCGAGAGTGCCGTTGAAGCCGCGCAAGCAGCAGCACAAGCGGCAACGAACGCTGATTTTTCTGCCCTCCAGCAGGCTGCAGCTGACCACCATGACGCTTCCGACCACGCAAATGCGTCGAGCACCGCCGCGGCCGCGCTAGGAACAATGTATCCCACCATACATGTTCCTCAGCCCACAGAGGAGACGTTTGCGGCGCAAACCGCAGCAGAATCAGAACACCACCAGGATTCATTTGGTCATAATGACATGATTCACAACGACGGTCTTCCTGATACGGCTGGAAATGGTCTTGTAACGCCACAAAATGGTGTCAGACCTCAACCAGCATACGCGACATCGGCATCAAATTCTAAACCAGCTGTAGGTTCGGAAGAGTGGCATAAGATGCGCAAAGATAATCACAAGGAGGGTATGTTTTGTGTTTAGCACACTACTTAGGAAGTATTATGCTAATCATATCATAGTTGAGCGTCGCCGACGCGAAACCATTAATGAAGGTATCAACGAGCTTGCTAAGATTGTTCCTGGATGCGAGAAGAACAAGGGATCGATCTTGCAACGTGCTGTCATGTTTATCACTCAGTTAAAGGAAAACGAGGTGCAGAACATTGAAAAATGGACGTTGGAAAAGCTACTCACAGAACAAGCCATCCAAGAACTCAGTGCTTCTAACGATAAACTCAAGTTGGAATGCGAACGAGCCTACCGAGAGTTATCGATATGGAAGCAAGTTGCACAAAGTGCAGGATTACAGCCCCCGCAGTCCAAAGAGGAACCTTCTTCATGAGCCATCCCCGCGGCTATAAATCGACTCGATGCTTCCTATAACAGATGATTATATCTGATTTCATCCCTTCTATACCCCCAAGCGACTTCACTTCTATTACAGCATCGAGTCTCGTTAAGCATCAGCTCCACACCCATATGAACGGATACCTACGTACTCCACACGGGCTCGATTGCAGTTAGCACATAGGACATTCATGGCGCATGATTCCCATCAAGTGTTGATGGGCGTCAGGTTTAAGGATTTGCGGAATTTGGTCGAAAGAGACCACAAAGGGCATAGGCGTTGGTAGGAGGCTCGTTTACTTCTGACCCCTAGTTCAGGCATTAGACTAGAGGGTAATCCCCAAGAATATAAGCCTTGGGCAATGTGTGAAATATATTTCCTCATAAGGGAATCGTGACCGCTGACATCTTGGCGGGTCGTAGCATGCGCTGCCAGGTTGCATTGTGCATATGCAGGCGGCCGTAGATTTTCTATATGAGTAATGAAGGTAAATGCCCTCGGATGCACTGCTCACGATGTAAGACTATAAATCCAGAGCAGAAAGGTGGAATACTAAAGACTCGTGCCTCTACATACTTCTTACGACTGTACAATGAACACCTACTTTCAAGAAATGGTAAGTCTGCTTGATTTCTACCTGACTTGGGACGAATATGCCGCAACATCTTGGGTTACTCTAGATTCATATATGCCTCCCGCGTGCCAAGGAACTTTGGGGGGGAGTAAATCTGGGAGCATGCAGCCCAGTCCAGGGAGGAACCTAGCTAGATAAATCGAATCAGCCATGACCGGCAGGGCACGGTGTGGGTATGATTGGCGCTAGATGCACAATACAATGCAAGGCAGATGCAGGCTATACACATTTATATGTGCATAGGTAAGGCAATGTATTAATTACTCCGGAGGTACGAATAGAGAGTAGTCCAGATTCTCTCTAGTATCTTGGTAAGGCAGCAAGTCTACGAGAAAAATATAGAATATTCCGTGATATATTCTCTACCATTTGAGATCCTGCTTATATAGTTGGGTTTAGGAGTACGAGGTATGCATGTACCTACCTATATACTCTTTACGGGAATTTGTATTCTAAAATGTGAGCTATCAATACCAACTACATAATTATTGATACATTCATAGTTGCCCAATATCATGGTGACGTTATGAAAAGCAAACAACACCACGAATCAGTCGGGTGCTTACCTACCCCATATGGTCTAAAGTTTCTTATTGACCCTATTTGGATAGTGAGACGGTCGAAGTTAGATGACAGTAACGACGATATTGTCAATGCAGGTAACGTTCGGTACACAGCATAAAATATTAATATGTTGGTTGATGGTTGGGTAGGTAGTCGGGTACCTGAGTTGAGTAATTTGTAGAAATTGTTGATTGCGAAAGTTGACCTCGGATTTATATTTCAGGAGATATCCATGGATGTAAGGAATTCTGGGTTTGGCTTACGTTGAAGGATATATACAAATTAACAGGCTGAAGCCTGGGATGTATCTAAACTTGAGTCTGCCTCGTTGTGCACTTAGCTCCGAGTTACATCTCGGAGTTCACTAAATATGCACCTCGGCTTTCATTGCCTTACTTAAAAATTCGATGCTGTTCTTCCACGTGTGATTATTTGCGACAAATCCACAGCAAAGGGAAAACATGCTATACAAGGCTGAATTAGGAATTCATTATACCTATCCACCTAGTCTGGCGACCGTCAGTACCTTGAGATAAGTACCGAGCGTTAGTTATCCCTCATGTATGCACGTACACACTTAATACGCTAAGGAATTAGAGATGATTCTGGGCAACCTAGAGCAACATGCGGCCCACATGTGGCGTCCTTTGAGTGCCAAAATGCTAAAAGTTTGTTATAGTTTAGGTGGGATGCGCTCCTGTGAAATCCACTGAATGGTACATGTAAATGGTACGAATTTAGCGGGCGGTGCTTGCACAAAATTTCATTTGGCTTTTAGGTAATCCACCACCACGCACCACGCACCACGGCGCGATTTCCTCAGCACCATTTTTCCCTTTGACTTGCCCTCCTCTTTTTAAATTTCTTCTCACTCTCTCACTTCTCTCACTCCTCTCTTTCTTAACTTTTCCCAACCACACATCCTTCTTTTCCCTCCTTCACCATAAAATAGCAACAATCACCACCAACAACAACAATATCAACGAAACCAAACCTCATTCGTCGCTTCCGGCGTTTGTAGCTCTTGCTTGTTACCTCACAGCAATAGCGAGATTGAATCTTGCGGCGGTCGCTGCTAATTAAAATCTGTTCTACTGAGCCCATTTTCACGCTGATCTCAGCGAACCTCACAACCCTCAATCCTACGATTACTTCTATCCACCTAGCCGCCTAAGCGCTACCTACATACACAAATCTCTGATATTCAGAATCTTGAGGTACAAGGTCTGCTTTTCGCTTGCCGTCTCAAGACTTTCAACAAAACCAACTACACCCTCTACGTAAAAGGGTACGGGACACACTGTTGTTTATGTATCAGCACGACAAGACCGCTGTGTTTAAACACCTACCTCCCCTCACGCTGCAATCATTTCGCATACCGCGGAAACCTTGTAGCCCTAATATCAGCTCCGTCGGTTGAAACTGAACCGTGATCGCATCACCCGAGTTAATGCCTCCGAACGCCGGCAATTATCATCCAGTCTTCCCTATGTCCACTAGGAACAGTCCTCTCTATTGAGATCCTGGCTTGCCCGATCCTCTCCCACATCATCCTCCAACTACCTACGAATGACTATCTAGTCTTCTCGTCTCTATTTCCAAGGAATTCGCATCCGCCCACCAACAAAGGCCGAAACCGTCTCTCTGCTTCGATAGCCTTATTAGAATAACACCGCAAAAATGGCGCTCGTCAACGTTCGTCGTGATGTCACCGATGCCTTCTATCGCTACAAGATGGAAAAGCTCCAGACTAAAATTGAAGGCAAAGGCAATGGTATCAAGACTGTCGTCGTCAACCTGAGCAGCGTTGCTGCATCTCTTGCCCGTCCAGGGTCCTACGTCATCAAGTACTTCGGTTTCGAGCTTGGCGCTCAGACCAATATTGACCCTCCTGATGATCGTTGGATTATCAACGGTGCTCACGATGCCGCTAAGTTGCAAGACCACCTTGATGGTTTCATCAACAAGTTCGTTCTCTGCAAGAAGTGCAAGAACCCTGAGACCGATGTCGTTATCAAGGATGGCCACATTGTCCTTGACTGCAAGGCTTGTGGTCAGCGCACTGACGTCGATCTCCGCCTGAAACTGAGCGGTTTCATTCTGAAGAACCAGCCTAAGAAAGGCGGCAAGAAAGACAAAGCTGAACGCAAGGCCGCTCGCAAGGCCAAGCAGCAGGCTCTTCAGAATGGCAACAAAGAGAACGGCCAAGGAAGCGATGGCAAGAATTCTGAGAACAGCTCTAACGAGACCAATGACAAGAATGATGAGGATGACGATGCTGGTAGCGACGACGAGTTTACTCGCAAGATCAACGCCGACGCCCAAGTCATCGACGCCCCCACTGAGGTTAAAGACGATGATTGGGCTGTCGATATGTCCGAGAAGGCTGTCAAGGCCCGTCAGAGCCAGCTACCCAGCGAGTTCCGTCAGAAGCTTGTTCTTGGCGGTGCTGATGACGAGGACGAGGATGGAGAGGGCGGTGGCCACACTGTCTACGACACCCTGGGCGACTGGATTCAGGAAGAGGCTACTAAAACCGGTAGCATTAACAAGGTTGATGACATCTCTATCTATGTCAAAGCTAAAGAACTTGGAATCGAGACCAAGCACAAGACCGTCTTGGTTCTAGTCCAGACTCTATTCGATGAGAACATCATCACTCAGATCCCTAAGCGTGCCGCGATGCTCAAGCAGGTAAGCCAATATTCCTCCCCAATTCACTCAATATCTTATTAATTGCTCTCAGGTCATTACTACTGAACGCCACGAGAAGGCCCTCCTGGGTGGTATTGAGCGTCTCCTCTCTTCCCAAGGCAAAGATCATCCTGAGTTGATGACTAGCGACAAGATTGTGAAGGTCCTTCATCAGCTCTACGACAAGGATCTTGTCAGCGAGGAGGTGATCCAGAAGTGGGGAACCAAGGCTAGCAAAAAGTATGTCGATCTCTCGACTTCGAAGAAGATTCGCCGTGCCGCGGAGCCCTTCCTCAAGTGGCTTGAGGAGGCCGAGGAGGATTCAGATGAGGAGTAGATGGAAGGACTTCGGTGTTGACCAAATTGCTCGTTGTAGTTTATGGATTTCCTTAATCTGTTGATTTGGTTTCGCTTTGGTTTATTTCCTTCTGCCCTCTGGGGATATCTTCCTTTCTATTCGGCAAAAAGCCTCACGTCTAGCGAGGCATGCTCAGATTCGTTTCGCGCATAGAGAAAAAAACGGCCTCGAGATTCAAGACCGGTTATCATTGTTTTCTCTTTTTGACCTACGATGAAGTTGCTTTAGTTTACCTCTTCACATCAATAGGAACAATTCCACTCCCAAAGCTAGAATGTTTGTTTCGAAGCGCAAGATACATATGTGAGATGTTGATTTAGTGTAGTGATGCAGCGATTACCCACTAACCTAACCAATCAAAACGCCGATTATCTTTAACCAAAAGTCTATCGCCTCTAAACCTCATTAGTATTACGAACATACCTCCTTTAAAGTATCACGGATTCACAGCACGCAATAAGTTTATCATTTTTTTTTGTGGCGTCAAAATGCGCATTCATCTGTGTAACAGCAAGAAGCTGGTGTCTGCCTGTGTACATGAAGCGGGCCACCCGCTCACCCGTGAATATTTTCTCCCGTCCTCGTACTCCTCATGCTTTGTGCTATTGTGCTTACCCTCCTACCCATCCTCCAGCACAAACCACTAGCCGCGTGCATATAAGCTAGCTAGCGATACCCCTTTTGTCTCTAAACTCAGAGACAGACACAAAGGCGCGATATGCGCAAACCTTCCATCCTAACCGATTGGCACGCCTCCCTGGGGTATCGAGGATTACAAGCCGTTATACAGCAAATTGAGGAGAAAATGCAGAATCATGTAAATGAAAAATAAACTCATACAAGAAGCGACCCCTAACTCCCTAACCATTCCGCGAAAGTCGAACGCTTGGAGGAAACTAGTGCTGTAGAAAGAGTCAGTAAGTGCGTCAAGAATTAAAGCGGGAGTTAAATAGGAATGAAAACATACCCGTCCTACCAGGTTCCCTCGGCATCCCACGCACCGCCATTGTTATCGTCATTGTCGAAGGCCCCGCCAGAACTCTGAGCCGCAGTAGGGTCTTGCCAGCCCGAGCGCTGATTGCCGTCGCCGTCGCCGAAGTCGTTAGGCCACTCGCTAGCGTTTCCGGCGTCTCCGAAAACGTTGTCTGGACTCAGATGACGGCCCTTGGGGCGGGCTGGGGATGTAGCTGGCCAGCTACCGGGTACGTGATTTCTAGGTGGGTACCCGTAACTACCGCCGCTACCGTTACGACTGCCATTGCGGCTACCGTTGTGACTGCCGAATCCGTTACCGTTATTGCTGTTGTTATCGTGACCACATATAGCGCCACCAAAGACATTGTTGGGGCTGTGGCGCGGGCTATTGTTGCCGTTGCCGTTGCCGTTGCCGTTGCCGTTGTTGCTGCCGTTGTCATTACCATCACCGAATCCCCACTCGCCAGCGTTATTGCCGTCCCAGCCCTGGTCGTTACCAGGCGCCCAATCTCCACCGCTTTGGTTCTCCCGGTTTTGATTGCCCCATGCCCCAGACATCGGGGTAGGCTCTTTGCTCGCAGTCTTACTCCTACTCTTACTCTGATTCGATGTCCTAGCAATCGCTTCAACCCTGTCGTTTAGAATCATATCATTTAGACTGCTGAGAAGATCCTTTTTCTCGCCGTTCCAGCTACCGTTGCCGTTTCTCCAATTCTTAGTACGGTTCATACTTTTGTTTGAGCCATGGGAGCTCGCACGCTCAACGGTGGGCATCACGTTTGATTGACCACCACGGTCGCTGGGGGGTGCAACTTTGGTGGCTTGAGGTTTTGCGGGGGGGGATTTCATGACGGGTTCGCCTATATTCACACACCCGTCTCCTTGGTACCAGTTGTTTGGGTTTATTTGGGGTTGGGGTTGGGGAGCCTGTTGTCGCATATGGGGAGGAGGAGCCGGTCCAAGAGGTCGTCCAAGCTGTCTACCAGAAGCAGGTATATACCTGTTGCCCCATGCATCTTGCATTATATTCTGTGGCCCGTTTCCAAACGCGCCTGGTCCCGGTTGATTGTTAACTCCGCTGGGATACATTCCACCGTATGGGTTACCATAAGCTGGCCCGTGGTATACGCGTGCAGAGCTATTGACATTGTCGAAGAATGCGTTAGGTCGAGGGTCTTGATCCGTCTCATATAGGTGCTCGACGTCTAATACACGGCGTTGAGGCGGTAGAAGAGAGTTGGCTTGACGGGTTCTAGGTGTAAGAGCAGATTGGCGCACCGCCTCCCTTCGTTCCTCTCTTTGTCTTTGTCTTGCCCCGTCTTCCTCTACGTCTTGGGCATCATCAACATCGAGATCGGCGAAGAGTTTTGCGGATTTGTTTCCGTTCCAGTTCTTATTCATGGCTTTCCCCCCTTGCTGCTTTCCTTGATTTCCTTGCTGTTTATTTTGCTGACCTTTCTGGGTGGCTGGTCTTGCGGCTTCTTGGTTATTCTTGCCCTTAGCGTTCCCCTTTTTCTTTGGGGTTTCCTTCTTAGGACTTGCCTCGGCTTCGCTTTCACTAGTTGCGTCGTCGGTTGCAGGCTCGGTCTTATAGGTGATCTGCTTGCTGTTATCTGCTTGCGGCGCCTGGGGTTGCTTGGTTTCCTGTTTGACGTTTATGACCGCCGGACTGGTGTCATGGTTATTATACTCATACTCCTGTTTCGTATCATTGAAGGTGACTTGCTTGGTATTATTTGAATCCTTTTGCTGCGAGCAACAACAGTTGTATGGGCAGCAGCAAACAGCTTGAGAGCAACAGGTGCAGTCGCAACTTTCCTCAGACGAATCGGATTCAGTATCCGAGTCAACAGGAATTACGACGGGAAGTTGCTTAATTTGGTGCATATCATGTATGCGTCGAACTTGGTCCGTGTCGTTGACGCTCACAACCCGGGTGGAACGTCCGGTTCTTGGGTAGGTCAGCTGGATGGTGTCGGATTGCGCCCTGTCGTTGGTGTTGAGCGCCAGGTTCCAGACATCTCGATTTTTATTTGACGTATGAGTCTTGGACTTCTTTTTGTCCCTCGGTATACAATTGCGGCCCACAATCCACTCGGCGAATGAATTAGGCGGCATGGTGTCGGTATTGACGACCTGTCGTGGAGAGAACGGACGGGATAGTAAATGAGGTGAGAATTATCGGGTGTGACGCCGAATAATCACTCGAAAGGCGATTTCAGATGATGAATGTAATAAATGTGAAAGTAGACAGTAATATGAAAGAAGTGAAATCGCGAGATTGGTACAGGTACCAATCGGTCGGCGTCGAAATGGTGATGATGAAGTGAAGAAAAAAAAAGGTATGAAGGTGGGAGGAGTTTGGGTGGATGAAAGAACTCGTGAAAAAAAAGGTGGTATAAGTAGAAAAGAAAGATAGTTTGTGCATCGAGAAATCAACTTAGCGATCTCTTATCGGATGAATGATCTTTGCACAGTGGTTGTTTCCCTATTGCTAGAAATTCTTTCGCACTTTCCTCTTTTCAATATTCGTCTTCCTATACTAAAAATCAGATACTTTATACTGTGACGTATCTATGCACAGTACATCACGTGTAGTGCCTTTCCCGGATAGTTCGCGTTGATATGTTATTAGCACATGGTAGAGATATGTTGATATATTCAAGCACAGCAATGATATCGTAATATGAGATAGAGATAAGAGATGCGTACCTAGACACTGTGGATTGGAAGATTGATGCACATATACCTAGGTAACGAGGTATGTACACACAACGCCTGGAGAAACTAGACTGTAATATCATAGCTTTGCGATCTCGTCCTGTTCAATCTTACTCCACCTCTTGTTAATATTGATGTTTTGCCAATATACCCATACACCTGCAGCGACCCCTATCGGAGGGACAAGAAGGCAGACCCAATTCCACCATGGCGGGTTAATTGCCCTAATTTTCTCGAGCGCAGCATCTATGTTGGCCTTTAGCTCCTCCTTCGACCCGTCGTTCCATATAACCACCCCCTTCCCTTTGCCCCTTGCTTCACATCTCTTTGCCTTGAGCCTCACATCTGTCTGACTTTTTATGCGATTTTGAGCGTCTTTCTGGCTTAAATGAGGGTCACGCGCCATGAGCCTTTTCATTTGCACTTCAGGATCCCGGACAGCCACAACCATTACCACGCCGGATAGTTTATCCCATCCACTTTCGAAAAGTAATGGAATATCAAGCACGACGGCCCAGTTGCCCTTGATATAGTTTCGAAAGAGAGACCTATACACCTCCTTTCGTACCTCCGGATGAACAATTCCATTGAGAACATTTCGATCCTTCTTCTTCTCTTCACTATTTCCGAAGACACGTTTCCCCAATGCTGGCCTATTTAGCGGTCTGCCTTTGCCATCCGGGCCATTAGCTGGCATAGAGTCCGAAATTGGAACCAATAAGTCTGGTGTGCTAGGTCCGAAGTAGTTCACAATAGCGTTATAGCCTCTTGTCCCAGGCTCGACCACTTTACGGGCGAATATATCGGCATCGACAATAGGTAATGAATAAGGAGGTGAAGCCAATATAGTGGATACCGTTGATTTTCCAGTGGCTATAGAGCCAGTTAGGCCTATGAGCAACATGATTTTGGCGGTTAAATTGATATGATATGAATGGTATTGAGATTGTAAAAGAATAGATACTACCTAGGTATGTATATACGAGTATGATAGTTGAGTTTTATCGAAGATGGATAAGGTTAAATCATGTTTAACGAAGCAGCTACCGTTGATGTTGTCACGAGTCACGAGGGGTTCCAGAATTAGCCGCATTATCGTACCTTATCGACTTGGGTAGGGTTGCCACCCCTCTCTCCTAATCGCGCTAGCGTTTTGAAGCAATGCATTACCTATTTAGGAAACCCCTTGATGCATTCTAGCAATCGAGTTCTTTGAGCTGCAGAATGAATTGTACTTGGGTACTTAGTATCGATGCAGGTATTTTGGATGGTGTAACATCATCGAAGATCCTAATCTGCAGTTCGTATGTGGGTTAATGTTAACTCAAACGGTTCTTCTCTTAGGAAGTTTGCTTTTTTTTTTTATGGTCAAGTATGTTCCCTCTTAATCCAAACCTCGGAGATTTTCCACGTAGAAGTCGTTAAAAGGTAACCTAAATAAAAGAAGTACCAATAGTATCAGTTTTCCTCTCTAGATCGCATATACGCAGTGTTACGGCTGTACACATTTCGCGTGGTTATGACTTGCATACCTAGATACTTGGGTACATTTTATGTAGCTGGCCTACGAATTGTGACGCAACAAGGAGGACCCTGCTAGATTGCGGGGGAGGGGTAACATTTAAGGTGAGGGGCATTTTCACCACCAGAAAAATTTGGAAGGGGACTAAGCTTCATCTACAACAACCTTTCCTCTCGATTGCGAGATTGGACTGTGTGGTGTCCCTATTTAATATTAGAGTTATTACCTTGCTTAATATTTCCTGAATATTCGCCATGGGAATTGAATACCCGCTTCGTGTTCTTCTTATCGGCAATGGAGGAAGGGAACATGCGATCGCGTGGAAGCTCAGCCAGTCGCCTCTGGTAGAGTCCATCATAGCCGTACCCGGAAATGGAGGCACTGCGACTTGCCCTAAGACTACCAATAATACCTCCGTTTCAGCTGAAGATTTTCCGGCCTTACTCGAACTCGCGCGAAAGAACAATGTGAACTACGTGGTACCCGGCCCAGAAGCACCTCTTGTCGCGGGCGCCGTTGATTTCTTCGAGAATGCGGGCCTTAAGAGTTTTGGTCCTTCCAAGAAGGCCGCGCAGATGGAGGGCAGCAAGACCTTTTCGAAGGACTTTATGAAGAAACATGGTATCCCCACAGCGGCCTACGAGAATTTCTCCGACTACGACAAGGCCCGAGAATATCTCGACCAAGTACAACACGACGTAGTGATAAAGGCGAGTGGATTGGCTGCTGGCAAGGGCGTTATAATGCCTACATCAAAGCAAGAAGCGCACCAGGCGCTCAAGGATATTATGCAGAATAAGGAATTCGGATCTGCTGGAGACGAGGTGGTTATCGAAGAATTTCTGACGGGCGATGAATTAAGCGTACTGACTTTCAGCGATGGTTACACAATTAAATCTCTGCCTCCCGCGCAGGATCATAAGAGAATAGGGGAAGGAGACACAGGACTGAACACAGGAGGTATGGGATGTTATGCGCCGACTAACATCGCTACACCAGATCTTGTCGCGCAAATTGACCGGGATATCATCCAGCCGACGATTGATGGCATGCGCAAGGACGAGATGCCATTTGTCGGTGTTCTTTTCACAGGACTCATGATCACTTCGACCGGTCCGAAGGTACTTGAGTACAATGTGCGATTCGGAGACCCCGAGACGCAGACTGTCTTACCATTACTGTCGCAAGATACGGATTTGGCTAAGATAATGGTCGCGTGTTCCGATCGATACCTGGATAGTGTCCTAATTAAGGTTGAGCCGAATTTCAGTGCAACGGTTGTCGTTGCTGCAGGTGGTTATCCCGAGGCATACGCCAAAGGAGATGAGATGAATGTGCAGACACCTCCCGAAGGCATCAACATATTCCACGCCGGAACGAAGCTAGCCAATGGCAAATTACAGACAGCAGGTGGTCGAGTAATAGCTGCTAGTGCTACTGCAGCTGAGAGTCTCCGCGCCGCCGTCGACAGGGCCTACGAAGGCGTGAAGCTCATTCAATTCAATAAGATGTACTATCGCCGAGATATCGCGCATCGCGCTTTCAAGCCTACATCCGATACTAAGGAAGCTCTAACGTATGCTGAGGCGGGCGTAAGCATCGATGCCGGGAATCAACTTGTGGAACGAATACGAAATGCTGTTAGATCAACAAGGCGAGCCGGTGCCGATGCCGAGATCGGTGGCTTCGGAGGCGAAGTTGACTTATCCAAAGCCGGCTTCTCAAGCGACGCCCCAATTATAGTCGGCGCTATCGATGGCGTAGGAACAAAACTCATGATCGCGCAGGCGACGCGCAACCACACAACTGTGGGCGTTGATCTCGTGGCCATGAACGTGAATGACCTCGTCGTCCAGGGTGCCGAACCCGTTATGTTCCTCGACTACTTCGGCTGCAGTCGACTTGACCCCGAAGTTGCCGCTGTATTCGTTGAGAGTGTTGCCACTGGTTGCCGTGACGCTGGGTGTGCTCTTGTCGGTGGTGAAACGGCTGAGATGCCGGGTATGTACCGTGACGAAGACTACGATGCAGCTGGTGCTGCTATTGGTGTTATGCGCCCGAGCAATCGTCTCCCGCGCCACGATGCCATGGCTGAAGGCGATGTTATCCTAGGTCTCGCGTCGTCTGGTGTTCATTCTAACGGCTTCTCTCTTGTGCGACGCATCCTTGCGCGCGAGAAGCTCGATTATGCTAGTCCCGCGCCTTGGGATACGTCGAAGAGTGTAGGTGAATCCCTCCTAACGCCGACCCGCATCTACGTCAAATCTGTGCTCTCCGCGCTACCACAACTCAAGGGCCTCGCCCACATCACAGGCGGTGGACTTATCGAAAATATCCCGCGCGTCCTACCGAAACATCTTTCCGCCGAGGTCGACATTGCAGCCTGGCCCCAACCACCTGTTTTCAAATGGCTCGGATCCGCAGGCAACGTCGCACCTTCGGAGATGGCGCGGACTTTCAACAACGGAGTTGGCATGGTGGCGGTAGTTGGCCCCGCGGACGTGGAAGTTGTGAAAAAGCAATTTGAGGGGGCTGGGGAGACGGTGTATACCATTGGTAGATTAACGGCTCGATCTGAGGGTGGCGCTGGTTGCGTGCTCAGGAATTTGGAGTCGTGGAGTTAAGGGTTAGATAAAAAGCAAAAGGGAATTAAAAATGGGAGTGGGAGGGCACAGTATAGTTAGCTAGCTGGTAGGATGGATTTCGTCGATATGTATTCGCATTTACATCATGAAATTTACAAAAAAAATTTTTTATTTGGTTATATCTCAATACATGACCTGTACAGCAGTGTTGATACGCCGCTAGGTATAGTTGTAGGTTATAGTAACAGTATAGACAAGATGTATATATGTATGCTTGCTCAATGCTCGTGTCACATCATCTCGATAGCGACAATGAAAACTCTACTTCACCAATATCAACATCTGCGCCGAAAATGAATTTGAAAGTGATGAAAGCATAATGCGGTCCGATCCAAAATAATAAAACGCCAACATGCATACCCATGATGTTATCCCAATCTAGTCCAGCTAAAGCAAGCTATATATGCTTCTAATAAAAAGGCAGGTAATTTGTGACAGCGTACTGATTTACATCTCGTCGTTTGCCCATGCGGCATCTGCATCGTCACCTTGTTCCTTCTCCCATTCCTTGCACATTCCAACCCAGTTGCGATGAACGCAATGAGACCTTGGCGATCCCGTTGGCTCAGGTTCTGGGTTGGCAGTAGGAAAGGGCACAGAGGGGGGCGAAGTGATGAGATGAGATTGCGTTTGTGGCAGTGACGTCGAGGTACTTGTTGTCGTTGTCGTCTTATCGTTACAACCCCACCAACCTGGCGTCTCACACGTAGTAGTCGTAGTTGTGATAGTAGAGGTAGTGGTGGTGGTGATGCTAGTAGTTGTTTGATCCTTGCAGCCGAACCAACCGGGAGTTTTGCATGTAGAGGTTGAACTGCTACTGGTTGAAGTAGTGGTTCCAGTTGTTGTCGTAGTCTCGTCAAGGCAGCCCCACCTATATATCGTTAGTCATTAATTTCAAAAACATGGGAGGCAGATCTTACCATCCAGGAGTCTGGCAGGTGGCGGTTCGAGTACGAGTAAAACTTGTACTAGAGCTGCTTGAGGATGTTGTTCCATCTGTACTATTACTTTCATACATCTTCCAACCCCCGCAATCCCGGCATTCCGGAGTGAACTTGCATTCTGGAACGGTATCGTATTTCTTGATGACGTCGTTGATCACTGATCGGATCTTGTGAGTCCCAATACCTACTCGCCAGCCGTGGTCCGCGACCGTGTCATATGTGCACTCATGACCAGTATGACATGCGGACTCCATTGCGTAACCCGCGAATGAACACGAAGCTGTTGCACCGTTACACGTGCCGATATATATAGGATCAGCTGTGTGCCCGAAGTGGTACAACGCTGTGTATTCGCGGGTTTGAGGATATTCAGGGTTTGCGTGCGGAGGAACTGGGAGACCCAATCTTCCAGCAGCTAATGCCTCAGGAACAGCCTCGAATGTAACGACGGGAAGCCCATAGGTCAACCCGAGGAGAGAGCTAACCGATCCACCTAATGAATGACCAGCAACCCAGATGTTTGACTCTGGATACAGTTCCGTGACGTTTGCATAAAGCTCACGTGCTGCCTGGTAGTACCTATTTTCCTCACGCAGCGCCTTCTTTACACACGTGTTGTTACAACTATAAGTCCCTGTCGCGCAATCGCAGACCTGATGCCACGACCACTGGCCTTGCTGAGCACAGCAACAGCTGAAGAAGAGGTTGTCGTTGATTTTGTCGTTAGTAGTCGTGCCCTCTCCATCAAAAACTGCTGGCGAAGTTCCTTTCAGACCAATGATAACCGTGGAATTCGTCTCATCCCCCCAAATGTGACCTCTTAGTCCATCAGTCTCCCAGCCGAAATCAGCGCTTCGATTGAATGGCTCTCCAACTTCGTCCCAATCTGGCATTCCGGGTTTCTCCACGTAAGCGTTGGAAGCTACAAATGCCATACTCAAAACGGTTGCTTTATCCGTAACATCGGGGCCCGAGACATCGTCGACGGTCCATGCGGATGGACTACTCGCGATAATATAACCTCGTTCGCGAGCCTCGGCGACTAGCGGATCCACAGTACTCGGCCGTCGGTCAACGAGACGTTCGATCTTCCGAGGCTGGCTCTTCGCCTTTAAGGGTAATATTCGCTCCGCCTCTTGTCCATTTTCACCAGCCAGCCATACTTCAGCTTCCGGTTCGAGTATATCCTTCCTTCGATGAAGCCCGGGATGTCGATACGTCCCGTGATGGAATATGTGACGTAGGGTGAAGGTGTGTTCGGCCGGTTGCGGCGGTTCAGGTATCAGAGGTGTAAGTATCGGTGTATCTGGGTATATTGCCCCTGCGTTTTGGATAGTAGCAGCAGCTGGAGAAGAAGATATGGCGAGGAATGAAAGGAGTAGTTGAGCTGTTACTCTGCCGGCAGAGCGACAGGTCGAGGTTGGTCGTTTCCGTCTCGCACCCATGGTTTGTTGTTTGTTTTGGGCTACGACTAAGGACGATAGGAAAGCAGAATGTGTCTCGTCGATGTTTATTTCCGATGGATAAATACCTCGATAGATTACAAAGACAGGTGAACACAAGAAATGAAAGATGTCTCAATAGGAGGTGAGGTGTAAAGTTGTTGAGATGATGGATAATGGAGATAGGTGGTTGTAGTGTAAGTGGTCACGGCTCCAGGAATCCCCACAGCGCACTTGCGACGGGCTTAGGTGCTGGGTGCTTAGGTGGGTTTCCCTATCGCGTGGACAGTGGCGTTGGCCTATCTGCTACCTAGGTATTCGACCTATGACAACATCGGATTTAGAGTTGGCCTAATATTGGATGTATTACTTAATCCTCTATAACTATAAGTTAGCCTAAGGAGGGAAAGGTCCGATCACCGATCTCCACCCCAACCATTTTCAACCCATTTGTGTGAAACGAAGCGGTAAAAGGAGGTACATTGCTTTGGAGCTACATATGTAGTCTCAAGCTTTATCTTTCTGTACCTTCCCACCTAAACAGACAAGACTCAATTATTCTATGTCAATGTTATGTATCTGTGAGTAAATGTATAAAATACGGGAACGATGGTTCTAGCAACGTGGATCCACACCCATTTATTGTCTACGTCGATGTCCTATGGCTCCGGGTAGTTATAATACTCCGTTGTGCCGTTATTGAAAGAACAGATATCCGAAGATCCCAGGTGTCATCTGATGCTATGGCTTGTTTGGTAGATCTACTTCGCAGGCTGCACTCATACATACTTGCGCAACCTACCGTAACAGTGGCCAGATAGTTTGCATAAGAATCGGTGCCTATATCAGGCAAGTCTTGTATAGTACATTCAGAACATCAATGCAAGGATGGATGTAAGCCAATGCCTTGTTAGTTGGTAAATCTATTTTAAAGTCGAGTTTTGATTTGGAAGTGATTAAGATGAAATACACATCGTACTTGCTTAGAAGATATCTTCTTAAGACACATGTATATATAGCAAATAATATATAGAAACGTTAGCTAGGCCTTATAATATAACTTAGTAATTTATTACATGGAAGCATATATCTGCAAGTCTGAAATACCGAAGTGGCAGCCCGCATTTAGCGCGGCTCTACCCCTGACACAAGGCTAAGCTAGAAAAGTTAGCGATGCATCAACTATAAAGTACTGTACTTAATACTAGTATACTTTCTAGATCGTTATCGCGTAGGCTACGACCTGTACCTACATAGTAGTACATACCTAACAAGGCACGTTGTAGCTTCCATCACCTCACCTTGCCTTATGCACGAACTGTACGAACTTATACACTACATTATACACACATCTTCACATCTTCCACCACTTACACTTCCTTACACTTCTTACCTACATATGTATTTTCACTTTTTTCCCTTCCGGCTGCTATTACATACATATTCTTGGCTTATTTCTCACTGCGTCAGACGTTGATGCACTTATTCTAATCCATGTTGGACCCTGTCTTGCCTTTATGGGCTCTCCTTTTGTCTATCATCGTCTCATAAAGGCATATCCGACGTCTTAATATCCATCTTCAACCACATTGTGTCCCCTGCCTACGAGTGGAGAGAGGTATTGCGTCCCTGCAACAAGTTTCAAATTCTTTGTTTTAATACTTGAAGCTCCCGTGCATTGCTTTCTTTATTGACTAGCTCTTGAAAATTATTAAGAATTTTAAACTGCTTGATTCCCTGCTAACTAACATGGCGCCCAGGCTATCCCAAGTCTTCATGGCGCCCACTACGCCCTCCCAAAGCCCCGAGCCTAAATCGGGCTCGCTTACAAGCTCGAATACCTTTCCTCGTAACCGAACCCCAGAATCAAACGGACCGAAATCTCGAACGCAACGCGCAAGTACCATAGAGAATGGCGCTGCACCGCGAGTTAGTATTATACAGGAGACACCCCCGCAGCAAACACGGCAAAAGGAGAAGCCCGATACCTTCGAGTCGGAGACCAACGATGATGTAATTGAAGCCCCGAGAGCTTCTGTTGATATGGATGAGATTCCGATTGAGCTAGTGAGCAAGACAGACAAGTCAGTTAGAACACCACATTGCCTGGTCTATACGCGACTAACAGGTGCATCAGCTTCATCGACTCGCTTTCGGCCAAAGTCCACCCAGCACCTCCCAATATCGAGAATCTTTCCAAATTATTTCAGGACTTCTACCATGTTGCCGCATCACACATCAAGACGCATATAGATAGCCTCGCTACTCGACAAACACGAGAAGCTTCGCCGACCCCTTCGAGTTACTCTAGGGCCTCCGCAGCTAGCCTACTTAGAGCTAAGGCGGCATCTTTTAGCAATAAGGAGAAAACAAAAGCAACACCGACAAAGGAGGAACAACAGATGCTCACTGCCGATGAGTATGCCAATAGGAAAAAGGCTAGAAAGGCATTAGAGCAAAAGAGAGTTCTGCTCGAGGAAGCAGTTGAAAGGCGGCTTTGCGAGGGTATTTACGACCGGATATACCGACATAGAACTACTCAGGATGAGGCTCAGGACGATAAACTCAGATCTAAGACGGCCGCGCTAGCTCTCGTCGGCATTGGGCCTGCGGACTTGGGTGTCGACCTTGGTGATTCAGAGGATACACCTGAAGCTCGCGCAAATAGGCAAGAGGAAATCCGAGGGTACTTAGAACAAGCCCGGAAAGACCTATATAATATGCACGAGAAGAGATACCCTCTGGGGAAGCTGAATCATCTCAAAGCTGCTCACAAGAGTATCGTTGATACTCTATCTCATTTCCACCCCTCGTCATCCGCCGACGAGATTATGCCGATGCTTATCTACACATTGATAACCATGCCTCCCGAGAAACTCAACGTAATTAGCGATTCGAATTTCATACAAAGATTTCGATGGGAAGAGAAACTAGAGGGAGAAGCAGCTTATTGCCTGACAAATCTCGAGGCTGTAATCACCTTTTTACAGACGGTAGACTTGGCCAGTCTTAGGGCGGATGAAGCATCATCAGGGCCTGTGAAACTCGAGACTCAAACGGAGATGCCAAAGGCGGAAACCTTCCCCCCTGCTTATACCGCAGGCCTATCTGCGCCAGCATCAAACTCGACTACTGCTACACCCGAGAACGTCCAGCCTGTGAAGCACACCCAATCAGCTGCAAGCTTAAGAGCTGCCGTTCAACGCCGCAGGCTGAGCGATCTTATCCAGACCCCAGCCCAAGCTATCGGGACGGCAAGTGACTCAATATTCAGCACCGCTGACCAAGGTTTCAAAACTATCGGAACTAGTCTAGGTGATAGCTATAAGTTCTTGCTCGGTAAACTCCGAGATAGCTCTGCGAGTGGGCGAGAATTAGTGGTACCAAGAACATTAGACGAGGCACGGAAGCTCATAGGTACTCCACCTCCTGAGGATGATGCCTCTATTGATGGCAGTTTGGTTCAGGGAGGCGATAATACGGAGCACTCCACAGCCGCAAAGGAAGACAAACTATTGTCTTTGGTTGGTGGTAAAGGTGTTGCCAGAGACCGAAGTGCAGATAGCACGAGGAGTGGTAGGAGCGCGAGTAGCTCCAAGAAAGCGGAGAATAAGGAGAACCCTACTACCCCTGCCGCGACGCCTTCGCCCTCATCTTCGAACCCGGCTTTGGTCGAGTCGATGCGAAATTTAGGCAATTCTTTAAACCCTATGAACCGCTTTTCGGGAATGAGTATGATGCGTGGCTTTGGACGTGCAGCTACTATTCCAACTCCGACCCCGCCTGCGAAGGACGCTGCCGTCAAGACAGCAGATGGCGGGGATTTAGCTACGGTAAAGGTTCTCTCTGTATATGGATTTGCACAAGTGCTAATAATGAATTAATCTAGGCATTCCCGGATATCGCCGCGGCACTACCGCCGAAGGATATTCCGAAGATTGACCCGCCCAAGAAGAAATTCATGGAGCTCCAGAACCCCGCTGATCTTAGAATCGGTGACGTCCTAGAGCTGCTGCGGGATTATCGTCGCCTCGCTGGTGCCCTCAAGGACATGGACGCCTTTAAGGAATAAGAAGCCAGCGTGCCTAGAATTTTAATACTTCGATACCGCGGGCGGAGGAGATGAAATTGCTGCGAGTATGATGTGTAGGTACCTACATAGGTGTATGGGGCTTTTCATTTATGGGATCTACGGGCGCATCTGCATAGGATGGAGTTTATGAAGGGATTATGATTGTTCGCTTTTGCAATTTGAAAGGAGTCCGGTCTGGTCCGCCGATATAGAAGGGAGATTCGGAGTTCGGAGTGGAGTAACAATACAATAAGAGAAGGAATTTAGAAAAGACGGCAATGCCTCTTATCCTCAAATCATCAGTCAATGAAATAACACATGAAACAAATTATCATACTCAAGATGTGTATTTATGTTTATGTCTTCCTATATATATGAATCAAGAGGGGGATATATTACCTACGAACAAGACCTCGATTCGTTCCAATTCCAGTTCGCAACGCCAACTTCGTGCGAAACAATATATAGAGCAAGCAAGCCGGCCACACCATCCCACCAACGACGAATCAGTACCAACTAATCAGTCCAACTCGGAAAAAGGAGAACAGACACCCTGATTGATGCTGCTCTCTACTTAGGTATAAATAACTATTTACTAGCTTAGAGCTCTTAACCCTTCTGCTCTTCCTCAACTCGTACTTGTCCTCTCTGCCTAGCCATTGCTGTAGCCAGCAAGTCCAGTTCAGTCTTCTCACTTCCCATCTCATCACATCGCCTCTTCATCTCGTCTCCTTTATTTTTGGCCCACCCATTGATTACCTAATAGTTTGTGTTATGTAGAAGTGTTCGTTGCGCAGCCGCTCGGTCCTCTTTTCGGCAAAAAAAAATCCAATTCCTCCACCCTACTTGCTTGTTTGCTACTTAGCAACGTCAAAAGAAGTATAAAAAATGCGAAATAGCAACAGCCACAGGCCGTGCTCCTGGCCCATTTCGGCGTATTAAATAGGATGTAGCCAAACCTCGAGGCGAGGGGAATTTAGGTTTTGTTCGATTTAGAGAGGAAAGGGACTCAGTGAAATCCGTTGGCTTTCTTTGTCGGGCTGACGCGTCCGTTTGTTATCTCCTGTAGCGGACCACCTCCTTCCCCTCCTACTGGGCCGCCTTCACTGCTACCATCATGCCGCGGGCCTGAGATCATCTTCTCCATAAAGCTGATGTAGTCAAATTGAGGCACGCCACGGTCCTGGGCCATGTCGGGTCCATGATGCGGAGGTACGATTTCACAAAGTTTCTCGATGACTTCGTCGGGTACGAGAGAGTGCCGGAGGTCCATCTCGGTAACATACGGTTTACCGTCAGCGACCTCGCGGAAGCTTTGGAAGACTTGTTCGGCTGTGTTCTGGTCCTCAGTTACATCAACCATAAAGCGAATAAACTGCTCGAAGGTGACACGATCGCGGCCTCGTGATGTATCCACGAAATAATCGTGCATTTCATCTTCGCTAAACACCAGCCCTAGCGATGCAAGTGCCGCCGAAAACTCGAGCTCTGATAAGGAATTGGTATCGTCTCGGTCAAAATGCCGGAACACCGATTCGAACTCCTCCAACTGAATTGGTGTTAAATTCGTCATGCTGCGCGCTACCATCTGGTTCTCTAAGAAGGCTAGCTTCTTCTGTACTGACGATTTCACCAATCCGAGTTCGTATAGTAGTTCATCATACGTGTACGTTGTGAAGTCGTTTTCTTCGATGTTGGCTTCCTGACACTTAGCGTCGACTGCTGCGATCTTCTCTAGGTATGCATCTAGCGGCGGTAGGTTGTCGCTTAGTCTTCGCACGTGCAATAATTGGTCTTCGACATCACCTTCGAGACCAGAGATCGCGATTTGCATTGTGTTGAGAGCTAGAGCAAAATCATTCGCCTTGTCGGCAAATGATTTACGGAGGGCGTTCTTGATGCTGCGAAAAATATTAGTGACAGGAGGATAATATGGGTCACGTCATAAAGGCTTACTCTCTTATGGTCTCGTTAATGAGCTGGGCACGCATCATCTCAGCTTCGGTCAATCTAGCCCACTCTTTATCCATAGTCTCTAACGACAGCTCTGGAGGTGGTTCATAAGCTCTGAGTCGGTACGTGCCCAGTTTGGTCTTGATGTTTCCTAGTAATGTCGCTAGATCGCTCTTCTCGGCGACCCAATCCCTCTTCTTACCCCTTTTATAGGACGCAAATTCGGCAGCTTGCTTCTTTGCATCGACATAGGTTCCTTCGAATGTTGCTTGTTGCCACTGCTCTACTTGTTCTCTGATCTGCTTCAACAATTCGGCCATTCGTCTCTCGTAGGCGCTTTGCATCTCCCAGGCCCCTTGCATGTTGTTTACGAACTTCTCTACTCGTCGACCAGCATTCTCAACCTTCTCCATCTGCGAAAAGGCGTGGAACCAATAGGCGATATACGTCATCAAACTCCTCTCATCTGGCTTGGCAACATCACAAACATCTTCGACATCTAGCAAATCCGGAATTCCGATCTCCTTATGAGCAATTTCGAATGCTAGCTGCATGTTCCCTCGATGGTCTGATTTATCTAGGGCATCGTAGTCGATAAGGTCGGGTCGGTGGATATCGAGCAAGGCGCAGAAGGCGAGCCCATCATTCCAACTCGTACTGAAATCTCGAACGTCGACTTCATCATAACATGCCGTTTTGCGTTGACACCATAATAGAAGACCCTCTTTGGCTGTCATACCCTCTTCATTGATGTCACTGATCGTAAATCGCAGAATGAGGGTCCAGATTAAACCTAGGATAATCTTGCGATTGCCGTCGACCACATCTTCCGCACCAATATTGGTCATCTGTATCCCTCTCGATTTAATGAAATTGAGCGCTGTATTGGCATTTTCGAACTTCTGTACTCGTAACTTCGGTTTCGCGGCATATCGTCCCAAGGATTCATTCGACAAGCACTCGAGCAAGTGTATCAGGAGAACCTGTATTATATAGCAATTAGCGGGTATATATGATTTAGTATGTAAGGTAGTCCTACGGCATCACTTAGGTCTGTAACGAGATCTTTCACTACCACGCCCCTCGGCAGAATCTTGGTGTTCATCCTAACATTCCAGTATTAGTTTCATGCGACTGTTAACCGAGAAATTATGTCTCATATTTTAATTATAGAAACTTCGAAAGTGCTAGCTAACCATTTAGTAAACGTCTTTTGTTGGACGTTAATCCATTGGTGAGCCATCTTGATCGGAAGTGGCTCCCCAGCCGCTCAGGGGCAGCGTAGGTAGAAATAGGGGAACGCGATACGGCAATTAGGTGGTATTTGTCGTAAATTCTCCGCCTTCGACTAGTAAATGCTTGTCGAAAGAGTCGAAGGCGAGATAGAATATGTAGTAAACGTAGGCGGCAAGCAATTCGGAGTGTGGTGGATTAGGCAGACTATTTTGAAGTCTTCTCGAATGTCGGAGTGGTACAAATGGCGATGGTACGTGGGATGAAAGACGGTATGTTTTGTCGTGGTAATTGGAAGTTTACCTAGGTTAGGAGTAAATACAGGATAGAGATGATCTCGCACAAAGCCGCAGTGTCAAGTAGTAACTCTCTCTTTCATTTGCAGCATGAGAACCTTGGAAGTGCTGGTGCTGTGCTGGGTTGGTGTTGGTGTTGATAAGGTTGCATTGGGTTTACCAAGTTGGGAATGCTACAGCGATTGTGTACCTCTTTAACGTCCACAATTGGTTGCCGAGGGGATCCCCTATTCCCGCCCCGCTACTTCCCTGCCGCCGCTCGATTTAATGCTCTATCGATAACGGGATAAGCTTCGTAATCAGCCAAGCCAGGGCAGAGCAGGGTTCAGGTCTAGACTTGTGTTACCTAAATCGGAATCAGGTGGGCTGAGAGGTGGGCTAAAGATCTACAGGCGGGTCCTACCTTCTATCGATAATCCCGGGGAATTGAGTTTCGCCGTCACTTTTTCAATTAATTCCATCCATGCTGACAGGAGGGACCGCGTCATTTTAGCCTTTTCTTTAATAAATTCTTATTCGAAAAGTTCTTTTCGTAGACCGTTCCTAAACTTAAACGTCCAAAATGGCTTGCAGGTCAAAACTCACTCCCGTGTTAAGACGGGTGGCAACGCCTAGCTTGAAAAAATCTGTAGCGGCAGCTCACCCCGCCGTGTATGCCACGAGATGCATATCAAGCACGGCCCCGAGACAACTGCAAGCTTCAGGTACAAGAGGCGCTAAGTTTACCACGGACTCTTATCCCGAAATCAAGCGGGACGAACGCTTTGCTCAGTTAACAAAAGAGCATGTTGATTATTTCAAAAGTCTGCTCGGGAATGATTCCGCCATAGTTGATGGTGTAACCGGCGAGATGGCGAAGGATGACTTACAGCCATTCAATTTAGATTGGATGCGAAAGTATCAAGGACACTGCAAATTGGTGTTGAAACCCGGATCAACGGAGGAAGTCAGCAAGATTCTAAAGTATTGTAATGACAACAAGTTGGCTGTTGTCCCTCAAGGTGGAAATACCGGTCTTGTCGGTGGCTCTGTACCTGTGTTCGACGAGATTGTTGTCAGCACTAGCCGAATGAAACAAATCCGATTCTTTGATGAAGTGAGCGGTATATTAGTCGCAGATGCAGGTGTCGTGCTTGAAGTGGCCGATCAATTCCTTGCCGAGAAGGGCTACATCTTCCCCCTTGACCTGGGTGCGAAAGGCTCATGCCAAATTGGTGGTAATGTCTCAACTAATGCCGGTGGGCTCCGATTATTGCGATACGGAAGTTTGCACGGTACCGTTTTGGGGATTGAGGCCGTGTTACCCGACGGCACAATCTTGAATGACTTAAGCAAATTACGAAAAGATAACACTGGTTACGACCTGAAGCAGCTCTTCATTGGCGCGGAAGGAACCATTGGCATGATCACCGCGATATCAATACACTGCCCCCAGCGATCTAAAGCCGTCAATGTTGCGTTTCTCGGTGTTGAATCTTACGAGAAAATGCAGCAGGCTTTCAGAGAAGCCAAAACTCAGCTTGGCGAAATTTTATCCGCTTTCGAGTTGATGGATTCCCAGAGTCTAGGCTTGTACTACAAGGCCAAGGATGCCGAGTCGGCGCTCGAAGGAGAGCACCCTTTCTATTGTCTTATAGAAACAAGTGGATCGAACTCCGATCACGATAGCGAGAAGTTAGAAGCTTTCCTTGAAGATATTATGTCCAAGGAAATCGTCGCCGATGGTGTCGTAGCACAAGATGAAACTCAACTCAGGTCATTATGGAATTCGAGAGAAGGAATATCAGAGGCTTCAGGGCACTGGGGAGGGGTCTACAAGTACGATGTTTCAATCCCGTTAAAAGATATGTACCAATTGGTAGAGGATGTTAGAAAGAGGATGGAAGACGCGGGACTGAAAGGCGAAACCGACGACTACCCCGTCGTGGACGTAGTCGGTTATGGTCATATGGGCGACTCAAATCTACACCTCAACGTTGCTGTGCGGAGATACGACAAGAAAGTAGAAGAGGCCCTTGAACCATACGTTTACGAATGGATTAACAGTAAGAATGGCAGCATCAGTGCTGAACACGGTTTAGGTCTAGCCAAGAAGAAGTACATCGGCTATAGCCGGAACGAAACGACGGTAGGGTTGATGAAGCAGATCAAGAATCTCTACGATCCGGTAAGCATATCAGCAATACATGAATCATTTTCATCGTTTCAACTACATACTAACAACTCTTTAGAATGGTATTATGAACCCTTACAAGTACATATAGACACAAATGATACCCTAGATGAACATTCACATGTTTCTTCAACAGAAAATCGGATATATTTCCCACCAACTCATGTATATACAAACCTGTCATTTAAAATAAATATTGTATCAAAGATTAAATATCCATCTCCTTATTATAATAAAATTGTAATATTTTTCTTTTGAATTTATGACATCAACTGTTAGTGATGGGGAGCGTAGATGATCACCGCTTATCGATAAACAAGAGTTGACAAAGTTCGCTTGCTGTAAATTTATTTCATCCTTCAACAAACATCGTCATCGGTCATTCATACCAACAGTGACCAACCTCTCCGCATAGGTGCACCCTCTAAATTGTCACTTACACATACCAGCATCGAAGCGGCGGCCCGATTCGTACCTCAATACTGGTTCGCGAAACGTCAAAATGTCCGATTTCCTGGAGAACATCGACCCCAAACAGCTGAACGACAAGGACAAGCGGGAACTACGCCTGCACCTTGACAGCGAGGCCGCGCGACAGCGCATCAATATCAGTGCGTATTTCACCTTTCCCCCCTCCCATCGTATTATCCCCAGTAGTTCTTTGCCTCGCCAAGCACTACCTCTCTGCTTACCCATCTATACCCCTCCCAAAACCGAAAGCTACAAAGCAAAATCGGAAGCTCAGGTTTAACAAGTCCGCTAACGCACAACTTCCATACAGGCGTACACGCCATGACGGACGTATGCTTCAAGCAATGCGTCACGGGGCCAATTCGAAATGGGAAATTAGATAAGGGCGAGGAGAGTTGCATGGTAAACTGCACGAACCGGTTTATTGATATTTCTCGCGTAACTATGACGAATATGGGAAAGGTAAAACGATAAAATTATGGAAGCTGGTTGGGATATCTGGTTGACGATGTCATATTGGCGGCCATGAAAATGAAGAGATGTACGAATAGCTACGCCAAAATTACGGGCCGAAGGCATTATATAGAATCCACGGGCTTGGCTGTGATACGAACACCACTCTGAACCGCCTGGTAGGCATGAATTTTACGTCTTATAGCATCTACGAAGCGGTAAAATAATAGGAAAGCAAGTTAAAATCACTCGAGGGAAGCCGATTGGTGTTCATTCATTAAAGGAATCAATTCTTTTCCGTTGATCTCATGAGCCTAACCGTGGGCAAAACAACGCCAACCCTAATGCATATGTCCGTGCCGAATCGGGATGCGCATCCTGTGCAATTCATCTGCAATACCCGCTGTAGCAATTGCCCATCCCTAGCGAAATCACCGCGCAAATCAACCCTCCATTTTCACAACTCCGTATTTAGACGAGAGCAAGCTTGGTGGCGGCAATGTCAAGAGCGTCAACATCGGCGGTAAGGCGAGCGTAGGCCTTCTTGGATCCGTTGGGTCTATTCGAAATAATTAGTTCAGGCACATTAGCGCAATGTAAAATTTTTGTTCATACCGGATAAGAGTGTTGATCTTGACAGTGTCAATGTCGTAAAGCTTCTTAAGGGCCTGCTTGATCTGAGCCTTGTTGGCCTTGGGGTCGACGATGAAGACGAGGGTGTTGTTCTCCTCGATCTTCTTCATGGCACTCTCGGTGTTGAGGGGGTGGATGATGATCTTGTGCTCGTCCAGACGGGGCTCGTGAGGGAACGACTTGCGGTGGTACTTGGGCGAACGCGAGAGCTGGAGAGTCTTGGGTCGGTGGAAGGTGGTCGAGGTGCGAACCTTGCGCTTCTTGTTGCCGTTGTCCTGAGGTACAATTAGCATCGCGATAGCGGAGGTAGGAGATTAACATAGAAATATTTTTTTTCTCTACTCACACCACGGAGGGCAGCCTTAGCAGCAGCGTTGGCTTGCTTAGTACCCTTAGGCGCCTTGGAGGCACCGCCTGTAATGAAGAAAATACATCAGCAATCGCTCTTAATTAGAACTCGCAAAATCTGCTCTGCTCGATGCGTCGACCGGGGAGGCGCGCACGAGAACTGCGCCGATTCCAAAAAGATGCCATGACGGGAAAAATAAATAGCATATATATGATAAGAATAATAATTATGTACCTTTCTTGGTAGAAACCTTGGGACCCATCTTGCTGTTGGTCGAGAAGTCGGAATCGGAATTGGTGATGGATGAGAGCTTCTCGAGTTGTTGTTGATCGTAGCCAGCTTCGAGGAAGAAAAAGTATCGCTCGATTTTCCAGCTCTTGGTGGGTAGGTCCTCGCTTAGGGCTAGAGCACTAGCGTTATCTTTAATGGCCTGCATTGTGGTGAAAATTTTCGGATAAACTGTGCTGAAGATCGGATAAATTGATGTGAAGTTAATCCGAGAGGTTAATCCGTGAAGGAACCGATCCGGTGGGAGATTTAAGACCCCACCTTATCAACTGTGATTTGAGCGGGTCCATTTAATTGGCTCTCGCATTTTTTAGGCAGGACCAAGCGGCAAGCTGTACCGCTAGATGATCTAAGTGCCACTGTCTGACTAACAGTTAAAGCTCTGGAGCAAGACAAGATCGAGGCAGGCACTAACTAGTTACTTTGAACATTAAGCGGGAACTAAGGCGACATCTAGACTTAGGAAATATTCACTCATCAGAACCTTCCGTCTTACTACTTTAACGAGCTGTGCAAACTTTCACCCTTAACATTATCCATGCTGCCTTTCCATCTGACCAGAACAACTCGACATCTACGATGGGGGTGAAAAAGACAACTCGTATGAAGAGCCTCACTGCAGGCCGACCTCCTACAGCCAGAAAACCGAAGACAATATCAAGGAAAGCTACTAAATCATTAATCAATGCGCATCATCTTCTAGAAAAGAAGAAGGCACAGGCGATTGCTAAAGGAGACCGAGCTGCCGAAGTTGCTATTGATGCTAAGATCACTGCATTAGGCGGCATTGAGAAATATCAACAAGCCAGCCTTCAGGGGCAACGCCTTGATCGTGGTGGGGATAGTTCTCATGTCCTAATGGAATGGCTCAAACCGACAATTTCTAATCATACTTTACCTAAAGGAGCTCGTTTGAGAATGCTTGAAGTTGGAGCATTGAGCACTACAAATGCATGTTCAAGGAGCGAGTACTTTGATATGAAGAGGATAGACTTAAACAGCCAAAGCGAAGGCATTCTTCAGCAAGATTTCATGAAGAGACCTTTACCCAAGGATGACTCGGAACGATTCGACATAATTAGTCTCTCGCTGGTTCTGAATTTTGTTCCCGATGCTGCAGGACGAGGCGCAATGCTTCTGAGAACTTTGGATTTCTTAAAGCAACCTGATATGCAACCCTCCTCTGGACTGCGCGACCTCTTCCCGAGTTTGTTCATGGTCCTCCCTGCACCAGTAAGTCAGATTCCGATATCCAAGTCACATCCCACCTTTTCCGCAGCCCTGCCTACACGGGTTGTTGATGACTTGCTGTCCTCAATGCCAATGTATCATTCATGGTGACGCTTATGTAGTCTACTTCGCTGTCAGTTTTATGTATTAACCAATGGATTCAATAGTGTGTTACCAACTCGAGATACATGGACGAGCCCCATATGGAATCCATCATGAGCACATTAGGATATGTGAAAGTACAAACTAAGGTCACACAAAGACTTGTGTATTACCTATGGGTTAGGAAATCTGGACCTCAGTCTCCCCTGAAGATATTCAAAAAACTAGAACTTCGGACCGGACATTCCAGGAATAATTTTGCAGTCGTAATTCAAGGCCCTTCAAGATGATCGATGATCGTGTTTCCGATTATCTTTATCTTTGCCATTCATGTTGTCAATTACCATCAATGAGGCTTGCAATCAAATCAATTTGACGGGCCTAGGCGTTCGAGCAGATGTTATGAGGGAGGGTATCATCAAGGCCCAGAACCATCGTCGCTCTCGTCGATTATTCTCTCATGAGGGTCACAATATGCATGTGTGTCAGCACTAAAGGTCAGTCCTTTCGTCCTATCCTATTGCCTCCAGTCTTGCAACTTATCTGATGCATATATTGGCAGGCGCACTTCTTGGTGGTCTGAATACTGCGACGCTTCTCTGTCTATCGAGATCGTCAGTGGCTTTGTATAGCCCCGACTCTACCCCGCAACCATCATACACCCATCCGATAGGCTTGAATTCAGCGCTGCTACCAACAAAAGTATCCAGCGTTGCTCAGGTGACATCCGCCCTTGATCGGGGTATTGGTTCAGTGGCTTTTGGGGAATCCCGGAACGTCCAAGATAACCAGTCAAGGTACCCAGCGATCAATTACCCAGTGTGACTAAAGATGGAAGCACATCTCACCACTACAGTCAATCACGGCGCTCCCTCTCATGCAGTAAATCCCTTCGGTTGCAGTTGTTCGGACTAGTGCGACACCTAAAGAAAAGATTGGCGGTCTTAATTGAATGACTACGCGCAATCACTCATTTCCTAATTCCCAGCAATCTGCTCGGCAGATTTATCCGGGGTGGTTCCCCTTGAACTGATCTTTCGCTATTTAGGTTATTGTCGTCGGCGATATGTGCGGGAATAATAAAATATTAATATTATGCTAGACAAGTACGTATTGGTCCTTTGAGCATTGATCGCGTGATATCACCCCTATTCGTCACATTTACGTATTTCAATCAAATACCAACATGAAAACAAATTGGTGACGAGCAATTGCTCATATTGGTTCATAACAAAGAACTCGATATCACTGACAGTCCCTTGCTTTCACGCCAATGCCAGCCGTATCGATATATCCAATCGGCTAGCTAGGGTTATATTTTGTTGAGCTGTTTCTTTGAAATGCGTCCTGAGCAAGCAGATTGGCAGTTATTACTTGGATTTCATGTTGAAATGTTGCCCTTACACCCATCGAGCCAGTGATACTCCAGCGAAGCTCCTAGTCACGATACTACCGTTCGTAATCTGGCGTTGCTAGCGGCGACCTATAGTGCCTATAGGGATGAACTTGGCTTTAGCGATGAGGATTACATAGACCCCGCTTTGGTCAGATGACGGATGGCCGATCAAGCTATCTCCAATATCTTAGCTCATATCATGGAGGAGCGAACCCCTTGGCGGATTGAAACGGACTCTTCTGGCGGGATGACGAGTCATGTAATTGGTGCGTGGATTTAATTCGTTTTACCCCGGATTCCACTCCTTGGAGACAGCGGCGATCCTAGGTCTCGATCGCCGACTTATTTAATTAAACTAGTCAGGACCATCGTGAAGCTATCATGCTGCAGATTATCACGTATGCGTTAAAGATCGCTAGTGGGTGATGGGGGGTTGGGGAGACTAATTACGGCGGGACGGCTCTTCGCCTCAGGAAACCCGTACGAATTTAATTGACATACACTGTAGCCAAGGAGATATCTAGTAGACACTCATGGATATCCGTCGTTATTTGCTCATAAGTCATTACGTGGTGTTGCTTGAGAACGAAGATACTTATCGTGAAATGTCGCTATTGATGCTATTACAGAGGTTTCGGCTTGCAATCCCGAGACACTAACAATGGGTGAGATTACATCGTAGGCAGGTGGAACGTACCTGTCATCCATTGGAGTACAGAGACATGAATAACATGAATCTTCGATGTCTCGGTTCCCATATTAGAAAGGGGCAACTCTATAGGGTGGAGTATTTTGACCTGCGCAAGTCTAGAACCTGGGGAACACCACTACACGTACGCGACTATACGACAGACTACATGGTCCTCCACACGATCAACAGGCTCGGGGGTGGGAAATTTTGGGTATCTCCAACTGAAAATCGGTTCATACTGACTAGTCTACGAGTCGTGTCCTCCTCCCCCACATCAAGTTGAGTGCCGGATGGCCGATTTGCAAATCGTCTCGACACCATCAATTAGAAGGCCGGCGCGGATTGGTTCGCCAGGTTAGTCCTGTTGCACCAAGTCGCTCCCATGTAGTCCTATTTGTTTAGCCTCTTGTTCTCGATTGTTATCGACGCATTCGTGTCAAAGGCGGACCTCGTCACACGCTCAAAAGATAGCTTGAGGCCTCATTCCTCTTATCTACCCTTAGACCAATTAGTTGGCCTGAATGTTGAGATCGCCATCGAAAGCATCGAATGTCTCTATGACTCGTAACCGTCGTGGCACCTCAGGAGGCAGAGGCGCATTCCCAGGCCTTTGAACAACGATACTTTGCATACCAGCCTCAATAGCCGCATCCACTTCCTTGACGTTATCGCTCAAGAATAGCCACTCTCCAGGCGAAAATCCGGGATGTTTACTAGCGATAGTCTTGTAGCTGCTAGCCTCCGTTTTGAGTCCGGCGTTCACAGTATCAAACCAATCCGAGATCAGCGGCGTGAAGTCCGACGGGGATGCATCGGTATGCTTGAAGAGTAGCTTCTGCGCCGCTACGGACCCGGACGAATATATCATGATCTCAAGCCCCTTGCTTTGCCATCCTGATAGCTTCGCGGCTACGTCGGGAAATAGGGGCGCCTTCAAATCACCTGAAGCATATCCCTCTTGCCATAGATAACCCTGGAGACTCTTCAGGTAGGCTATTTTCACATCCTTCGCCACAAGATCCTGGAAATGGGCCTCTAGTGCTTCTTTGGATGACGAGTATTCTGGTGGAAACGCATCCCTATATTTCGCAAACTCTGGATCATCCCACTGGGTTTCCAAAGTCTTCGGGAGGGCCTTCAAGGAATAGGGGAACTGGAGTCACGTGTCAGTTAATGTACCCTTGCTTCAAGGGGCCAATGAAAGGTGGCCGGTAAGCAACTATGCTATTTGAATTGAGGTGCTTAACGATAGTAATTCATAGTAGTTATGATCTCCTAATTGCAACTTTCAAGGTTACATGAAAGTCTAGTAATCCTGGGACGCGACGAACTGGTGGTGCATCACGTTCACTATTTCGCAGTCGATCGTTATACAGTTGTACAGGGCTATGCTACATGGGGGGTGGGTAGGTATGCGAGATACGCAGTTGGAGAAGATTTCCACTGGAAATGTCTTACCAAGACATCCTTCACGAAGGAGATTGGACAGACTGTCCCCTCTAAGGACACATACGTATTAGCTAATATGTCCGGGTGATATTTTCTTCCCAGAGGTGGTCCAAGCTGATACTAGAAAATGATAGAGATACGAAGCAAGGGCAAGCTCAGAGCTGTCCTTACCAATGTCTAATAGCACGACTTTAACAGAAGTAGACGCAGCCATGGCGACAGAGTCGAGAACCCGTGGGTCTTGCCGTCCTTTCTGGATCTTGGGGATATCTGTCTGATCTCTAGGATCTGTGTAAAACCTAGCAGGCTGGGGCGCCGCGGAAACCAATGCAAGTCTTCCCGTCAGTGCAGAGCGGTGAAGGTGAAAGGTCGTATGGATACGATCGTGAAAAATAAAGATAATTTCACGGGCAGAATGAAAATTTTTTTTCTCTTCCTTCCCTTTCTCTCTATGTCTGACCGCTGACCGAGTATAACTCCGAATCAAACAGAGAGTTGGAGAGAAAATAAAAAATTTACACAGCACACCGCGTCTTGATGCGTGTCGTCGAGAAAGCGGTCAAGAAATGCAAGAGAAAATGTCCGTAGATGGCAGGAAATAGAAGCAGAGAACCCCTAAAGACGTCCAAAGGTTGGGACCCAAGGATGCAGCGCGTACCTAGGTTGGCCACTACTGCACCGACAAGGTTTCGGCAGGTTATTAATGCAGCAAGGCTTGAGGTTGTGGATGACTTGCGTTTGATGCTTTCAAGACACGAGGCCAGGTTGGGAAAACAAGCGAAAGCGCTATTCAGAGGAAGGGAATTGGCGGGGCAAGCGATAAACAGGCTGACAGGAACGGGCTGGACGCTGGCGGATAACGATAACAAAATTCAAAAATGGAAATGAAGAGCGGGTCGGCAAAAGACTAGGCCGCCGAAATGGACAAAAAATACTTAGGTACCTGAGCAAACTGGGCAAAACTGGGCAGAAAAGAGGATAGCGGATATCCACCATGATCCACTATGAGAGATCGAAGTATAGAAATTAACCTTGGAACTACTGCGACTTCTCAAAGTTTTGCATATACTTTCCGCATATTTCCCCCAGCGTACTTGCATTCTTGCATCCTCGGCTACGAAGCCGGTCTCTCAACATTACCGCATTACAACATTACAACACATCCGTTATCCACTCTAACCAGACAAGCTAACCAACCTCCCAAAGTAAATAAACCATTTTTATTGGTATCGTGGGAAAATGGGATCCAATGCGCTACGACGTGTGCCCATACAACTGGACAGGAAAATAGGTTCGGTTCCACGGGCGACGTTGTGGTCGTCATAGTAATAATCTTAATAAGGCCGGATACTTATTCCTTCTATTGTGTTCGTCAATGGGATAGTTATAGGAATTGCCTGTTTACAGAGTTACTGCCGACTTACTAGTACTGATACCTTATCCTGCTTATTATTTGCTGTATCAAGAAACTCGTGCACGAAGGGCACCCCCCGACTAGCCCGACACGCATCTCACGGGGCTAGGTACGATGCAATCTCAGCCATCATCAGCCACCACCTCTTCGGACGACCCACCTCACGATAAGCGTACCTACTGTACTTGGGCCAGGCTCCTAGGTTAGGTACTTACAGTACCTAATCTAGGTACCTAGTTTGCGATAGTCTATCGAGGCATTCGACGCCAAGTGTCTTTTTCGATTCAACAGCAGGTGTACGCGTCGAAGGAACAGGAACGATAAAACTACAGCCTAACCTATACAGTCTCAAGCCTCTACTATAGTCCATTCTATACTATACTATTGTTATAGTATAGGAAGCCTTTTAGCCGGTTTCCACTTTATGGTGTTATGCGATTCTATCGTCGTCTTCACCGCTATACTACGTCTATATCTGCTCACTTATCATCTATAGCTCTGTAACAAAACAAGATGTTTCAAGCAGCGTATCTGTCAAAGTTAACCCGGTCTGGAACAGCGTATTTAAAGCGTTCGATTTAAGCGGATTTGTAACCCATCACCGTTGGGATTGATGGATTGATAACAGCCGTTTGCGGGAGAAACTGACTCGTTCACGTTGTTCTGGGTTGCTCCGGGACAAGACCCAAATATTTGGGGTTGAAACCGTTGAACGCGTATTTGCATTATTCTCAGTCATGCATGACGATGGCATACATGTGTCGGCCACATCGGAAAGAACTGAGACGCTACTGTTTCCATCCACTTTGTATAGGCCATTTAATTGGAATGCTGCTGGACGATACCCGGACCACTGCCGTTTTAAGGTCACACGACAGAGAAATCGGTTCTTCACTTTAGCACACAACACTTATCACTTAGTACACCACAAGTGTCAGACACGCAGACACGCCACCATGGAATGTCGTCTTCCTGGGCTGCCGAAAGGGGCGAGACGATCAGTCATCTACCCATCTACCCCCAAAATATTGCATCATCCTCAATCGGCGTCTCCCTACCATCGTGAGATCTACTCGCCTAGGATTCGTACATGCACTGTATCGTCCTCTGTAAGGGGAGATGATGCCAACCTGCATTAAACCGTATCAAATTTCAATCAAAACCCCAACTCAGAGTTACCCCGGATTAATCCGGCACATATGGTACCCAGAAAGGGCCCCAACAATTCCCGAGTCGGGCGCAAAATGGTGGCCGCAAGACCGTAGGATGTCATCCAATGTCCGGTTCTTAGAAGTCATAATCCTTCAATTGTTTACAGCTTTAATGGCCTCTGTGGACCTCCTTGTAATCACGGAAGTTTCTCGAGGCGCTCACATTTGCGTACCGGTAATACCATATGCAAAAACACGATCCCTTCACTGCCTCCTATTGTAAGAGCATGAACGTACATGTGCGACGCGACGAGCGTCCTGGGATCGATATGGCTTTCTAGTTGGCTGATGATCCCTTGAATACTGCCGACCCGGCTGGCCACGAAAATGGTATCCTGCATCGATTGGAAATTACACAAAGGCGGTCAACGTCGACCAAATACATAACTTCCAGGCTAGGCATAGCTGATATTTTATGTACCTACAAAGCCTGGGGGAAGACGACAAGCTTAAGATGCAGGCAGAAAGGAGTGCATATCGATGAACCAATAAGGCGCCTGTTTTAAAATCAAGTGAAACTGAAGATGCTAGAAGAGTCGAGACGCGAACCATTGGCCGCCATCAGAAATGATCGTGGGGTCCATAGCAACGTGTCCAAGTCTCTACTCTCTCTCTCTCCAAATCTCTCTCCCTGTCTTGACTTATTTCTGCTTTGTGCCTGGAATAACGCCAGCAGGGCTAATTCAATGCAGTACCTTGTCGAGGATAAAGTATACTTGTCGATCTCTCCAACGAAGATGGAGGGTTACCTAAGTCATTGTTCCTTTGCCCCCGGCTCCCTGCCTTGTTTGCACCGGAAATTGTTATCAGGTACAGTCCTTTTAAGTAGATGGCGGTGTGGCGATCCCAGACTAGTTCGCCTAATTGGAGCAAGAGCAGTAGACTATTGTACACGGTGCAGCCGCTAGCGGCATTCCTACTGGAGTCCGTGCCAAACCGCGTGGTTCATGATTCGACAAGCTTCCATCTGTACGTATCTGTACGTACCCATGGTACTTATCGTTTTTGCCGTTGCAAAGCTTAAGGTTATGTAGATACCTAGGTACCTGATGGAGGTCTCGAGCCCATTGTCCCCAGTATCTTTTTTAAGAAGCTTATACTGTGGCAAGTGTACAGTTGACCCAAATTTCAGCATCGTATTTGGCCAGGCCGCTACGAAGATACATTCTGGTTCCTTCGATTATATAGTCTTATGGCAGGAGTCAAGAGACCCAAGTAAGGTAGACAACTATCTGATTGCGTAATCCATTGTTGAAATTATCTAGCCCTTCTATCGTCATTTTCACCCACTGCTTACTCTATCTACAGTGTTGATACTGTCTGTTTTATTAGATGCTAAATAGCTTACACAAAGGCCCCCTTTAGCTTTGATTTGATGACGGTGATGGGATCTGGTGCATGTTGTTATTGTTTCTATTCCCTTCTTGTCCTTATGTTCCCATTTAGTCCCCTTGTGTACAAGGCTACGTACCTCATATGTACTTGTAGAATGTATATACGCTAATGTATAATGCAACTATGTATATCTGTATATCCCTTGTCACTTCCGTCCCCCAGTCACGAACTACGTACGAGCTCCACTCCCTGGCGCAGCGAAGGGTGATCCACTAATTTCCTCATTCATGGCCATCCCATTCGACTGCCCAGGTGCCTGCATCGCTCGATGCTCATCCCACCCCTACCCAGCAAGCAAGTCTGAAGCCAATCCACCTCCACACACTCTTCCTTCTTGCACTCACATTTGCATTTTCTCCCACACTTCTCACATATACACCATCCATACAAGTCCGTTCATTCATCTTCCCCTTCGGGTCTTACTAGCCATATTATCACATCTCCTTCGTCTATTCTCTCTCTCCATCCATCTATCCATTCCCTACCGCTTCTTCCCTTATCCAACGTCTATCCTCAAACTCTTCACCTACTTACTCATCTTAATCTTCGTCCTCTCGCTCTCAGTTCCTTTCTCTCTGCCCACTAAGACTAAGCTATTGATTCCTCGTGCTTCCATTATTACAATTGCCAATTACAAAGAGAGAGAAAGAGAAGGAGACCGGAATTGTCGCTTCTTATCCCATTCAACTTGATTAATAGGAAGCCCCTCTCCTTCCTCTTGAGTGATCTGTGGACTCATTCTTCGATCCCGTGTTCTTTCCCATTCGATCGACCCAATCGATCACGGCATCTCCGCATACCTAATCCACTCAACTAAGCCAAACCGCCTTTAATCTGTCGAGCCAGTTCACAAAACCACCAACGACAAATAACCCAAACGACGACTCGCAGCACCGCCGCCGCAATCAACAAAGAACTACCTAATAAGTCCTGATACTAGACTTATAGCGCGTTTACCACGTCACACTTTGTTTCGACTCGTACTTGATAGTCTGGATCCGCTCTCGAGCCAGGACCACCTTGCAGCGACCCCAATTACCAATCCACTTCCCCGTTGTTGATCCAGGCCACGAGGACTCATAGCCTCTGCCTAAATAGTCGAGCCAGGTTGCGGGAATCGACTGCTGTGAAACTCCCATTTGGTACATCCTAAATAAACCGCCAACATCCCGTCTGCTAGCTACAAACCCGTGGCCGACCAGTCATCAAACGACTTGGTCATAAGGCGCCACACCCGCAACGACTTCAACAATAATAATACTCGTACTTTGTCTATCACGAACATCTCGACTTCACAGTCGTCTCGTTCGCATGCTACCCGGAGCTAGGGAGTAGTTTACGTACGTGCTGGTTATAGTAGAGGACGAGGCCCGCCATCGGACAGTATCCGCATCCACCGATTTGTTGACTCACCGCTCCACTACTACAAATAACGAGAAGGCCGGCAACGCAATCGACAAAACCTGTCATCGAGCTCCACTGCAACCTAAGAGCTTCTGACAACAAAACCCAAATCAAACGGACACTCTTTCAGATTTGACACTATCGTATCCATGTCCTTATAACGACCTTTTCCTTTCACTCTTTCAGGACCGCCGGTCCAGCAACTATTCACGATTATTCGCCGCTTTCATTTGTTCAAAACAACTTTTAACATACCCTAGATGAGCCTCTGACCTGTGAACGACCTGGAGTTTTTTGTTTTTCTTTTCTCACATTATCAGCATCTTGTATATCGCTTCTCTATCCCACCATCGACTCTCACTCCTCTTATTTGGGTTGGCACCTTCGTCATTTATCAACTGTTACCTCCCACCTCAACCGGGATCTCTAGCTTCTATCTGTACAAGAACTCGTCCAAAAAAAGTCTCTTACATTTCAAGATACATTCAGATACCCCTTTACTCCCTTTCCAAATAGACCTCGGCCAAGGGGGGAAAAGCATTTTACACTTGTACGATCATCCGTGGTTGCACCCGGGTTACCCTTCTTTTACCTCTTCAATTGTTTGTCTCACGTTGAGACAACGTCATGGAATGCTTGAGAAACAAGTTTCAAAATGGCGTTGTGCTCGATGGGAGATTTCAAACTATCTCTCCTCTTAATCATGGATCCTTTGGAATGGTCTTCATGGCAAGGGACTTGAAAACCAACGAGCTTGTTGCTATCAAGTGCTTGACCAAAAAGGCAGCTGCCAACGAAACCGGTATCGAATTCGCTATAGACGAGAGGTCCGAGGAGCTCCTCTGCCACCGTCGTCTGGGCCGGCATCCGAACATTGTCAACTTGGTTCACTCCTTCGAAACCGATGCTCACGTGTACCTGGTCCTCGAATACTGCTCACAGGGAGATCTCTACGAAGCTATTCGTACCGGATACGGCCCCTTGGAAACCGAACATGTTCGCCGCTTTATGCTTCAGTTGGTCGATGCCGTTTCTTACATGCATTCGAAGGGCATCTACCACCGAGACATCAAACCTGAGAACATTTTCCTCAACGAATCTGGTTCCATGAAGCTTGGTGACTTTGGCTTGGCCACTACGGATAGATGGAGCTTTGAGACAACTGTTGGTAGCGACAGGTATATGTCACCTGAGCAGTATGATTCAGCAGGAGCTGGATACTCGCCTGCTCAGGCCGATATCTGGGCAATTGGTATCTGTCTTCTTAACATTCTCTTCTCTCGAAACCCATTTACCACGCCGACCGAGGCCGATCCCTTATTCCTGGACTTTTCACGTGACAAGCAATCACTTTTCGATGTCTTCCCTACCATGTCTCAAGATACCTACGAGGTGATTGTTCAGTGCATGAACTTGGACCCGAAGAAGCGATCTCTGGTTGGTGCTAGGAACGCCCTCCGTCGCGTCGTTAGCTTCACCACTCTCGAAGAGGCACTTGACGATTTCTGCACAGCCGAGCGTGCGTCCGTGGCCACTGCTAACCGCGAGCCATTGCGTACTCCCTCGCTCCAGAGTCCCCAGATCGATCAGGGCACCTTCCCGTGGGCCAAGGCTTTGCACGCGACCCCGCCACAGGCCATTCGCCAGCTCAGTGCTATTCCCGACAACGAGAGCTACACTGAGGATCTGTTCTCCAAGTCGGAGGGCACCGATTGGCTGTCGGGTTCTGTTCAGACGCCTTCAATTTCTTCTGTCCTGACCTCCAACCTCGCAACTTCTATGAATTCCCTTGGCATTTCGAAGCCTATGGATATGCCTACGCGCACTACTAAGGTCTCCCCAATGGCTGGGTCTCTACCCATCACCATGTCTAAACCAAGACCCACTCTGAGCGCTATGTCCATGGTGTTCGGTCGCCAGAAGGATGCTGTGTCTAAGAGCTGGAGTGACATGTGGGATGAGGACGTTGAGGAAGACGAAGAGGAGCGTACTCGTCAATTGCAGGCATTTAAGGAGCTGAACTCGAGGACCTGGAGTCAGGAGAGCAAGGAGGCTACCCGAACCCCACAGCAGGATCAGGCATCCCTGCACCAGGCGCCAGCGTCTGATAATGAGAAGCCAGAGGCTTCGCCTGTTAACGACACCATTTCAAACGATATTGATGGAGACCTGGTTGCGGATGGATTTTTCTTTCACGAGCCCGTCGCTGTTGAACAGCCTGAGCAATTCCCTGTTCGCTATTCGCCGCCGAAGCCTAACAACCTTGACAAATGGGCGGCGTTAGGGGAACGTCGCCGGGCCTATACCGGAGCGTCGGAGCCAAAGTCACCGGATTTCTCAACGAAGTCTCGACGACAGTTCGGAATCGGATTTAATAATTTACAAGGAGTAGGGATGGGATTTTGGGACCACGCCAATCAGTATAACCATAAGTGGAATCGGGATCGGGATCGCACCACATCACGCGAATGCCCATGGAATAAGGGCCGAGACTGGAACTGGCGTAAGGAGAGACGCCACGAGTTCAGTGACGTCGAGTGGGTTGGCCATTGGCAGGAGGCTCATTGAGCTTTTTTCTTCTTTTTAACTCCTTGCCGGTGTTGCCACTTGTAGTTGTGCTCATCTTTCCACAACCGCACGGGATTTTGCACTCAGTATCTTTTCGGGGGGTAGTTGCTGCTTTCTTTCGTTGTATTCTGCCCATGTCTTGTTAATAATATGGCTGTTCGGAGCAAGCGAAGATGATAAACAAGAGATGGGATTTGAAGACTTCATACGTTGATATATTGACGCATGGACTAACAAAATTGGCTTTTATTTCTTTTGGCTTCTGTTGGATCGTTAAAACAGTTTGGCAAACTTTGGCAGCAGCAACACCCCTTTCTTCATACAAAGCATTATCCTGGTGGATTGATCTAGCTTCAACTCGCTCTTTAGGTATTAGATATCTCCAGATTATTCAAACAATACCAGAAGTTACCCACTTAAATCACCGTTCTTATATTTGCTATGTATGATTCAAACGTCCCAAATTGTGAAATATAATCCCCACGCTGTCGGTAAAGCGCCATGCTTCAGGTAGCTTAGGTAAGTGAACACGTTAACAAAATCGTGAGTAATTCTAGTTCAAGGTGAGATGACGAGCTCCAGATTGGGTGAATCATCGTGGCCGCCGTTCCTCAATAATGAATCAGGCTTAAATCTTGAAGCACACGACGATCTGAAGCGGCGACCTTCTCAAAAGCGTCAAGCCAACCAAGCATTTTAATTCTAACTATAGTATTAACCCCTTTTCAAAGACTTAGGTACCTAGGTAGTCAAAGCCATCCGTTTAGGAGAAAGAACTTCACGGTATCCGATACACTTATCATTATAAAATTGAGGAATTGCTGAAATGATATAGCAAGTGTTCCAGCCTTCAAATTCACTATGATAGAGTTCCTATGTGACATACCGACCACCAAGATCGTTATAATTCACAATCCAGGTCGTGCTCAAGATTCAAGTCGCCGAAAAAAAACCCAACTCGGCGATCAAGGTCACCAAATCGTCTCCCCACCATATCCCTAATCCTCCTCCTCGTCAGATTCCTCGTCAGTTCCCTCGATCAACTCTTTACGAGACTCCTTGCCCGACTCTTCATCGGATTCATCGGGTTCATCGTTCATCTCTTCATCAGAGTCCTTATCGGTCTCGTCATCAGATTCCTCATCTTCATCGGGTCCATAACGATATTGATAATCCGCGTTCCAATCCAAATCATCCCAATACCATTCCTGCTCGATGGTTTCTAGTCCTGGATTGTTCTTCTTCCCCAAAGCATGTAGCTTTGCCATCGTCGTAGCCCAGGGTCGCTAGCCCCTGACATACTGAAAGAAAAGGCGAGGGTTAGGGGACTCGTTGTTGGGAGCCTGGTACTCTACCATCCAATCCATAGGGCACCAAGCATTGCGTTCGGAAATCACTTCGAACTTCATGGTGAATGCGACCGATGCCTTTTCGAGAACAGGCATGTGACCAAGTGCGTCGGCCCAGTACGAGAACAAAGGCTGCAGTGTTTCTTGATGCGGCTTGTTCTCAAAGTTGCTTCCAGTTCGAGCGACAAAGTATCGGTTGCCGGTAGGTGTCTCGAGTCGAAGCCTAGCGTGGAAATTCTTCAGGCGATTCCATACGCTGCCCCCTATAATGAGCTTCTCAGCTGGGTCTGGCCAGAAAAGCGAAGAGTCGAAGAGGCCCTGGACGTCAAGCGACACGAGAGTATAGGACCACATTCGCACAGCCGAGCTCAGCAGGTCGAACTGTCGGGGTACAAGGGAGGTGTAGCTATCGATCCACATGTGAGAGACGCCATCGGTCGGCTCTAGCATCAGGCACACCTCTTGAAGATTCGTGTGAGAGAGGAATTTTCTCGCAAGTAGAGCTGCTCTTAGGCTAATTCGGTTCCTCACATGGTCCGCGCAGCGAAGTGTGAGGATTGGCCTGGTTGTGTTGGCTAGAATCTCAAGACGCTTTATGTCTGGGGTTGCCATTGCTAACTCGACTGCGGTGTACAATCGCACGCGAACATCCGCGCAGCACATAATCATTCGCAGTGTCGATATTCCCCTCATGACTGGGGTTACCGGCGGTAGCGTAAAGGTGCAGCTGTCAATTGCAAAGCCAAAGTCTTCTGCGTCGGCCTGGTAGTGCCAGGATAACTCGAGCGTGGTTCCGCGATTGCGACTCTCCAGTGCCTCCTGGACGGTGGTGACACTGCCAGCTACAAGCTGGAAAAATCGTAGAAGAGTTTTGTTGAATGCCTCGGGGATTCTGTATCCAAGCTGGAGTGGTGAGCGTAGGCGGAGAATGCGCAATTGGTGGCGGTGCTTAGGGAAAACGATGGTGGCGAGGCCTTCCATGTCTTCTTCCTTGGTGTGATCAATAGTAAAATAGCGGAAGTTGTAGTTCTCAACTGCCTTCTGCCATTTCCTCGAGACTGTAGCAAATTTAGAGAGTTCGTCCTCGGGGAGGAACTCTACGATGTTGTCGACGACTTCCTGCGGGAAATGGGTATCCATGATGAATGGTGGGAGGGAGTACTAGACTCGCAGTATCCCTAATAATAATGAGAACAGGGAAGTAAACAGTAGGATAAATTGGTGCTTACCTTGTGAGTATGCGAGTATTACAAGAATCGACAATCGCCTGTAGAGAAGGCGAGGGTTTGAATATGAATGCCAATATTAGTATGGAGGTGAAGGTGAAGGTAGGGGTGGAGGTAAATTGGTAGGTGTAAAGGAAAGAGAGAGGAAAACAAGTAGGAAGCCAGGTAATTTGGACCTAACAGGTTTGTTTTGTATTGCTCTCCGCTTTATCTCGTCTCAGGGAAGGAACTCGACGTGGTGGGGGTTTGTTTAGACCACTTGCTGCGGTTGTGCTAGTTCATAACACCCGGAAAGCAATAGAAACAAGCGGGGGGCAGCCGACCAATTTTCCTGCGGTACTATTAGTACCGGGAAAATAGGCACTGTTGTCTCGACGATGCAAGACGCGCCGTACGAGTAAAACCGTATTATATAACCTACATATATGTACCAAGAATATGTGTGTTGCGTAGAGGGGAGTAGTGATATTGGCTGGAATAGGGGCTACCTATTGTACCCGCGCCTTGGTATCTTAGGTAGGTAAGAAGGTACTATGAGAATAGGATGGTGGACCACTAGGAGAAAGCGCAAGCCTATATGTCAACTAATTAGCACCCCCCCTTCCACGATGCTTGCCTAGAATAGACTTCACTCGTACGCGTAGCTCAACCCTACCGGGATATATGTACGCTTTCTATTGACCCCACGTCTTCACCTCTCGAGTTACCTTAAACTACCTCGTTTCATACGAGTTCATCAACTATCTACACTCTCGTTAGCTAGGATAGAAATAAAACAGCAAAACAAATAGAGCCTTGTGCATATCCATTCCATCGTTAGATACTTCGCCGACTAGGCAAACAATACACATACCTCAATAGAATCATTCAGCCACCTCCGTATCACCATGGATCATGACCACGTAGTCAACATCGACCTTGAAAAACAAGATCCCGACAGAAACTCGCAGGGATCCTCGCCGAGTACGACACCATCCCACACATTCGGCATTCAGAGGACCCACGAACCGGTATACACAGCTTATACCAAATCCTGCATCGTCTGCCGCAAGACCCTCTTGCTAAGCTACTTCAACTGCTGCGCCGTGTGTCTTGGCGTCGAAGAGTGCGGCCAGGGTAAAAAACGACGAGCAGATCCGCCCCCAGAATCCCTTCCTATTACTGAGACTCCGCCATCCACTCCTTCTACATCAACACCCACATCTCCCTCGTCATCAATAACAGACCCTGAAAACAATCTCTTAAATACGAACACTCCCACAATAACACTCCACTGCGACAGCACCTACTGCCGCTACACCCATCTCCGCCCCCTAATGCTCCTCTTCGCCCTCAGCGAACTCGTCCCCCTCCTCGGGGGTCTATTCCTCCTCAACACCGCCATATACCGCCACGACTAGGACGCATTGCGGTTCGCCGGCGTGCTCATGCTACAATGGTGGCAGATCTTTGTGTTACCTCGACAGTGGCGCTACGGACGCTCGATTCTGGCCGGTCAGCTCGCTGCTTGTCTGTTTATGGTCTGGTTTTACGTTGATGGGAGCCGGACTTGGAGATGGTGGGAACCACTTGCTGTCAGTAGTGTATTGTTGAAGATCGTGTTCCCTTGGTGAGTGAAGGGGGGGTGTTGAGGAAATAATGAGTGGATTGGTACAATATGTGAAGGGTGAGGCCAAGTATTTGGATCAGGATGGGCGCCCTTGAGACTTGCATCAGGGCGAAAGGTAGAAAGCCCGTTGGTATTCTGTTCTGTCCTGTCCCTGAGATGGTGTCTAGTAGACAGAACAGGCTCATAGATAGGTGCATAGGGGGCGGGGGCGTTGTTAGAAGGACTGGGCATTAGTATTGTATTTTTTGAGCAAAAGGCATGGGTTATAGAATCATGATTCTACCTTTAGTACACAAACTGCGGCGCAGACCTTGGCTGTAGACCGGATATTGAGGTACCACAAGGCACATATGACTAGTCAAACCAGAAATCCTAGAAGGCTTCAATAGAGTAATTAGTGTATGCCGATTGGTAATATAGTTTTAGAGAGGTAGAGATTTTATACTTGTAAAGTTGGTTTGCTTTGTGAGTCTCCCAAAAATCTGTGCATAAGCTTGTGCTGTATCGCCTCTATCCTATACGTAAAACTAAACCAATATTATCTGATGTGCAAATATCCACCAAGGTATAAAGTATGATGCTACGATATTATTCTAACGTCTGTGCCACGCTTGTTGATTATGCTGATGCATATGAATCCTACTATGCCGGGAAGTTCAAAATAGCCCCAACGCCCCTTGAAAGCCCACCCATATGAAATTCGATCTAACACGCTTTTTCTCTATCAGTTTGCCCCAATGAGATCCTTAGGTAAGAAAGCCCAAACGGTTCCAACAAGAGATATAGCACAAGATATGATCATAATAGTCCAAGTGACCATGCGCTCTCGCACATTGATTTCATGGCCGAATAGCTTTAGGTAGAAGGCTAGAGGAAGTCTAGTGGATTGTTAGCCGTTGTTCTTTTTGGGATATAAGGAAACCAAGCACTTACGTAACACAAATGGTGAAGCATAGGGCGCTACCCATGAATGCCATGATTGTGTCAAAGGCTGGAAAGAGAATAGCAATCGCCAAAAATACTAGTAACGTTAGGATCCGGACGAGGGCCTTCAGGACTCCTCTCGAGCTACTAGAGAGACCGACGAGAGGGGTCTCTTCGGACACAACTTGCTGACGAAGCCCGAATACAACTTCCAATGTTGTGACGATTGGTTGTGAGTTTAGAGGTATTTTCGTCAAGGGGATGATAGCAATGAAAATCACAAGAAGAATCCTCGTAACTTCAGGATATCCTGTGTTCTCAAGAATGTTGCTTGTGATCTCGTCGCGAACACCATCACCGAACATTAGTAATCCCACGATGGCAACAGCGGCATCTACGATTAACTATAATGTATTAGTCATGTCTCGAGGTAATGAATAGGTGTTACTTAGAACTTACAGTAAAGCTAAATGTATAACTAACGGCCTATCACATGTTAGCCCAAGTGATAGCCAAGAAGGCTATTGATAATTATCTTACCTCTTTGTAACGGTATGGATGTCGCATATCACGGTAGATCTGGGGTTCGTTAGCTGAATTACCCTGCCTCATTTGATCGATAAAGACCTACGTTCGGGAAAACACTATGTCCGCCCCAAGGAGACATGAGTAGTCCAAAGGATAGGGGTAGTGTCAACCAGTTGGCTGGGAACAAGTACGTCGCAGCGGGATCTATGAGGGAGCCGGGTGCATGCGGTTTTAATAAGCCATCAATAATAACAATGATGGCAACTATATCATGTCAGTATTCTTAAGCCAACAAGGTGGTTGCAGGATCAACTTACTACTTAAACATGAGAGTACGCCGACAAAGCTGGTAACAGATAGGAGAGACAGTGGAGCGAATTGCAAAGGTATGAGGACTAGGGTACAAACAACTTTCCACTCGGTGATGCTTAGTGTACCGGGAAACAGGAGCGCTAAAGAGTCGGCGAAAAGCACGATGAGAGCCACACAAGCCGCAAGCAATTCAAGGGTAAATAGTACTGCTGTCACGATGCGGGCTTTGCGACCGAAGGAAATGTACGCTATGTCAGAAAATGTGATGATGGTTGGGTCGAGGTTCATGCATTTTGCTAATAGCCTGGCTGTCCAGCTGGTAATTCCGGCGCATAACAGGAGAGCAACTAGTCCACAGAGCCAGCCGGAATATTTGAGGCCCATGGGCAGACTCAATATGCCAACGCCGATTAAGACACTGGATGGTAAGTTAGTAATGGACTCTTGAAAATAAATAATCCAAACGAACTACTCACTTGGTAGAGTTTACAACTGTTTGAGGCAGCGTCGATTGACCCGACACGGCTAGCACAATTCTCCCTTCTTGTTCGACCTCCTTCACTAGAATGTGCGGTCGTTCTCCATCGGGGACATTAGCTCCCGACTCTCGCTGTCGGCGCCACAAGTCTGCGGCGTGGATCATGGAAGAATAAGAAGCTGCCGTCTCAACAGTACCGTAACTACGAACAGATCCATAGCTGCCAACTAAAGGAGAAACAGATAGATGTGGCGGTACTGCGAATATTGAATTGCTGCGGACGGAGCCAGATGGTGATGCTGTTCTGAAGAGGTCATCGCCTAAGCGTTTACGTTCACCCTCCGGCCCATCTGTTTGCGACGAAGGCGTTTCGGCGAGCCCTGATCCCCTATTGTCGACATTATCGGACGGCGATGCCTCCTCAAGGCCACTCCTTAAAAGAGACGTCCTAGGACCCGCTTCGATGTCGCGCCTAGCATATGGGCTAGGATCCACTTCCTGGACTGGTTGTTGATCGGGAGCAAATGTGAATGATGGCTGTTGTGGTATGATTTCAGGGAAAACAGCAGCGCGCTGCCAACTTCTACTAAAAGACCTGATACTGTTAACGCCTCCAATATCGGTCAACGCAGCAAGGCGGTTTGTCATAGACGATCTGTGAGATTTGATAAGATTAGTCTATGTGGAGACGAGCTGGTGGCGAACCTGCGAACCTTCGTCCTGTTCGATGTGGCCGGTCTTCATCGTATTCATTGCCACTCTGTTCACTCAACAAGGCTTGATCCTCAGAGCGAACACTTTGGTTAGCAAAGGAAGATAGACTGTCGCTTCGGCCTGGAGAGGCCCCGCGTTCATATTCATCCCACGTTGTCGGCTGTCTCGCAGGCATAGCTGAATGCCTAGTCGCCGGAACTTTGAAAGTTCCTATATATAAGAAAGATCCCTTAAATTGTTCTAAACAATCTCGTGGATACAGATTTGAACGCTGAGGATAACAACGAGGACTTGACAATGTGGGTACGGGCAGAACCCTTGCAAAATAGGGATATAGGTATATAATTGAGTCGACCACCACAGGATCGAAGGGATCGAGCAAAAGGAATGACGAATGTGAGCTCGAAGTGTAAGATTGGTTGAGATATACTCGACTTGAGCAAAGTTTGACAAGTGATATTTAGTGATACTTAGAAAGAGATGGACGCAATCATACGTATATATGCAACCCTGGTCATGCAGCTATCTCACCTTGCTTTGATAATGGTGGAGAAAAGGATGCAGAGAGATGTTTGGCATGGTGCTGAAGCAAGTCCCAATAGATTGCACTAATAACTTAGTACATACACTTTCTTGGCTTGCTAAGGGGTACTTCCTGCCGTGGAGAATCACCTTACGATTTGCTTTAATTTTGGTTGTTGCGCCTGCCCGAGTTAGACAAGTACTCGAACCATCTTTGTATCTTGCATCTTAAGCCACTAGGAAGCCTGGGAAGCCGCCGACGACTTATCGAGGGTTGACCCCCCACCATGATACGCCATTGGACAATGCATTCGATGTGGGGATACCAATCTTTCCTTTTCCCAACTTCCGTGCGAGCAAGGCTGATAATGTCACACGTATTACATATTTTCTGTCTTGCAGAAAAAAAAAATCTTTTGTCCTGTGGACATTAATTTTACATGGCTGGGTTCCAGGATGGTTTGCGACGGCTTAGTTGAGCACGGCTTTTGTCGGCATTGAATTTGAATATATATATCTGTATGTAGAAGCAAAAAGCATCTGCTGGAATTTTCGCGTGCTAGGAGTACCTTGACGACGCAAGGTAACTCTACAAGCTTTATGCACCCATATCGATTTTTTTGGTCTGGGGTAGATCCTGCTTGCCGCCCAGCGCTGGGTCCTCTCTGAAAAGATAAGATTAGAGAAAGGCACCTGGGCAAGTGATGTCATTTTTCGCTGTATGGGGCAATGAATAAATTGATGTCGGCACACCTACCCCGTCCGCATTTCTGCACGCAAAGTCACACGCCGCAAAACTTGACCCGAACTCCTACCGCTTGTAGCGTTGGTCGTGTGATTGGCTCGGTCAACAACTGTTGTGCGATTGAATTGATCATCAAAACACCTCAATAAGTTGGGTACGTACTTAATATTACCTAATGAACGGGTGTCTTAAATAAAATAACATCTTCAATGTTCACGACAGGAGTTGCTTTTTGTTTCCTTTTTAATAGGGGGTAGTGACCGGTGGCTGGTTGTGTCTCGGGAATACTGAATTACTTAGGTACCTGGACGGGAACGTGATGCAAGGAGTGGTTTTCACCACGTCTTTTTCCTACAATTTCTGTTAAATCCGAAAGCCACCAGCCTGCATCTTAGATGAGGTATGTATCACAGCTTATGTAACTTGTGTAAATGGGGGTACATCTATCGAAAATATACTTAATCAATCTTTGCAATTATACAAAGAAATCTAATGAGGCGGAATAGTGATGCTCCGGAGAGCCTTATGAGTTGGGTCCACGTATATGATTTTGTTTTTTTATGAAGGGAAGGACAGGGCTGAATAAATTCCTTGGGTTTTGCTGGGGTGTGAGGCTCTATTACAGACGAGGCTCCGTTAATAAAAACTCTGAATGTGTAACACCACCGTCCACGTCGCCAGCTACTGCCTGGGATCCATGATTTTTTTTTTTTAATTGGGGCTCCGGTCTTTAGTAAAGGATCAGCTACGTTATTAAACGGCAGGGACGGTTATTCACCGTTTGCATGTAGGGATTTAGTAGGAAAACACATAAAATAGGGTTTTCTAATGGATTCTTCTACCTATGAAGAAGGAACGTACATAAAATATTACATGTGAAGCAAGTGCAGATCAAAACAAACATTGAATTGAACAGTACGTACCTACCTAGATAGACTCGAAGCATGCAGGTACAGTGGGAAAGTGCCTAATTGTAGTGATTGCGTAGTGGGTTGCCTGCCTGTCGATAAGCTATCAGTTAGTAAGCCCCAGGCGACGAAATCTGGCTTGTTAGGCTGTGGTGGAATTTATTGGAAGGTGTGGCGGGCCTAGATTGGATAAACTGGTCCGAGCTCCTTCTACCTCTCGTCATCAACAGCTCAAACACTAGAGCCGTAAGAACAACCAAACTCCGAACTTCACCATTTTCTCCCACCTTCACCATCTTTTCTCTACTCATCCCCCAAACTTTTCACAACTCAGAGATAATCTAATCTTGAGTTGTCGCGGAGGATATAGCATCCTTTGCACACTTTCCTTCATAAACTACCTACATCCGAAACCGCCTTGTTTTTCTGGCGGCACTCCCACAACAACTAAACCGCCCGATATCTACCTTTAACGAACGACCCCATTCACACAACAGACACCATGGCATCCGAGCCTGAGCATAAGAAGAAGGTCAACTTGGCGTAAGTCTTCACAATCAATTAGAATAATCATAAAAATATACGGTTATGAACCTAAGCTAATATATTACTTCCAGCGACGTCTCCGGCGCCGAGCCCAAAGATGTACGATACCAACCCTAATGGCTTCGTAAATTCATAGACTGACCTTTAATTCTAGGAGAACGATGTTTCGACGGCTATCCTAAAGAAGAAGAAGAAGCCGAACCAGCTGATGTGCGTATTTTATTTTTCTTCGGCCCTTCAAGTAGTCGTTACTAATTATTTTACATAGGGTAACTGATGCCACTAATGATGACAACTCTATCATCGCACTCTCGAACAACACCATGGAGCAACTCCAGTTATTCCGAGGAGACACCGTTCTTGTACGAGGCAAGAAGAGAAAGGACACTGTCTTGATTGTCCTAGCCGATGATGATCTTGATGACGGCAGTGCCCGACTCAACCGAGTCGTTCGCCACAACCTCCGGGTCAAGCACGGTGATATCGTCACCATTCACCCGTGCCCGGATATCAAATATGTGAGTTGCTGCCAAATAGATTAAAATAAAATAACTTCCTACTAACTTCAAAATCAGGCCAAGCGCATTGCGGTACTTCCCATCGCTGACACCGTTGAGGGTCTAACCGGCTCGCTTTTCGATGTGTTCCTCGCCCCATACTTCCGAGAAGCCTACCGACCCGTTCGTCAAGGTGATCTATTCATCGTCCGAGGTGGTATGAGACAAGTGGAATTCAAGGTGGTCGAGGTTGATCCTCCGGAGTACGGTATTGTTGCACAGGACACTGTTATTCACTGCGAGGGTGACCCGATCCAGCGTGAAGAGGAGGAGAACAACCTCAACGAAGTTGGTTATGATGACATTGGTGGTTGCCGCAAGCAGATGGCCCAGATCCGAGAAATGGTTGAGTTGCCGTTACGTCATCCTCAACTTTTCAAGTCCATTGGTATCAAACCTCCTCGTGGTGTTTTGCTCTACGGACCTCCGGGTACCGGTAAGACGCTGATGGCCCGTGCTGTCGCCAACGAGACTGGTGCGTTTTTCTTCTTGATCAACGGTCCCGAGATCATGTCGAAGATGGCCGGTGAGTCAGAGTCGAATCTACGTAAAGCATTCGAGGAGGCTGAGAAGAACTCGCCTGCTATCATCTTCATTGACGAGATCGACTCTATCGCACCCAAGCGAGAGAAGACCAATGGTGAGGTTGAGCGACGTGTTGTCTCTCAGCTTTTGACTCTCATGGATGGCATGAAGGCACGATCCAACGTCGTTGTCATGGCCGCCACTAACCGTCCCAACTCTATTGATCCCGCTCTTCGACGTTTCGGTCGTTTCGATCGTGAGGTTGATATTGGTATCCCTGACCCCACTGGTCGTCTTGAGATCTTGCAGATCCACACTAAGAACATGAAACTTGGTGACGATGTTGATCTTGAGCAGATCGCCGCTGAAACTCACGGTTACGTGGGTTCTGATATTGCGGCTCTTTGCTCGGAGGCTGCCATGCAACAGATTCGTGAGAAGATGGATCTCATTGATCTAGATGAGGATACCATCGACGCCGAAGTGTTGGATTCGCTAGGTGTCACCATGGAGAACTTCCGATTTGCTCTTGGTGTTTCGAACCCGTCGGCTCTTCGCGAAGTCGCCGTCGTCGAGGTTCCCAACGTCCGCTGGGAAGATATTGGAGGTCTCGAAGAGGTCAAGCAAGATCTCAAGGAGAGCGTTCAATACCCCGTCGACCATCCCGAGAAGTTCCTCAAGTTCGGTCTTTCTCCGTCACGTGGTGTGCTATTCTTTGGTCCTCCTGGTACGGGTAAAACAATGTTGGCCAAGGCCGTTGCCAACGAATGTGCGGCGAACTTCATCTCCGTCAAGGGTCCTGAACTGTTGAGTATGTGGTTTGGTGAGTCCGAAAGCAACATCCGAGATATCTTTGACAAGGCTCGTGCGGCCGCTCCTTGTGTGGTCTTCTTGGATGAACTGGATTCGATTGCCAAAGCCCGTGGTGGATCCGTTGGTGATGCCGGTGGTGCTTCGGACCGTGTTGTTAACCAGCTTTTGACCGGTAAGTTTCTCTCGAGCTCATCCTATACTATATATCGCTAACAATGGAGAATAGAAATGGACGGTATGACATCAAAGAAGAACGTCTTCGTTATTGGTGCCACAAATAGGCCCGAGCAACTAGATCCGGCTCTTTGCCGTCCGGGTCGTCTTGACTCGTTAATCTATGTTCCCCTACCCGATGAGGTTGGTCGTCTTAGCATCCTGAAGGCACAATTGCGCAAGACGCCCGTATCCGGTGATGTCGATCTTAACTACATTGCCTCTAAGACTCACGGCTTCTCCGGTGCCGATCTTGGATTCATCACGCAGCGAGCTGTCAAGATTGCCATCAAGGAATCTATCACCCTTGATATTGAGCGACAACGTGCTCGTGAGGCCGAGGGTGCTGGTGACATGGACGTCGACGAGGACGTTGAGGATCCCGTACCCGAGTTGACAAAACGCCATTTCGAAGAGGCGATGCAAATGGCCAGAAGATCCGTCAATGATGTGGAGATTCGCCGCTACGAGGCTTTCGCTCAACAGATGAAGAACGCTGGCCCTGGTGCCTTCTTCAAGTTCCCCGCCGCCGGTACCAGTGGCACTACGGGCGATGGCGATGGCAACAACTTCGGCCAAGCCGGTGACGATGACGGTCTTTACGATTAAGTTCAGCTCCCTACTAAGTCCAATAGTCTAATAGGGTCACCCCTGTACTCTACTTCCTTTGCTTATCGTGCATTTCGACATAATTGACAGCACGGCACACAATTTTGAGGGGTGGACTTGGAGCCCAGTGCCCTACTTCGTTGTTGCTCGTGAAAGGGATTTGCATTTCCGATAGATTTGAGGCCGTCAGATGCTGGAGACGGACTGCGGCCAAATTTCCTTGCACAACGACAGGTGTAGCCAGTTGATCTTCACATGGAGATAGTTCTATCCTAATCAGGGTGAGATGTAATCATACACATCCAATGCTGCAGAGGGCGGATTAGTTTACGATAGACCCAGAAATTGACTTCAGTTGCTCATAAATATCCTCACAAACCAGCTTTTAGTACTCTTATTGATATGTGCTGTATGATGCGTTTGTACTTGTGATATGAATGAACTCACTATCTATGGATGTGTCCTTGCTGGCGTTTACGTCCAGTGTAGATCACTTGCAACAACATACTATGCGCAGAAAACATACTTCTCATAGCCCGCAATGAAACATGAATGGAAATATATACGTCTTATTTAGAATAGTTTGAATAGATGATGACTTTAATCATTTGCCATAAAGCAAAGCTAAGAAAAGGCACTCGATGCAGATGCCTTCTTCAAAAAATCAGAACCTAAGCGCACCAACGCCAATGCTCCCCTTTCCACCCTGTCCGCCCTACACCGATGCCATTCTTGAATTCGCAGTAATCGTTTTTAAACGAAATGGGAATAGGTTTTGGGGGGGTATTTGTCCGTGCTTGAATGTCCCATCGCGTGTACCCGTTTATGTATACAATCGTTGCCTGCCTGTTGTTGACTTGCTGGTATCTTCGTTCCGTTCGGCGATACATCACCGTCGTCGAACATCTCATCCTCCTTCACGTCTTCTTAAACTTAGCCTTGGCCCTGCCCCTGACTTTTCCGCTCGGCGGTACCTAACCAGCCGTCGCACCATCATCGATCTCGCATACAGCCTCGAGACACTCGCGTGTTACCTTAATTACGGACTCTACCACGGCCTGCGGGATTGCGAGGTTGTTGTCTGTATTACTTGTTCCGTTTACGCCGGTCTTGCTAGCTCCGTTTGCGTTCCCGTTTGTGCTCGCGCCGTTTGCTTCGCTACCGTTTGTTCCGTTGGTTGTGCTGGAGTCGGCGGCTGCGGTGTCATGGCGTATGTCTTCGATTACGCGCCGTACTAGCGCTGGGAATGTGGTTACGTCGCCGGAACGTAGGAGGGTTAGGGCGTGGGCTTGGACTGCTGAGGGCCAGTTTGCTGGGTGCGCGTTTAGGGAGTGCAGGAAGTGGTCTTGGATCCTGCGCAGAGAGGGGTTGTTAGTTGGTGGGTTTCTTTGTTGTAGTTGGCACAGGATGGGATGAGGTGGATAGGTAAAGGAGGAGAGATAAGGGGTAACGTACTTCGCCATGTGCCCTTCTCTAATGAGCAGCATGTTTATCTGAGATCGCAGATCAGGGTCCTGCGTCGCGGGCGTGTAGTTCGCCGCCGAGCCGGGTACTTTGACGGGGGTTTGTGGTGGGTGCGACATTGTGGATGGATGGATAAGAATAGGAGAGATAAAGCTAAGGCGGAGTATAAGCCTCGATTATTCTCTCTGTTTCTTTTGAAGCAGAGAGATGCGGGAATACGAGGCTGATCCCGAAGCTCGTGGCGGTTTCGCTGGAATGCGGTCTTCCAGGCACCGGGATAAAGGAGCTACTCGGGGTTGCTTCGGGGTGCTATTCCCTTGCTGGATAATGAGAACATCCAACTACGTAATTGGTCGCCGTAATGAGAAAGTTAATTCTAATTAACGGCAACTATTCTGACGTATGTCGTCGCTGGTTGCGATTTCCAATGTAATTGGAAAAGGCAATGGCGAGGCTGACAACTATTCGGAAACTTTGCCTTGTAAAAAGTGGGTAACTTCTAACAGGGAACTGTGGGGCTCCAAAAAGTCTAAGCGCCCTAGGGTCGGATAGCCCTTGTAAGAAAGTTCCGACCAGTCAGAGTGGATTTTAGGAGTGCGGGTTAGCCTAATCCGGGATATGTGGCTTGCGTGTGGAAATTAGGGATTAGAGTAGCCCCATCATACTTGGATCTTCCCCCCCTTTCCCCAAAATTGGGTCTATACTCCTCCCTCTACTTCGATATTTTACATAAGCTTAACATTAACATATTCATCTCACCGTTCCTATAGAAAATAGAAAAAATGCGGCCCAATTTCGAGAAAAAATCTACTATGCCTCATGACCATATGGTACATACTACCAATTTTTTATGAGTTTTGGAACCTATGATGACTGATGTTACATAGCTCCTGTTCCTGAGTGACCATTTGTCTTAAGCAAACACTCTAGACGCAGGTATTTATCCCACTCCGCTATTATGATGTCTTTTACTATGGAAGCTTTTAACGAAAACTATATCAAACCTATAATGCAAGGACGCCGCGCCGTTCCATTGTCTAAACAGAGCTTCTAATTCAGGCTAATTGCTATACTGACGTAGTATGGGTCTCGGGGGCCCTTACTCCAAGGGGGAGCCGCTCATCGCTTCCATACCGCTGGCAAGTCGAAACGATCCCATCTTAAAATAAGCTATTTTCAGGGTCGCGTGCGTGTGCAATTTGAAGCCCGAGGGGGTCCCGAGGAAATGCTTCACAAGAAAAAAAAAATGCTGTTTGAAGGCACCTGGCATATTGAGACATGTGGCATCCGAAGACTCGAAGGATTGAATGCAGAATATTCTGGGCGTGGGTGTTCCTGTTTCTATGAGTAATAATTATCTATTTGGTGATGGGTATACTCGTTGGAGATTTCAATCGAGCGCGGAGTGTTGGTAAGATTAAACGACCAAAAGAGAATTACAACTTTTAGAACGACACCACATAGACAGTAAGTAGTATAACATTCTACAATTGGTATAGGTAATCTATTAGGCATGTAAAGCGCTTTCTTGTCATCAATATTCTGCTTCTCGGCTACTTTTGCGATTTTTTAATGGCGCGCCTAGGGAAAAATGCGATGTGGGAAAATAAAAGCTGTCAGAAAATTGCCAAGACCTGTGATACTGGCCATTTAAGCATCATCACAAACAGACGACAGCGTAACATTATAACACGTCTATTGGTGTGAAGTTACACTATATTGGGAGGCTGAGTTGTCCGGGTTCGCCACCCATAACTAATCAATCTTAGAATAGTATATCATATCTAAGTATACTCTTCAAATCCTACACTCCAGATTGAAACGGTGTATATGCCGAGAGTCAGTATTTTCCAATGAACATGTTACCATTACTCATGGCCACCTCGGTCTAATTAACACGATAGCAATACAGATTCCTCGGGGTATATCCTCTATTCTGCGCGGATAGGCTGTTAAGTCGGGGAACCCTCTACACCGACTATTGCTTCCCTCCCTTCTACTATATGCTGCAGTGTAGGGGTTCTTGCATTCGGCTCGGTGTATGTACAGCGAATAAAAGCCAACCGGATCAGCCGCGACCTGTTCTCTATTCGCTAATCTATCCTCGAGGTCTCTTGCCGCGGTCGCGCTAAGGGGGGGTCCCGTTGCCCTGAACCAGCCCGAATGACCGATTCTCTGCAGCGTTAGGCCTCCCTTCCCCGTAAAAAGTTTGTGATATCTGATATGGTATATGTCGAGTTCATCCTAGTCATGATGACGATTTTCTCATCGTGCGGGCATCAATGGTAGATCGGGTAGATGTCAACTTCAAAGCTAAGAAGAGGGAAAAAAAAAAAGTCGGTCTAGATAAGGCCCCTTAGCGATGGCTAGCACAGTGGCATGTTATTTCGGGGTAGGTCGAAGACGATTGGCCGTGAAAATAGGCTTCTCGCAGCGCCGTTACTTGCCGTGATCTGCACTAATTCCTTAGTGTATCCGTGTTGCGCTGTTGTCACGGCAAGAGTCAGCAAGTATAATCGCCTTCCAATCTAAGACACACATAGGCTAGGGGGGAACTCGACGTACGTATACGCTATTGTTGCCGTTCCATCGCACTGGGGCCGCTTACTCTCGACAATGAGAGGCCCATAGACCGGCTCGCCTCACGCTTCGCCCTGCATGATCCTCTCCTTTTCTTTTTTTGGAACTCGCCCCGACGCACTGAGATAGAGCTTCGGCTTTCCGTATAGCTCGCCGATGCGTGTTTTGAAAGGCTACCCACGGAATATTATACCGGCTAACGGCGCTTGGTAACAACATGATCTCTGTTCCACCCCTACCCCATGTTTCTGCCCTCCCGAGGCGCCTAATTTGAGGGGGATGTAGCTGTGAACTTAGCACGAAGTATCGTCTATGTACCAACTCGTGGTGTGCTGTTGTCATCCACCGGAAATGAGGTCTATGATAGTCGATACACATGTGCTAGCGACCTTCACCATTGTCGTTTCTTGTTTTTGTGATTTTTGTTGACTGCGAAAGTGGCACGGGTAGCTGCGTAGAAATCGGGTTGGGATTCGGGCCTGCTAAAGTAAGTTTAGGGTGTGGAAAACTATTTCGAATGGTTCGAAGCCTCAACGAGCTGCTACGTGATAGGTACGCCCTGTGGGAATACGTGGTCATATGGTCGATGACCCAAGCTCACCGTCGAATGGATCATATCATAAGGATTATCGGGCATATCTAGAGGATTATAACATCCAAGTGGTACAACTAGTAGGGGAGAGGGGTTTTCCGATCTCGTCACGCGCAGCGGTATTGGAATCTGTCAGCGAGACCGCGATTGGGTACTCGAGGGGTACGACCAGTTATATGGCGGGATGACTCCTCCAGATCGCAGAAGCTAACTAGCATCGTCGGATAAGGGGGTAGGCATCGTGTCAGCTTGTCACAAAGGCGCGCCATTCGCTCTTATGTACGGGAACGCTTACCAGACCGAGGGAGGAGCGGCAGTGCCCCCCACGATTATATTACCCGATCTTAGCCTGGCAGATGCCCCCGCGCCAGGTATTGGTCTTCTGAGCTCGTGAGTGGGCTGGGCCAGATGCAAAACGCATGTTCCAGGGTCAAATCCAAGATCCGGAGGGGTTGCAATATGCACAGTTGCTTCTTGAATGTGGCGCCGGGTGGTTCCGAGTTGCAGGAAACAGGCACTTGGGGGTCAGCTACCCACAAACAAGATACAAGCAACATGACCACCTCGATGGCCGTGGCCGCATAGGTGGCTACCAGGTTGCTGGAAATCGAGAATTATACAAGGTAGGGCGGCCCGCATCTGCAGTAAGCTCAATGAGGAAGTAAAGACGTCAGGGCAGTCAAGAGGTGTGGCAAAGGATCTAGCTCAACGGTTTCTAATTGGGGATAGGTCCATGCCTGAAGGGATGGGAGTGAGGGAAGGATGATGAGGCACCCATCCAGCACTTATCCATTGTTGGCCCTGGACAGAGGGCAGCTGACTGGCAATCTTGAGAACTTACAGATAGTTCCAATGTCAAAAGACAGCGAATCGTGATCGGGTCAACAGAAATACCAATGAAATTGCGATTCCAAACAAATTCCGCACATAAACCATGGGACAAAAAAAGGGGAAAAGATCGTGATGCCCAAGCTAACCAAAATATTGGAGGATATGGTTTTTTTGAGTTGGAACTTACATGGATTTTCATAAAATCTACATCTTGTGGACCGGATGTACCTTCTGGGGCTACTTCAGGATCAGTTCATTCCTGCGTCCCCCATACATCCCCACGATTTCAAGGGGAAGGTACACAAGTATAGATACTTACACTCTCGGGATCATTAATTTCACAAATGTACATACCGAGTAGACAGGTACATAAATGCACTATTTGTGGCTTGGAGGACTTTTGTCCCGTACATCATGTACGTTGAGGGAGATATCCCCAATAGAATTCCTAACCGGACGCCACACCGGCTGCCACATCGGGCTGGGATCCTTGCCGGTGAAGATCTACGTAGATTGTAGATTTGCCAAAGCTCAGCCTTAAGTACATGGGTGTCGAATAACACATAGAGGGAGGCAAAAGTCTCGGCACAGATATTGCTGTTAGCGCATAAGGTTATGTACCCCTAGTGGTCTAAAACCGGAGCTACGCATCAATAGTAGGCGGCAGCCACCCGCGGACAAACTCAACTATGACGAATCGTGTCGGAAAGAAGTACACCCATTCGTATGGCTAACTTGTGCAAGATCATTGTACCTTTCCTGCATACATAAAGTATATTATGTATGCATTCTGGTTTCAGGGAATAAACCAGGCTAGAGCGAGTGAGTTTTCAGGGCAACTGCACCCCTGAAAGTCACTTGGGGAAGGAGTTGAGCCCCTTTTTGGAGAATCTAGATAAAAATATTAGTAATAAATCTCCCAAACTAAAAGGAACACCTCTGCTGATTGGCCTAGTCCATATTTGACCCTGGCATGGGCTGGACTTCTTCTCCCACACACCTGGGCAGTTGATGGATTTTTTTTTATATACGTGGACATTCATTTCTCGGGTACCTCGGTACTACCCGAGTCATCAACCATTGATGACGGCCGTATAGGCCAGGCGGGTACCTAGG